TCCTGCTTCTCTCCGTCCGCATCCAGTCCTTGAGGGGGAACTCGAAGATCGACCGTGTCCAGCAGAAAGTGGTGCTGTCGAGAGCACGTCCACTTCTTCGTCTGACCAGCTGTCGCCTCGTAGTTCACGGATGGAGGCCCGGGACCTCGGGACATCACTCGGTCTTGCCCATCGCGAACTTCATGCCAAAGAACAGTGTCGGTGGGGCCCGCCTCCAGCAGCCATGGAATCTTTATCTCGAAGGGATCCACCTCTGAGGTGGAGTGAAGCGGGCAGTGAACCATCCAGGACTGAGGTCCACCTCCCAGAGCAAGAACCCTCTCCTGAAAGGTCGTCGACAGTTGCGCCCACGCCACCAGCGAAGAGGCCAAAGTAATGGGCGACGTGGTCATCCACTTCGGCCAGGTGGAGGAAGATCGTTCTCGTTGGGGTTCTCCGGATGACGTACTGGGGACCAGCTTCCGGTGTCCTGGGACGTGAGATCGTCTTGCATCTCCTGGTCCATCATCTCGGTCGCCGCCATCGTGATCTCCGCCGCCGACATCTGGCTGAGAGCCTGGGCATTCTGGAAGAGGGCAGTTCCTGGAGGTCCGGGATATCCCTGACTTTGCTGCATCATGGACAACATCTGCGCCTGGCCCTGAGCCAAGTCTCTCATGGAACTGCTCATCTCCCGGAAGCCGCTCAGCATGGTCTGCAAAGTGATCTGGAGCTCGTGCGGGACGGGCTCCACGGGGGGAGCCATGACACTGGATGATGCTGCTCCCGGAGATGACTGACTCAGAACTGCCGTGGTCGTAGTCCGGGCTCGACTCTTGGCCTTGGCCTTGGCTGAGGTTCGGTAGGCGGTGTAAGACAGGCGAGCCGAGCACTTCGGACACACCGTCCATGAAGCGTACTGATTTGCTCTTCGAAGTGGTTGGCCGGAATGCAGGCACTTCCCGGGCTCCTGAGCACTGGCTGTCAAGAAGCGGCGTCTCTCGGAGAGGATGCTCTTCTGGTTGTTCTCGGCTCTGGCCAAGCGCAGGTAGCCCTGACGGATGGTCTCCCACATCAGGAAGATGCTCGCCACCATCAGCCGCCATCGCTCCTCGAGGCCGCTGCGCATCGCCGCTGCCGGTCGAGGCAGAGAATCCATGGTTTCGACGATGACACAGTTCGAATTTGGGACTACTCGCGGTAGTGCTTCGATTGCCCATCAGGACAGTCTCTGCTGAGCCGAGAGGATCATCGCGGGTCAATGTCTGCTTCATGCTCACGGGGACATGCTGTGGTAGTTCTTGGCTTCGACAGCTGCACGCGACATCCCTGGTATCTGCAGAGACATGAGGAACATGTGGCTGACTGTGGATGTGGAACTGTGACAGCTCATCCTTCTTCAAGTGGGAGTACTTAGAGCCCTGAACCCCGAGACACTTTCCCTTTATGTACGCGGAGGAGACTGCATCCTTCATGAAAGCGTCGTCCGCCAACCCAAACTGCTCCTTGGCGCTGGGTGGCACAGGGAAAGGGCCTCCGGCCCATTGGACCAGCTGTATCGCTCGGTGTCCCGAGGGAAGATTCGTCATCCTCATTCCCACATCGATGTTGTGGAAGTGAATGTTGTTGCTCACCAGATCGATCCGAGCACCAAGATGCTCCAGGAGGCCGACGCTCAGGAGAGGCGGGATATTGTCCTCGATGACGACAAACTGCACCACGCCAGGAACCCCGCCTGGGGAGATCGGGGCCAAGACAGCCTTTGCCACCCGGGCTGCTCCGCCGGTGGGAGCCGACTTCGGAGCCGGCACCTGCACGACCCGCAGACCACTCCGGCTCAGCTCGTCTTCCATGGCCAGGAGGGCCGTAGCGCCGATGATGTCCTGCGTGGCACCGATGTCGAGGATCGCCATGCCGGAGGGGATGGTCAGGAAACTCCAGGACGTCTGGCTATCCTCTTCGCGCCTCCAGTGCACTGGGAAAGACAACGGCGGGCACGCCAGCGTTGCCGCCGTGTGATTCTTGCCCTCATACTCGAAGTGGTTGGTTCCCAGGGAGCCCCCAATCACTGAACTCTCCAAGTCCTCGATCGACCCGTAGCGCTTCTGGGAAGCTGCCTCATCTTCAGACGGGAGGTAGTCGGTGAGGACGGCAAAGTAGCTCGAGCTTGAGTCGGGGAACGTGCCCAAGTAGCAAAAGCCGGACATCTTGGGGGGTCCTTCCGAATTGGCTGGTGTCTTGTTCAAGCGACAATCCTCGGCCCAATGTCCCCGCTTGTGGCAGATACGGCACTTCGAGACCTTCTTCAGTTGCTCTCTACTCACGGCTCGGCCTCCGGAAGACCGCCCACCTGCGGGACCACCACTGGACGTCGCTCGGTAGTTCTCGGTGACGGGACCCTTGCGGAAGGCTCCTCGGTCTTTGCGAACCTCTGCCTTGAACTTCTTGTTCTCCCGCCACGATCTACGCTTCACCTTCGGAGGCCGGTTCTCCAACAGCGCGAACACCATGGCGGCCTGGTCCTGAGAGAGGTCCAACTCCTCCAGCTCGAGGAGGGCCTGCTCATCCTCGTTCAGCGTTGCCGCGTCGCCGGAGTCCGATCATGCTGTTGTCCTCGGCGAGGTAGATCTCGCCAGAGCGCTCCTCTTCTTCGCCTACCTGGTAGACGTAGCCTGTCATGCGATCCGCCCGACTGTCCAAACGGGCCAGCGTCAGAGCAAGCCTCTCGATGTCGTGGTCGTGGCCCTGCATGAGCGCCGTCAGATTCTGCAAGCCCTGCTCACTCAACCCGGCGCCTTCCCTCAGCATGTTTGCCTTGAACTCATTCGGGAGGATGATGCCGTAGGTCGCGGCCTTGGAGAAGTCCCGAAGCCTCCTCATCGAGTACTGAGCCAGCGTCTCATCACGTCGCCGAGCATTCTCGTGCATGATTCCCCGGAAGGCCTGACGACGGTCGTCATCCTCCCGGACCCCTGCCTTCATCTCCATGACGCCAAGGATCAGGGAGAGGTACTCCGCGGACGCCAGCTGCTCCTCGGTCAAGTGCTCAAAGTCCACCTGCAGCTCCCAGCCCAAGGTGCGAAGAACCTTCTCAGCTCTCCTGAAGAGAGGAACATCCGTCTGCTTGTCCCATCGCTTCACCGCCGTGGTCCACTGTCGACGATACGACCAGCCGGGCCACGCGGGGGGATCTGAGTAGTCGCCCTTGGCCTGTCCTTGACTTCCAGCGCCCCAGCGCCATCCAGCCTGCTCCCAGCTCTGGCCCTGACGGTTCCAGCCTGAGCTCCAACTCCGGCCATTGCCTTGAGGTACAGGAGAATCGGGTAGCCGAGGGCCTGGAGGATCGGGTAGTCGATGACTCTGAGGAGGTAGCGCCACTGAAGTCCGTGAAGCAGAAGGCGCCGAAGGAATGCTCGGAGCCACCATTGTGGCCGCCGGAGACGCCGTCGCCGAGGAAACCAGCAGCCGCGCTGCCTCAAGCCAAGGATCCGCGGGGTTCTCAGCCCCAGCCGAAGCGGTAGTGGCAGAGGCGGTCATTTCTGCTGAGCTTGCCGAAACTGCCTGGTTGGAGGGCAGCGTGGCTCCAGAGCCTGGCTCTGAGAGCGGTACTTGCGAGGTCGGAGCTGCACCCTGCAGCGTGGCCTCGCCCCCGAACGATTCAGTCTCCCCTGTAGGCGTCGTCATCACTGCATACGAAGCGCGCCAGTCGGAGGTTGACCAGCGAGCATCTTGCCACCAGGGGTTCCTTTCCCACGACGACCAATCGTTCCAACTCCAGCTGCCGGAGTTCCAACGCCACGGAGTAGCGATCGCCGGCTCATCGGATTCGGCCGGCACTTCCAGAGTTTCAGGTTGCGCAGTGGTCATTGAGAGCCGAGTGGCCTATCTCACCTGGCTCACGCTACCAACTGTAGCGGATCTAAGAAACCCGGAGTGCACGACACGACACCTTTTGCCGCTTGCGCTGCATCCGTAGCTTGTTTCGGCTTGAGCCAGCCGAGCGATGCTCACTGGTTCTTCTGGTCAACAGATTGAGAGTGCTTGACACAAACAACATGAGAATCTTGACAAACCCTAAACTCAGGTGGGGTTCATGTTAAGGTTTTAGGGTTAAGAATTTCAATACTTCAGGTCCTGTAGCCCTAGCCCTAAACCCTATACCGGAAAGCCGAGAAGAACGCCTGAGTGTCACCTCCACACAGTAGCTCTGTGTAATCACTTCGTAAGACCAGATATTTCTTATAGTGCTCATGCTGAGAAAGAGTCAAGGTAGGGTTTAGAGAGGCATAAATGTATGAAAAAGGGTAGATCTTTGGGGGGGGGGGGTAGCATATATATACATAATACACACCACACATATTTGTTTTTTTATATATGTATGTATGGTCCCCCCACCTCCAAGACTTACCTCCCAGAAGCGCAATACATTTTTCCAGTGCTCTGCAGATGAGACTGCTGGGAACCACCGTTAAAACAACCTTGCTTTTTGCTCTTCAATGCTTTCCAGCCCATATTACGACTTTCACAAGCGCGTTCTATTGAAAGGCCTGGACTTGGCTAGTCGACGTTCGCGCGAAGAGTCATGAGAGATATTTCGACGCGACTGATTGGGGTGCCGAATGTGAAAATTTGGGCTGGTTTGGCTGCTGCAAGTTATTGGATGTCAGCAATAAATCTTGAATGCAATTGGAGATCCTTTTGGAGATCCTTTTTTTGTTTTGGACTCTGCTGTTTTGAATGTCCGGGAATATGTTGAATATGGGCAGAAAGCACGCAGGACAGCTACGAGGTGAGTATATATATATATATATATTTATTTATTTATATTTATATTTATATTTATCTATCTGTATATATATATATATGCGTGTGTATGTATGTATACATGTATACATGTATATGGATCACTATAAGAAGAGCTTCTGGGTGTAACCAAGGTATCCCCAAACGGACACCCTCACTTTGATAGCGAGCCACAGAAACACTCACCAAGAACATCATAAACCTTTGCACCAAGGCACAGCAACCCAACACCTCGTCGAGGAGTGCAGAGATCTGGGCCGAAGCGCAGTATTCTATAAGCCGCTGAATGACTCTGCAGCCATAGCCTGTGCAGCCGGCAATGTCTAACTAGGAATAACAATGTACAGCAACACGGCCAAGCAGCAGTGTTTGGCCATTCGCGACGCTTGACCTGAGAAATTTCGAATACCACGCCTAGCCTAAGCATAGCTCCACCATGAGGAGGGCTGCCGCATGTGCTTTAAGCATCAGGCCAGCGAATGAATCGACGATGAACCCGATTCGATCCGTTGGCAGGCGCTCAATGCCTCGCATCGCCCTACTGTATAGCCCTATAGATTACACGCAGCACCGAGACAACTGCACGACACCCTGCAGCACAAGCGTCATTTCTGGATAACATGGTTGCCATGCTGATCTTCAATGCATTTGATCACCTGAGACGCATCTGGAGACCAATAGCTTGCAACATGGCTGACAAACTTCCTGACAAACGAAGGCCATAGAATCGGAGAGCGGGTAAGCAATGCAGTCAGCAGGCGTGACCTTTCAACTCGCCAATCAGAAGGACTTGCTGCTCGATTGGCACCGAGTCCAGCGCCTGCAAATGCTGTGTACTGTTAGAACAGCCTTGCGCGGACAGCGTGGACTACTCCCGTCACAGCAAGGCCTTCTGCACTACTCGGCACCTTGCAGAGTCCAGAAACTTCACGATACAAGCAGGTTGTTTCTTGGTTGTTTATGTTTCTTAAGATCAGCCAAGCCGCCCATACATCTGGAGGGAAAGCTTCAGGACTTGCCCAACCAGCTGCTCCGCAAGGATTCGCCTCTGCTCAGAGTTGCCGTACCTCAGCAGGCATACTCCAAGCTTCTCGCGGCTGACAAGGAGCTCAACCGGTCCTGGCACACCCCTGCCGAGGCACTCGAAGAATTTCTGTATTACATAATTTCCGAAAACATCCGTTGTCAGCTGCGACATCCTTGGACAACAAAACGCGCAATCAGCAGCAATGAAAAGGCACTGCGCAAACTTAACAGTCCGCCGAGGCGAGGGGCGCAATACTGTATCAGCTCCAGCCAACATCCCTCCCGAAGGGGGTCTCTGCTGATGTTGCTTGGCTGGTTCTTCCCAAGGCATGTCGGCCTATGAGCTGAAATGTCGAAACGTTTCGAGGATCCCGCGCGAGGGCTCCTAAGAAACTTGTAAGAACCTTCTGGCACCTGCTCGCGCCTTGAACGACTCCACCCGGAACCTGCTGAGTTCTGCCGGGGTCTACGTTCGAAAGTATGCCAGCAAGGCAACTCTGGGCATTCCTTAGTGTACCTGGTAACCCTCTCTTCGGGACTGGTATCTAGAAGAGACTTGGACTGAACCTTTAGGCGCGAGCCCTGCAGCACTGCCGAGGCGGCGCGCATATCCATGTGTCAATGTTAAGGCACTTTCAAGCGTTCTGGTCCAATATTGCAGGCCAGTGTCTTTTGAAGCACCTGCTTAAAGGCCATTTGCTTTTGCTCGTCGCTTGCCACTTCCAGCTTCTGCTGTATAAGCCTTGGCAGACCGCGCGAAAGTGCTTCCGTAACGCATCATGAGGTGCACGTACGCTGCAGCAGTGTGCATGCACGGTGCCTGGAGCCGTACTGATCCTGGGCAATCTCGCTGATGTGTCCGGAAAGTTCGGCAAGATCAACAAGCCGTTCTCGTGCCTGGATAGATGCCGACACATGATCGCAAGTGATTCCTTTCTGGAGCGGCATCACCCAGCCGCCTTCAAATGCTCGATGAGCGGACTTGTGGCCTGCGGCCTTAGCTTGCTGGCAGCGCGGTCATCGCCAGCCTGTGGAGCACCAAGCTTGCAGGCACAACCATGGCGCAGCTTGCACTTGACTTAGCTGGGCCTCGACCTGCCCACCACTCCGCCTCCGCCTGTCACCTTTTCCTCCTCAGGTGACAGAAAGCAGGCAACATGAAAAGCAAAAAAAAGAACAAAAGACAAAAAAGCAACAAGAACATGACGGGCCGGAACTGTGCTGGCCTCCTTTGTCCGAAGCCCTATTCAAGCTCGCTGACCCTGGCGCAATTGCGCCAGGTTCATGCTGCTGGGGCTGAGGAGCATGTTTGGGTTCCTTGTCCCTGCGTGCTTTGGTCTTCTTGCTTTCGGGTGCCACGGGCCGTGGTGGCTGGGGTCCAGGGGGCAAGGCTTGGCTGGGGCTCAGCACATTCTCCTTCTCCTTGGGCTCCTTGTCCCGTTCTTGCCGCTCAGCCTTTCGCGGCGCCGGCGGAGGCGGCGCCGATGGAGGGGCAGAGGTGGGAAGTCCGGAGGCTCCAAGGGAGCTCAGCGTCGTGAGAGGGGAGATGGCCGGGAAAGCGTTGGTAGGCCCAGGCGCTGCAGGCTGCGCGGGCCCAGGCTGCGCGGGCCCAGGCTGCGAAGGCTGCGGCTGTGGCTGGGCCACCTTGGCGAGACTCTAGTCTAAACACATCAAACATGCGTTTTTTGTTGCCTCTTTAAACGGCCCGCGGGATATGGAGTTTTGCATGGTCTCAAAGGGCATGAGTCCTCATAAAGTTTGACAAGTAAGAAAGGAACAAGAAGAACAGCTTGAAAGGTTCAGAGCTGAGGCCCAACCTTAGATGGGAAGACGGTCACTTCCCCGTTTAAGCCAAAAGGACAGCGGCTCAAGAGGCAGGGGGCCAGAGCCAGCACATAAAAGAAGGTTCTTGGAACGAAGGCCTGCCTTTGAGATTCAGAGGCCCGGCAAAATCAGGACATCAAAGCGGGTCCCAAGACAGTGCCCATCTTTGGAGGTGAGGCTGGCTTCTGGACCACGGATGCTCTGGACCCCCAAGCAGTCACCGCAGCACTTAAAAGGGACATCCTCAGATGCACACGAATGATTTCACGGAATACATGACCAACCAGCACACATGTCAACAACGCAGCGGGTCAGCGGTGATGGACTGTAGCATGCAGTGATGCACTCACAGAAGTGGGACTTGTGTAGTGCAACATGCACATCCCAGCCCAGCTCTGGTGAAGCATCCGGCAAGGGACGGTGACTAAATTTCCGGCATCTTGCCTAGCTGAACTTACTACTGGGGAGCTACGAAGCGATAGAGACGGTGAAGTGATGATGCCGAGTTCGCGGTAATGAAACTGAGTGACGGAGATGAGGGAGACGTCCACACTAAGAATCCACTAAGATCTGGCTGGCCGGCAAAGACTATGCACGCATGTGTCAGCAAGCTGGGACCCATGCCTGTTGCGTTGGCTGCGATGGTTGCTGCTGTTGTTGCTGCTGCTGTGCTTGCATCATCATCATAGACAGCACGTTCGCATCGACAGGCACTTGCGCAACCGACTTGCTGGACGGTTCTGACGGTCTCGCTGCCGCTGCAGGTTGCCCTGGGGTGGCTGCGTTACTGACCAACATGTTGTAGTACGGTGGGGGATTCAGCCCCTGCCATAGATTTTGCATGGGAGGAGGATAAGATGAAAATCCAGCAGACGATCCGCTTGGACCTCCTGCAGGTGCACTGCTGTCTGGTACGCGTTGCGGCGTGCCCAGTGGAGCAGCTTGCGCATTCTTGGCTGGAGGGAGTCCAATACCATCTGGCTCGCCAAAACTATTGATAACACCACCACCATACTGATAGACTGGCGACGGTGTTCTGGTGGGAGTTCTGTGGGGAGCCTCTTCGATCCTTTGGTAAGGTGCTCTGCCCCTGGCCTCATCCAAACCTCCCAAGCCGCTGGTGAAGAACGGTGGGCAAGGCTCGAGCAAGGGATTTCTCAGCCCTGGAAGTTCTGGTCTGCTTGGCGCATCACCCTCTTCAAGCAGGATGCTGCTCGCCAGCTCGCCTTCGTATGAACCATCTGTGGGAAGCTGCATCTGCTTCCCGCACTCGCGACTCAAAAGCCTGCACGGCCATGTTACAATTTTCGTGGAGCCAGATGCTGCGCGCGTGGCATCGCGGGGGGCACAGTGAAGGCTTGCAGGATTCCAGTGTAGTTTCAACAGGAACGGGGTAGGTCCTGGTGCTTGCTCAGAACACGAACACATCCAAAACAATCGTCTTCCGGTCTTGAGCATTTTGCGAATTATGTATGGGCTTTCAGGCATGAATGCCAAGTGAAACTTGTAGCGCAGAGCGCGGTGAAACACCGGCCTTCAACATGGTTAAGCTACAAAGCTAAGTTGATCTGACTGCTTTCATGTGCAGATTTGTGCCGCAGGGCCTTTCTGCTGCATCTGCAACTTTTGCAGAAGCTGACGAGGCGACAAGACTGCTTTCGTCGATGGTCGCTTGCGCTCGCGCAGGTGAGACTGAGTGAGCTTAGTGCACTCGCTTTTGTTGGTGGAACTCCCCTAGCTGTGCCCCATATGCCATATGAACCCTAGGTGCATAGGTTCGGTCTATGCGAAATCGATGGAACGTGGAACGTCCTGCCCATGCTATGATGCGCTATCGACAAATAGTCTGAGTTATGCAACGCAACTGCAATCATGGTGTTAGGCTTCATGAAAGTCTAAGTTGTCATCTTCCTCGTCGTAGCTGCCACAGCCTCTACAGATGAAGTCGATGCTGAGACCATTCTCCACTTGTACTCGAAACCGGCATTTGTACAGCTCGTTCTTCTTCGGTCTGAAGGATATCTTCAGTCGCTGCGGCTCGAAGCGCTCCTCGTCCGGAAACGACGGCGCTCTTGGCAGCGCGGAGCTCTTGGCGCACCAATGCGGCAAGCGCTCCTCGGAGCCTGGCACCAAGCCATCCTTGGATGGGCCCGGGAGCTCACCGGCGCTGATGTCGAACTCGAAGGCATCCTTCTCGTCCAGCGCACGGAACTCCTCCTCTTCTGGTAGAGTGGCGCCTATTACGGGTGCAGCCTTTCTTTTCCGGCCCACGTGTACCAGCGACCACTTTGCCAGCGTATTTGTTATGTTGGAGAGGAGGATGCACCGGGACCGGGTGATGGAGCTCTGCACATGCGTGTAGCCAAACTCAACGATCACGGGCACCGGCTCGGACCAGGGTGGTCTTTCGGCCCGCTCGAGCCGCAGTGGGCGGTCGAACTCGTTGGGAACGACGTGAACTTGGACCGCCGGTCGCTTGGCGGTTCCGACCAAATGGATCCTCTGGAGGTCGTCCTCCGACACAAGGCAGCTACACCAGGCAACACCATGCTACACTCTTTCCCAGTGCATTTCACCCGCCCTGGAAGACATGAGGCACTATCGCTGTGGGCGGCGTGTACTTTCTGGTTTGGGGAGGTCCAAAAGAGGCTAGCAAACGCGACCAAAGAAAGGCTTTGTCCAAGGGCTGGTCCGACACAACACAGCACGCCTGCCACTTCTGAATGTAACCCTTCCTGCCGTCAAAATGCATGTGGGAGGGCCTCCGGGATGCTCATGAACCCTTTAGAGGCAGGCACCACCACGGTTACACACTAGAGTACACTGACTACAAGCGCACCTTCCTCGAACCAGAAAAGCAAGTCTTGCAAGACTGCCCCAGCTTGCCGCCGCGAAAGGTTGTGTGAGACGAGGTGCAGTGGGGCAGCGGGAGGGGGGTCCTGAAAATTCACGAATAACAAGGAGTTGCAAAGGAGCCGGAGGATTTGCTTACTGGCTTAACACAGCCGAAACTCCACACACCGGACCCAGCAACACAGTGTCACGAAATTGATGAGTCGACAACCTCGGGAAGACATGATGTGTCCAGCCCTTCTGTAAGCCAGTCCTTGTGGGTATCGAGTTCACTTTCAGCGTCGCGAGGGTACTCCACAATTAAATCGCCTCTGAAGACATGCTCGTGCTTGGTCAAGTAATGCTGCCACTCGGACTGAGGAATCTGTTCAGGAGTGAACACCACGTGTAATGTCACTGTCTCCGACTTGGTCAAAACGAAAAGCTTCCGAATGTCCGATGGCGGCTGGTCGTCCTTCTTTTTGGCTTTACTGCTGGAGCTGTCCTGATTCATCACGGGATGCGTGCCACCTTGCTGTATAAGCTGGATCTTGAAGGGGCCTTCGGTGCGGAACTTGCAGGTGATCTTTGCTGCATTGTGGTTGGAGAAGCTGATCTGACGCACCAGGCAGGATGAAATGCCCGTGACCTGAGTGCCGCCGACTGCACCTCCATGCAAAGGGCCGGTGGGTGGTTGTGACCCCTGCGACACTGAGGACCACGTGAACTTGAAGACTGGCGCGTTCACTATGGGCGGCTCTCTGTCATCTCCGATGTCGTCCTGCTCCTTGTTCTGCGCCGGGAACTCCTGAATTGCAGGGTTTCCTTTCTTGTCGACCGTCAGCCTGGGCAAGATGCAGTCGCCGGCACAGTCGATCACAATCGTAGCAAGCACATCCAGTTGGGGCTCCTGCAGGCTAACGTAAGGGGCTGATCTCTGCCTGTGGCTCTTTGCAAGACGCAGCCTGGGGCATGAACATTGAATACTTCCAAAACCAACTTAACCCTAACCCCTGAACCCCCTGAACCCCTTAAGTGCACAACAGGCGGTGCAACTGGTCTCCACGGCCAAAGGTTGTGGAGGTGGTGGCCCGCGATTGCGCTTGAAGCGCTTGGTCGCCGTAGCCTCTGCAGGCACCTCCAGGCTTACGGCATCAATCATAAAAACCCGAGGCCGCTGCCAAAGAAACAGGGGATTTGTAGCAAACTAAAGGAACACAACGAACAAACACAGCAAAAGGCTTGAAACATGCCCCAGGTCGTGCCTCGACCAAAGGCTCCTGCAACAGCGTCCTGGGGTCAACTTCAACATCTGAGTCGTCATCAACGACCTCCTGTCCGTCCAACTCGATGTCCGGAAGATTCTGAACTTGAGCATCCTGGCTAAGGGCCACCTGTCTCACTGTCAGACGCTTTCACCATGTCAGAGTGGCTTACTCATCTGCGAGACCGAGAGAAACAGAAACAACCAGCAATGAGATCTCTCGCCAAGTCACATAAGCAGTTTGGGGAGGCCGCTCGTCGTACTCCTCATCTGGATTGGCTTCTGCAAAAGCCAAACGCTCCGCCCGGTCATCTGTAAATCGACCTCAATGACACGGCATCAGGAGATGGAGACTCGGGGCGGGGCCTTCAGGTGGCAGTGGCTGCGGTGATTCCGACCGAAAGAAGGCTCCTTTCTTTAGAAGCATATACGCTCATGACATAGTCATCTCTGACGACACAATTACAAACACCATAAACAAAACTAAACGAAAAATAATAGTGCACACATGTATATGTGCTCGCCCCCGCCCTTCCCCCCCTTTCCCCTATCCCCCGAGACTTACCTCTCGCACAATCTTCCACCCAGATAAGCTACCCCGTGACGCGTGCTGTGCACTGCCCTCCCTGCCGTGTGGCGATCGCACTGACATCCAAGTGGCAATCCCCAATCAGAGTGTAGCGGTAGTTGTTTGCTGCCGTGAGGGTGGCTTTCAAGCAAGTCATCGTCACGGTGAAGCTGGCGGTTCCGTGCTCTGGTACCTTTCTACAGCCAATTCAGACACAGGCGCCTGGTCTCTCCAAAAAAGCACGAGCACCACATGCAACCGTGATGCTACGGCTTCTGCCGGTTCGATGACTACGGGGAGTTCACCGCCCGATAACGAAAAGGGATCTTGAACTTCTGGAGGTTCTTGTGACCAAATCTTGAAGTTGAACGGCTCCTCTGGATCTAGCTCCTCCTCTTCCTCCTCCTGCACCTTCTCGCCATCAATACTCAGCTTCGGCACATCCTGGCTATACACCATATGCCATATGAGCCACAAATCAACAGCAGAAACGATCCGACTACAATAGCGACTACAAGTGCTCGACGTGGATGGAGGTCCTTGTCCAGAAGTTTGCTTTCTGTGGCCGGCGGCTCCACGAAAGGGTCCTTAACACCCGGATGCCTTCCACAAAGACCCACCTGAATCATCCCGCGATCTTCTGCCATGTTCTCCAGCTTCATCTTCGGGAAGATCTGTGAACGATGGGGCATAGATAAGTTCGGTGGTGGTTCCTGCTTTGATGAGATTATACCAAGGCATAGGGATAATAGTACTAATTGTCCATCAGAGCCATTGTTCCATCGGATCACTGATGAACTGCATCTGGACATGTCCCTTTCTGTAGTAAGGGGGGCGTCCATTATTTGATGCTGTGCTTTTCCTCATTGTAGTGCGTTTCCCCATGGGATTTTGCACGTTTCATCTCTCTGGGGAGTTTCCCTCTCTTTGCTTCCTCCTGTTTTCGGCGTTGTTGAACATTTCGAATTGTTTTCAATGCTTTCTGTTGGGAACAGGCTTGGCCCGGCTTCGTGCATTTCTAGCTGACAGCTTTACAGGGTTTAGTGGTTCGCGCTGCTTTGGCTTTGGGGGTTTCAGGGTTTCAGCCTGTGGTGCTTGCACAGCTTTTTTGGATTTCAGGGTTAAGGGCTTTGGAGTTTGCGGTGCTTGACTTTGGTGTTTGCTTTTGGGTTTTGCAGCTTCAGGGTTCAGGGCTTGGGGGTCGGCACTGCTATTGGGTTTTGGTTCTTCAAGGTTGAGGGCTTTGGTCTTGTCACTGTGCTTTTTGGTGGTACGAGTTTGGAGGTCCGGGTTTAGGCTCAGGGCTTGGGGTTTGCCCTGTTTGTTTGGGGGGACGGGTTTGGAGGTAAGTCTGCAAGCCCTAAACCCTAACGAAACCAGCAGCTGAAAGCTCAAAACAAGGAAGCCCCAGGCACGCCCACGGAATGCAGCACAGAGCAGTGGCTTCAGATTGCAGGTTTAGGGTTTTTTTTGGGGGGGGAGGGTTAGGGGGTCTGAGACTTCAGGTAGCCTCACGAATCCGAATGCTGCTCCTGAAGGAGGCGCAAAAAAAAGTACAGAAACAAGTGCAGTTTTTGGAGAGCATGAAAAAGCAGCGACAACTCATGGGAACAGGCACGTTTCGGCAGTTCAACAACAACGAAAAGCAGGAAGAAGCAAAGAGATGGAAACTCCCCAGAAGGATGACATGTGCAGAACCCCATGGAAGAAACGCACTCAATAACAAAAGTACTGAGAGATAGAACCATATTTTTACTTCGAACATCCCCACCGTGCAGGGAATTTGCGAGCACACCCTAGGGTTGGGCACTCCAGGGATTCTGCGGGGATACTTTAGGGTTGGACGCTCCAGAAAATGTTTCTGGAAATGCTCTGAGGTTGAGCACTCCAGGGATTCTCTGAATTCTCTGAGGTAGGGCACTCCAGTGGCTCTTTGGGGCTACTGTGGCTTTGGGCACTCCAGGGATTCTGTGGGGATACTCCAGGGCCGGGCACTCCAGGGATTCTCTGGGAATGTTGTGAGGGGTTTGGCACGCTGGGTTTGGTTTGCAGCTTTCCGCTATGTACTGCACGACCGCACTGTATAGCACTCGGACATGCCCTGCATCGACGATGAAGGCTGCCTTCCAATTCACCACCACCCTTGCCGCAGAGTTGTTACCGACTTTGAAACGTCTCATTAGCTGCTTCTCGGCCGGCACGGTCACGCCGCACAGGAGCCTTCACAGCAAGGCGGAAGATGGATCCACAGATCTCAAAGAAGTCAAACTCGCGAAAGCCCAACGGCGGAGCCTTGCCTTGGAGGAGACGCCAAAGTGTTGAGGCCGACTTGCTGATCCGGAAGGTACAAGGGGTTTCCATACCTGACGTGGAAAACAACAACCACAGGTCAGTTGGCGCATCTTCTGGTTCCCAGCTGCATCGAAGCCACGACTTCAAACGCAAAGGTATGCGAAAGTTTTCTCCCTCAGAGTGCCCTGGAAGCTCCCTCATGGTGAGGACGAGTTCCTTTGCTGCCGTGACGTGTTGTGGGAAGCAACAGCATCGAGCACTGTCTGGAGTCTGGAAGCTTTTGGGTCCTTCGATTGTGACGGCAAACGGCGACTGCAAAAACCCACAGGACGGTATGCCCGGGTATGACCATGCATGACCGGGTGTGACCGGGCATGACGAGTATGACCGAGTATGACCGGGCATGACCAGGTATGACCAGGTGTGGGTGCGACCGGGGACCGAGCATGATCGGGTGTGACCAAGCACGTGCAAGACTGCAGCAAGAACATGTAAGCCTTGGTGTTGCTGAGGCATAGTCGGCCGTACAAGGCCTGTAAAGCGGAGTGGGCGCGCGCTGGGCCGTACTCGTCGGGTGTACTCGGGCGCGCGGATAGACGGGTGTGCTCAGCGCACTCGGGTCAGCATCCTTCGCGTTCAGGGAAAAGTCGGATTGACTGCTTAGTAAGAGTCTAAACCGGCCTACACGACAAAAGCCCACCGAAGTCCCAGGGCTTTATTTGAGGTATTTGAGTTCGGAGGCTTGAGGTTTGTGGGGACGCTTAGCCGGCACTTGCCATCCAAGGCGCGGGCTGTTCTCTAATTGCTGCGGCACACAGAGTGCAGGCTCGACTGCTCAGGAACCATATCAATAAGGGTTGGTTACTTCTATAAGGGACCAGGAACCCAAAAAAGGCAACAAGGGTACCATTGTGCTACCCAGTAGCCCACAGTGTTCCCTTAAACTCTAAGCCCCAAAGCCCTTCAACTCTGCCGGGTGCGGCTTTCGAAGGGAGGCGCCTCCCAAACAGATGCTGCCGTTGAGTTGAGAGGTGGGTCGATTGAACGGCACGACTGGACGATGAAATTCTTTGTTGTAGATTAGGATGTGTACGAAACAGGGTATCTATGTAGTGGAGTCCGGGCACACGCCAGGGGTGCTTGGAACACTCGCAGAACAAAAAGGCACAAGCTTCTAGGGTACTCTTGCGTGCTCGGGCGTACTCCGGCGAACTCAGGCTTTAGTCGCGGAACGCGGCGGCAATGGAAGCTTCCGCGTTCTGTGCACTTCTGGAGAGAATGGGGCAGCTCATTGCGCGGTCGGCATGGATCAGCCGAGCATCATCTTCCATGTTCCCCGGCAGATCACTGAAGGAAGTCACGACGATCACGGCAGTGCTGAATGGCTGCAGCCAGTCACTAGTCGGCGACACCTTCACTGCCTGGGCCCAAGCCACGTTCAAATGCATGTCGTTGCGACAGAGAGAGAACGTGGAATGTCAGCTGTGGAAGCCAGGCGGCGAAGCCACGGCCAGCTCGAAGCGCCATCTCAGGAGGCAAATCTGTGGCATAACAGCGGCATTGGCTTCAAACCGAGGTCCCAGCTCGACCCTGCTCTTTCATCTCCTTCTGCTTGGCGAAGTCGGCCCCAAAGCTGCTGCGGAAAGCCTGCAGAGGCATCCGAAGCACTTCGCCGAGCATCCGCAACTCCGCAACGCAGGGCCTGGCGCTCATGCTTGTCATCCAAAATCCACCTGTCACGCACCCGATGCACTTCCATGTCGTGTGAAAGAAATCCTCACAAGGCCAAGCAAGCCTCTTCTTCTTGGTGCTCGTCTTCTTGGTCTTATTCAAGGTACTCCTGAGCAGTGGTCGATACACAACGGCTCCGAGCCTCAATTCAGCAAATGTGTGCAGCCAAGACTCTTCAGCTTCTTTGGTTTCACCCTTGCGTGCAACGACATAGACGAAGCATTGGCACATGCTCTGAAGCATGTGCCTTCAAACCTTGTAACCCGGCCTCGATGGATCGTTGTCATCACGGCCAGCACCAGCTGGTTGGGGAGAGTTTTCGAAGCTCTGCTTGACTGTATCTCCTGAGACCGAAATCCCTGTTGCGGAAGCCTACAGCGTCTAGCGAATGTCTGCCGGCATGTCCCCGCCTAGGTTTTCAGGCTCTGCTCCACCTGCAGCGTTGCTCCAAGCTCGTGCATGTGGCGTCGGCCCGCTAGTTTCGTTCCTGCCTGACTGGTTGATGAGGGCATACATACGCGTGGCCGCGTCCAGGTAGTCGCCAATCTTACGGCCCTTCACAAGCGGATCAAAGGCTGGGTTCTTGTCGACTTTCACACCTCAGCTCCATAGGCTGCAGCTGCATGAATGCGTGTCATGCTGGACTTCATCCGAGTTGCTGTAGGGTGTCGCAATGCCGGTCCTGTTGTAAAGCACCACTTGCATCACCTTGGCCTTTTGAAGTGGCAGCTCGCCAAAGTCCACTGATGGCATTCTTCTGGGGGCTTTTCCGCTGCTGATCATGTATGTGCCCCGCGGATCACAAGGCGAATCTCCAGGTTGGCGTGGCTTGAGCTCGATTTCCGGAGGCAGCTCCCCAGGCTCCACAACTGCGTAATCCACTTCGCACCCATAAACGACGGCAGTGACCCGAAGCCTTCAGGTGCATTTGGCCAAATGCAGTCGGTGCTTGTGAGCCGGATTCTGACCAAGGCACTCCAAAGGCTGCAAGATTTCTTCGATGTAAAGATGACATGGAAGAACCGCGTGGCCTGCAAGCATGCAACGCAGAAGGGACTCGACTGGCTAGACCCTGGGAATCTGTGGTGCCCGACCTTCGTCTGGAATCTTGGTCGGCACGGCAATGATCGTACATCTCCGCATCTCTCTGGGTGGAATTGAGCCCTGGCATCGGCCAGGACCAAGTGTCAGTTAGAGTTACTGTAACTGAAGGTGCAGCGTGCCTGCGATGGGTGGATTTGTGCCTCTAAGCCTCCACACTACTCTTGTCTGTCCACAAGTGCAGAATGACAAGAGAGAAGCCGGCGAAGGTTGGACATTTGGATTTGGAGCTCAACTGACTGCTGCTGGGTGGCAGCCATCCATTTTCACGGGGACCTTCCATTTGAAGTCGGCGGGCATTTCTGACTCGTTGCGCAGCTCCACCTCCATGGGTTCGGATGCGGTCCTGCCGTCACATATCTTCAGGCCAACAGCAAGGCAGCATGCACACTCACACTCCTGAGATAAGTGACCGGAAAGTGAGCCTTGGCTGCAAGCATTCGTCATGGAGGAGGGCCAAACAGAGTGGCACTACTTTCAGGCACTGATTTGACTCAAGAACTTACTGAATGGAGGCCGGAGGCATGGTGTGTGTTTATACGGACCAACCTCCGCACAGAACACTGGCACTGGGCAGACTTGCACACACCCACAATATGCCACATTTGCTGAGGGCATGCCAAGCTCTAACGGTCTAACGGAGCAGCTGAGGTCAGGCACGGCAGCTGTACAGAAGCGAAAACTTCAAGGCATTGGGCATGCAAAGAGTTGAAGCCAACAGCCTCGGCTCTTGCGCATCCCACTGGCAGCGACACGGATTGCCTGCAGCACGTGTCGAGCCTCCAATAAAGCTTTGTATTTTCCAACGTTTCTCGAGCGGAAGGTGACCTCGACCTCCAACACATGCTCAGTCCAATCGCTCTGCAGGTGCTCTTGTGTAACTTGCCACCAGTTGACTCACACTGCTGTCCAAACAATCGCCGAAACTCAGATTTCTGTGGCCTCTCCACTCTTGCCCGGCCAAAGTGCCAGGTACCCTGGATGGAACACGAAGTCCTGCCACAAAAGAATACAAAAGACGAAGTCGCCACTGCGACTCACTTCGAGTAAGCCCGAACTAAAGCACTCCTCTGAGTCTGAAACGAACCTGATGGCGTCCAGTTCGTCCGCGTCGTCAGATCCCCTGCCGCGACTGTGAGGCTTTTACGATCTGAGAGGGCCTTCGGACGACTTGATGTACGTCCGCCCCCCCAAAACAAAAGAAGGCTCACCTATAGGGCCCTAAACTGCTCAGTCCTGGACTTGGCTCCGAACTTGCGGCGGCCGCTCTGATCCAAGCAGCCGCTGCGCGAATGAACCCAGGGCTGCACCGCAGCCTCGAGGTACTGCTCGGACTCGATGGCTGCAAAGCCTTCATGGCTTCTCCGGTTCACGGCGTCCACGAAGAGATTCACAACCTCGCGATGTGACTCCACGGGAAAAACGTGGTTGCGCTCGGTGTCCTGTCGAACACAGTCTGGGCCTCTGGCCTCTGGCAACATCTCTCAGAGCCTCCCCTAGAGCCTCCCCTACAGCCTCCTAGAAGAGAGATGTTTTGCACCCTCTCGGCCTTGAACTCGCGGAGTTGCAGAAGCATCGGCAGCTCCGTTGGGTTGCTCAGCTGGACTTTCAGCGTGTGTCTGGAGTGCGCCCGCACAACCCCGAAGTCCAAAATAGATCTGCTTCTCATTTCTGCTCGTGGTGCTCGAACAGCGGCAGCAATTTCCACCTGAGCAAGCTTCGGACAACATCTTAAATCGAGCTAAGGGGTACACTGCTTTCTTGTTCGGGAAGTTCACGAGACACCCCCGGCCGCCTTAACAGGTGGCGCTGCAGGCTCACTGCTCTTGGCGTCCAACGGCAAGTCAATGACAAGTTGCCCGTCCAAATCACACTCATGCACGGCACGCAAGGTCACCCGAATTGTAACAGCACCGCCGGGTGGAATGCGGCCCTCGTGAGGCTCCACGGCGCAGGATGCAAGGGCACCGTAGCCAGGCATTTGCGAGGCACCCGGGAGACCCGGTTCTGGTGGCAGTGGCGGCCACGCCTGGGCCAGTCGGGCTGCTTGCAGTCTCATCTCCTCGAGCTGGGGGTCCGCATGTGGTAAAGCCTGAGGCTCCTCAGGTTTCATGCCAACTTCGGGTACAGATACAATCCAAAGAGGATCAATAGAGTTAGCGTCAGCCGCATGGAGCGTCGAAGTCAAGCGCACTCTGAAGTACGAGGAGTATGAGCCAGAATTGAAAACCTTGATCTCGCGCACGCTGGGTATGAAGGGCAATACGTCCCCCGGCAAAACGATGGCACGAGGCATTGCCGTAATTGTAGGCGCGGCTGTCAGGCCCTGAAGGCAAACAGCCGTAATAACGCGGCTGACCGCGCAATCCTTCAGGGCTGGCCAAGTTCGTGTTACTATCGCCATGAACTCCTTGGCATTACTCCTACCCCCCCAATCAAGATGCCAGTGTCGGGACCTCCAAGTGAGCGGTGCCCGAAACTCGAATGTTTTGTTGGAAACAGAATGCTGCTTAATTGCGATAGGTTGCGCTGTCCAAGCTTTGGTTATTTCTGCTTGCGCCGCAACAACAGCAGCTTGCGATGTCTACGGCAACTTCGCTTCCCAGCTTGCTTGCCAAACCCTGTTCCGGAAAGCCCCTGTCTTTTATGCAAAAGAGGATGTCAGCCCCTAGATCTTACACTCAGAGCACAGAAGAAACCGAGCGTTCGGAGCCTTCGGATCTGCAACTTTAACGTCCAGCGGGTCTGTCGAGCCATTGCTCTTCAGCTGCTTGTCGAAGGATGGGCTAACCACGCCTCCAAAGAGCGGAAGGTGCTTGGAATATGCATCATCGACAGGCCTCATCTCATCCTGCAGCTCCAGCAGCTGATTGTAGTGCAGCATGCAGGCCATGCTGTCGGGCAAATCGCGCGCAACAAGGTAGGCAAAAACAGCGGACTGTGACCCCACAGGCCCGAACGCCTCGAAAGTAAAAGTGAAGGTGCTTGTGGCAAATGGTTCAATAGTGACTGATGCTGGCTCCACCTTGAATGGACAAGCAGATGTCAGATGGCTGCTGGGCACGTGCACCCTCCAGTCATGAATCTCACTGATCAGCTTGTCGGTCAAGCGGTTGATGGAGCCCACAGCCAGACGGGCCAGAATCTGCCGTGGTGGATAGGCCAAAGCCCATTCGACCCGCATGGGCATGAACCCACCATTCGAGATTTGGATGGACTGCCTGGACTTGTGTCCAACCTGCGTGCCAGGCCGCAGCCAGTTCAGCTGCCAGGGGACAAGTTGCCAAGCACAGCTGCCCTCTTCAATCGCCGTTGCCGGCAGCTCCTCTTGAAGGGTCGGCCATCGGGTCAGCTCCAAACGAACTGCATCGCACACGGCCACTAGGCTGAGCGGTGTCTTTTCTCCATTATCCCCTTCGACAAACAGTGGACATCTGTGATGTCCTACTTTATCGGCTTCAAAGCGCACGCTCAAGTCGGTGAAGGAGTTCGCATCCATATAGAACGACGCTGGCCAGATGCGGAAAGACCCTACGACAAGAGTCAAGTCTGTTTCTGGATAGGATTCATAACAGAAATCATCTGGAGGATCGTCCTCGCTGACGATCAACCTGAAAGCCCCTTCCCCTCCCAGATTCCGTATTCTGACCGGCTCCGTGATGTTGTTTCCTGAGGCATCGAATAAAAAGCCCATGAGCTGAGACAGGGCTGCATATGATACTACAAAGGCTAGCTAGCGACGAGCACATGTCCAGCGCACGGCCGTCTCGGACCCTGAGCTCCCTCGCCCCGCCTGCAAGCATGCATCCGCAGTTGACAGGCTCGTCGATCTTCAGCTTGGGCTGATCTCGTCTAGCTAGCAGAGGCAGTTGATAGTCTCCGATCTCTGTACAAACGGTCAGAAACTCTGTCTCGTCATTCAGCGTGTTAGGTGCAAAGGACCTCGGCAGTTGCGGAGAAGTTAGCAAACCAGCCCTCACAGATGTGCCAACAAGGTTTAAGCCAGCTACGAGTACTTCAAGAGACTCTGGGTTGCGCACACCGTCAGATGGGCAGCCATGCCTGGTGCAACAACCGCCGCCAAAGGATCGAGGCCGACCAACTCGGGACGCTCGGCATTCAGCTCCTCGTCAAACGCATTAAACTTCATTAAAATATATCATTAAAATATATTAAAATTCAATCCGGGGCCGTAAGACCCCAGAGGCCCTATCCCTTCCGATGTCCTTGTCATACCGAAGCTCTTTGATGGAAAAAGCCGTATTGTTGCAAGGCAGAACTCGCAAGCGTCTGCTGATGCCAGTGGAATTGCGGAAATCGACCTGGACGTGCAAAGATGCCTGATTCCATGAAGAAAGTGCTGCTGAGAAAGGCCTGAATTTGGTAGAGGCCGCCGATCTCATAATTTCGATACAATATCGTTTCAGGAGTAAACCTGCCAAAAGGATCGGCATGCAGACGCAGCATCATGCAGACGCAGCATCATGCAGCCGGAATCATCTGAGCCATGCGCCAGAACGGGCATGGCTCGCCCCGATCCTTCCCTTGCCGATCAGCCAGGAAGCGAGGATTCTTGAGGAAGTTGACCTTGCGCACACTCGGAATCAGAAGCGACAGAGCACCCAGCCAGAAGCAATTTCCGAGCAGCACTCAAGGCACTAGCCAGCCTTCATCTGCATCCTCTTAACAATCTCTCGATTCTTGGCCTTCTGATCGGCATTCAGTCCAGCTGGCATGCGGGGCCTCTTTCTTAATCTCTCCTGCGCAGAGATGCGCAGGAAACCCCGCGCAAGCAGGCAAAGTATCGGAATGGAGCATGCGAGGATTCTGTGAAGCGACCCTACATTCGCCATACCCCTTTAATTTTGCGTTGCGCGCACCCTGGGCCCTGGTCACCGAGGGCATCGGGCCTGTAGATCTGCTGCGATCAGCTGCTTCTGATCTTCTTTCAGGGTGGCTTTGACCTGTGAGGCTCTTCGTCTTAGCTGTTGACGACGCATGGTCTGAGCATGCTCTGGGGAGCACATGGTGGCTGTCCTGCATGGTCTCTGCACGCAGTTGTAAGGACTTCGTCATCTTGAAATGGTTTGGCTCCTGAACGGTAGAGGCCCCCAATTGCATTCTCGCATGGCGTCCCGCATGGCACACAAAAAGAAAAGTGACCAAAAAGTGCACTCCTCGGGCTTCGAGATTGCTAAAAGGTTGTCGTGCTGAGGGATGGTTCCTTTCTTAATCTCATAGAACCGCTCCATGTCTTCCATCATGTGGCGCCTCGGAGGGCGAGGGCGAGGCCCAGCTCTTAGGAAGAAGTCTCTCTTGTACCCGGTTCGTCCCTCTCTCCCAGGCTCCGGCGGTATGATGAGACCTTCTTTTTCCATCTCGTGCGGATCGACTCTGTGCTTCAGCTTGCCTAAGTCACCGTCGGACTCCCCTGAGGCCAGGGAAGATGCTGAGCACATGACGTTAGGTTCAAAATGACGGCAAGCTGCTTTCAGGCACGGGCAGCTGCTCGCGCATCACAAGGCCCCAGCGTTGCAGCAGCTCTGCTGCTTCCTCGTGGTTTGGTCTCTTTAAGCATGTCGTCTGATGTCATACTCCAGTTAAAGCCACCGGGCAGCCCAAAGCAGCCAAGACACCTCCTGGTCGCCTTCCCTGGCTGCCTGCCTAATGGTGCGAAGAACTTCCTGAACATGATCCACATGATTTCCATCTGCCAGGACTTTGTCCTCGGTGGCCTTGATATGCTCTACCTCCTTCCGAGACATACCAGTCATATCAAGCTGGGCCTGGAGTGATGCTGCACATGCAAGTGGTTGACACAAGCATCTCCCAATGCATCCTTGTTGAGGTTGATCTCGCCATCTGCAGGACTGGCAGAAATCTTGGCACCTAGGCTCAAGCAAGCTTATTACAACTCCACCCTACCTCGTATGTTTGAAGCATCTTGGCATATACGCTTTTACACGAAACGTGGCATGCTTGTGCACGTCTCCCGCCATCTGCAAGTTTGTGTTTTCTGGGTCAAACTCGAGCCTCTCCTGTTGCTGGCTGCCATTGCTTTCACATGAAAACTGTACAGTCCAGAAGCCTCCGATGCTTGGTACTAGTACTAAGCTCGACTCAGTTCGATGCAAGTCGGTGTTCCGGCGTCTAAGCTTGACGCCAGCTTCCTCTTCCTCTTTCTCCTCTGCCGGATCTGCTGAGGCAGTGGATGTGCCAGTGTAGAGTTCTTTGAAGACATCCTCGTAAATGAAACCAACCTCACGACAGGTCATGGGAAGAAGCCAACCATAGCAACAAGAACTGTTACCTTACCACTCTCCCCATGGCGTGGCAAGACACATATCCCTTTGGGTGGTCGCGTGCAGTTGGCCGATCCTCTGGTTGTGGATCAGGTGACACATCGGCATCCGACATGTCTTGCGGAATGCCGCTGAAAAACTAGCAACAGGGACGAACCCTTTTGAGCCAGTGGCGGAGGTGAGCTCAGCTGCACAGGGTCGCCACGCTACATGTGCGACTTGGCAGCGCAGATACCAGTTTCCTGGCGAAACGTTCAGGCTGTGCTGGGGCCTTGAACATTCATTCCACCCTCATCATTGCAAGGCCTTTCCCACTAATTCTTGGCTCATCTTTACAGTTCTACCCTTTACATGTCCAACTGCGCTGCTGCGGCTACATGGTTCGTGGCGCGCTTTTCCAGACACCATCCCTGGTCTGGCGAGGCATCAAGGGCAAATTGATCTGGAGAGCAGTGAGAGCACTTCAGGTGGACCAGCAAAACGAAAGGCAACTTAGTTTGATCAAACATGCGAGATATGGCTAAGCAGCATTGCAGCCTACATGAGTTGACATGCCCTATGCAGGCACCATGCAGTTGAGGCGCTTCGTCGTCCATATCAGGTTCCCATATCGATGGGACGATAGCATAGCTACCTGGACCGGGAAGATGTGTCCTCAGTGATACTGACCTCCTACGGCTAAGCAGGCTTGCAGCACTCACCCCGTTGTGGCGCACAATCCTCTTCTTGTCGAAGACTGACAAATGCTCGTCGGGATCGCGAAGCCACATGACACAAACGAAGATCTGCCGCAGCTTCTCCTCAAACGGGAAGACTGAAGACCGTGAATCCAAAAGCCGCGCATCCTGCTGATGAAGAGTAACACACAACTCGGTATCTGTACTGACTGCTAGCCGACACTGTGGGTTGCGCCCCCAACTCTCTGGAGTTGCGAGGACAGGCTGTAACACTGGTATAGGTGTACCACCACACGTGTCGCGCGTCCAGTGCCCCTGCAAACAGCGAGTTTGCCAGCCATCCTCGTCAAGAAGCGGTTGCTGTAGAAGTATATGGCTGAACACTTGCAGCCAGTCTGAGAATTTCATTACACATGTCCCGTCATGCATCTTTGCGGGCTCATGACTGAAGTACTGCAATGGCATCTGCGGGCGCAGTGTGGGATGCTCATCGGACACACCTCGCAACCCGCATGCTGGCAGAAACTCGGCGAAACCATCGACTTGCAGCTGCTCCGCGATCCTACTTCCGGCTTTCCAGGCCAAGTCCTGGTCACTCCAGGAGCCACACCAGCGGCTAGAAGCGAAAGATCGCAAACGCACCAACGGCAAGACCCCAGACTCTGACTCCACCTCCCGCAAAGCCAACAGGGGATACGCCCAGTTTCGGAGGACCCCCGTGCAGAAAAGCCCTGTCCTTAATGCTTGGTCCGCTTGGTGTACTTCCAGCTCGAGTAAGCGAGGGTCCACGTGGACCGTCTCCATGCCCGAATCCGAACGCAAGCAGAGCAGCGAGGCTCCACTAGCAACTTCCTGCAAAAGCCTCTGCCAAAGCTCGCTCGGATCCTTCTCAGCTGACAGAACACGGGCGTCTTCGCCCTCCCCCTCCAGTTTGGCTGCAAACTTGGATGTCTGCAATTTCTCGGTTGGCCACGAAGTTAGATCCTCCAAAGCATCGTCTACAAATCCCATCGACAGCGAGAAGTACGAGCCGTGGAGCTTCGCATATGCCTTTTCCATCAATGCGGCCCAGATCTGAGGCACTTTGTCCAGACCATAGGTTCGGCTGAAGAGCGGTTCCTTCTGTCGAAAGGGGAGCCGGTCATCAACAAGCACGTAAAACCACTGGCCATGTTTAGAGAACCGGAAGCAGTAGAGTCCACGCCGACGGAATTCAGGGTCCCAGAAGAGGCGAGGATAAACGCCCAGGGGCTCCTCATGGCCGTTCGGGTGTCCAAAAAGCCCCCGCTCACGCAACGATAAGGAGCAAAGCGCCCCTAGAAACCATGCGTCACCAAAGCTTCCGATCCGGACCTCGGCCAACTCCCCACAGAATGAGTGCGACTCCCAAGCCTCGCTCGGCCGCAGCCACGCCACATCTCGGAAGGAAACATCAAACAAGGAGCCACTCCCGCCACTCCCGCCAGCGCCATGCTCGTGCACTGCAGCTCCGAAATTTGGATCGACGTAGAGGCTGTCTGGAAGCACCTCTTTCAGCCTACGCATCTCCTGGAGTGCATCCTGCATTGATGTGAAGATTCCGCTTGTCTTGACATAGAGTCGCCCATCTCCACCTGGAAGTGACGGTGGCAGCAACTCCTCCACCGCCTCTGGCAGCTCTTGGAAGGCTTTGGTCAAGCTGTCCCCTGGCAGCTCCGGGAGCTTGCGCCGCTGCTCCGGCCGCGGCTCCGGCCGCGCTGGCTCCGCTGGCTGCGCTGGCTGCGCTGCCAGGGCCCTGTCAGGATCACCGGGATCAGCCTTCCTCTCGCTACCGGACGTCGACGCGGGTGCAGTCGAGGGGCCACGCTTGTTCTTGGGCTGCGACTGGGCCCGAGTGCGGGAGGAAGCCTCTTCCGCGGCTTTGGCCTCCTTGGCCTCCTTGGCCTTGCCAGAAACCTTGGCCTCACTCCGCGATGCTTCTCGTGACTGGCGCTCGGCCCGTGCCTCCGCCCGCGCCTCGGCCCGTGCCTCAGCGGAGAAGGGGCGACCAACTGGACGGTTATGACGACTGGGCGACGGACTGCTCAGTCGCTGTGACGACTGAGGTATCTGGGGTGCAGAGATAGGTATTTGGGGTGCCACCTGAGCTTGCGTGGTTGCTTGGACTGTCTCTACCATCTGAGTGGGTTGGAATGCATCAATGGATGGCCCCTTGGTGGCTCCATTTGCTCCTTCGGGTTCTTGCCGCTGTGACTCTGTTGAATCTGTCTTGGCGAGAGTCATCTTGGACCAGGTGTTGCTTGCGCTGCCTTGTGTCACGACGGCCCTGGACACGGAGTCGGCGTGCCTGTGTTGTCCACCATCCTGCACGTATTGCTGGAGGAGCGCGCGCAAGAAGTTCTTGAAGTGTGATAGAGCCATCTGGTGCATATCAGGATCACAGTGCTGCGTCCACACGCGATATAGCTCAGTTGATGAAACCGGCTGGCCCGCAGACTGCAATATGCCTTGAACCATGGGAGCTATGCCCCGCAGCGTCACAACACCCTGATCGGAGTGGTTGCTAAATGTGCGCTCACATAGGAAGTCAAACATTGGCTCATCTTGTAGTAACCGGTGGATCTCTGAAGCCACGGGACTTCCCGAGCCTGCCATCAACAACCCCGGCTCAGCACGTTCACGTGGCACATAAGCTCAGTAACAGGCCGCTGGGCGGCTTCTCATGGCACCTCGGGACTAGAACAAGCTGGCTCGCGCAAAGCCACTGTTTTTAGACTCGACTCAACCCAATGCTTCAACGATATCGAGAAGCCATGCATATCTAAACCGTAGGAGTTTGCAAGCACACATGCCCGGAGAGATTCGTCTCATGTAGCCAATGGTGTTCCATGCTGTTTCTTTGGGTGACGGCTGTTCTGTATGGACGCTGCTGAAGCGCGCGGAGTCATGCTTCCCTCTGTATACACTCGGAGCTGCGAATTTCTTCGATTTCCTGTCAGCGTAACTAAGCCACGCATTGATTATCTAAATTCCCGTGCAAGGACGCAAATGACTGAAACCTTCTCGCTCAGTAGGGGCTAAGTGGGCTATTGAAGGGCTTGCCACCTTCCATTTTGAATTACCCCATCTTCGTGACGTGGTTTGCGCTATCGGAAGCCCTGCGAGCTGAAATGCAAAGTCTTGCTTTTTAATTAGGCAAATCCAGCTTACCGGCTTAGCGCTTACGTGATTTTTTTTCGGCGCCGCACGACCCGCCTAGCAAGCTGCAAGTTCGCTTACACTCTGCTTACCACCGCATCTGGAAAACACGACGATGCTGTGACCGACAGCGCGGCCCGTTTAAAAATTGGAGCCCCAGGCTGCTTTGCAGCACCACGAGCTCCCCTTTCGCTCCAAACTTGCTGGACCTTTGAATCACAGCACGTCCGGCTTAATGGCCCGGGCCAACGCTGCCCAGGCGATGCTCAAAAACACAAACGATCATTTGTGCACCTTTCCAGTGCAACAGCGGCCTCATTTCTGTCTCTGAGCTCCCTCAATCCTGAGCTTCGCAAATTCAATTCCTTGTGCTTCTTAAGCGAACTGTTCTTGATCGAGGCACATGCTCACCAAATAGCGCACCTTCAGATGTATGCCGATTACCTTGCACCAGAGGTGATGTTATGAGCACGTTTCTGAGCTTGCTGTGTGCAAACAGCTGGAGGTCCACATTGAAGCAAGCGTCATCTCCTTTCGTTACTGGCCCGCGCAAATTCATCAAACCGGTGACAAGCCTCAGGTGGACATGGTTGCTTCCTCCGCAAAGCTTCCACAGTTGCTGTGTCAATGGCACAAAATATTTTGCAAAATCGAAGCGTGCTCAGCTCCTCTACCGAAAACCGGGCAATACCAATGTCCACAGGAACACTGACAATAAGCCATGCAACTCGTCCACGCTCAGTTCTCCACCTCCGTCGGCATCGAGCACATCAAAAAGCCCAACTCTGCCGGATGCGTCAATGCTCGCCTCTCACACACACAGACACAAACACACATGCACACAAACAGAGCGAGAGCGAGAGAGAGAGAGAGGAAAAAAAAAAAACATATTGCAGCGAGAGGAGCACAAGAGGGGGAGTCAACAGCAGGCGGCAAGGAAGTTCGCACATAAAATCGACTCTTGCGGGCCTCGTCCAGCGCATGGACGAAGTCGGCATCTTGAAACCAGGAGGCAAACTCCTCCCTCGAGACGTTCCGGCCTTCAACCTGACACAAGACTTCTGAACTCGTATATTGTGGTCAAGCGGCTGGCGTGTCCCCCGCCCCTCCCCCTCCCCCCCCCCCCCCCGGCATGGTATCGCGGTCGGGCCAGGGCTCAGGGCCAAAGCCCTCAAGCCGCAAGCAAGCCCTAAGCCCAAACTGCGTCGCCCTGAACCTTGAACACTACAGAGGGAGGGGAGGGGGCGAAACCAACACCCCAGAACCGTAAAACCCTTTCAATAACCAAGCTCTAAAGCCAACCCCAGCCACACCAAAGAGGGAAGGAGCGAACCAGCTGCCACGTGCATCGAAGCTGAAGCGCGCAGACACACACACACACACACACTCTCACTCACTCACTCACTCACTCACTCGCTCGCTCACACACACACACAGGCGAGGCGCCTGCAATACCCAGTCCATTCCTTCCGATCGTGTTTTCAAATCAGTTGAACCACGGAAGCTTCTCCTTTTCAAGCCCAGCTTGCGAATGATGTGGTCCTTCAGCAAACATGAGCAAAGGCTCATGAAACACGAAGGGGAAGTCCGACAGTCTTGAACATGGTATGATCTACGACTGATCCAAACTCCCCATCAGCGGTCCTTGATCTTCAGCTCCATGTGAAGGGCAGTCTCAGATATTTCGTTCTGCTTCCGCATGAACTGCGAACTCATCACGTTCCTGGAGCTGCATCAAACCGATGCCCTGCAGCAATATTCGCATATATTCGCATCATCTAGCTACTCACTGCAACCGGGGCACTCTATAAAGACTGCCATGATCAAGTTGAATATGCCGACTGTGATCAGCATGATGGTAAAAATGTACGCAACCTTGCAACGCTACCATCTAGGATCGAAGTATCTCAGAATCATCTCATGTTGCCCTGCCTGACTGAGGCACCTACCATGAAAGCAGGACCATATTGATTGCGCAATCGCTCGGACAAGGGAGTCCCATCCAGCGCAGTGCATCCATCCGTGAAGCATCTAAAACCTAGGCTTCGTGATGGGGCTCCGGGCTCGCGGCTTCGAGCGCAGCCTTCTCAAACTTTCAACTAGACGAACGAGAAGCATGTGAACATGGCCGCCAGGACCGAACTGAACTCCTCAGGGTGGCAAAGCCGCCATGATCCGAGAAATGTCGCACGGGCTGTTGCATGGGTCACCGAAGAAACGCTGCGGCAGCGGAGAGCGCGTACCCTCTGCAAATGTGCGCAGGCGCCCGCTTAACGCAGTCGTTATTGACACACCTCAAGTGAGAGATTGGTAAACGGCAACTCCCCCGCGCTCCAGGGACTAAGCTTTCGTGAGTCTTGGGAGTTGATGAGGTCGGGGACGGGTTTTTCCCCGTCGTGCCTTAATTAGGAGGTCGCACGGTAAACGAGAAACAACTTGTACTGCAACTCAATTAACATCCAGCCGGCTCACGGAAACCTTGCTGCACGTACTCTAAGCTTCAGTTCCAGTGCTGCTGCTCACGAAAATGCCATTTCAAATACCAAGCTCTCAGAACAAATCAATGAGATTTCAGCTGGCCAGAACGAAAGCGGCTCGTGTCTGAGAAACTCAGGTTGAGTTCAGAGACCGTGCACGGTTCGGGTCTATGGGTATGTATGTCACTCAATTATTCCACAACCCTGGCAAGCAAAAAGAATGGGTTTCCACGCAGCTGCCTCCTGCTCAGGATCGTCTCCCACAAAGTTGCCTTGCAGGCCCAAATCAACGTCAGCCCTATAAATCCCTACAGCAAACCACAGGTGCGCTTTCGATGCACATGCAGATCACATCTCAAAGTTCGCCCACTTGTCTTGTAGGCGCGGTGCGCAAAACGACGCCGATCGCATAAATCACGAAGATGAGCAGGACGATTGCCCAGCCAATCACCCGCAACCCGGAAAACACGCCCATGACAATCCTGCAAGAATTTCGACTCGCTCGACAAGACTCTGCTGCGTGGATGCATTCTACAAAGCTGCCGAGGCGCAGCTTCAATTCATGGAATGCCTTGAAGCGCAATGCCCGGATGATGCGGGCCAACCGTGCCAATCGCAAAACTTTCATCATGGTCAAACTTGAAATGGCCTCAGTGTAGCTGTCAGTGCTGTTTGGAAAACTCTGGCCGTTGCTGCAACCACGCCTCGGGCGTCTGGGCATCAACTCGCCCTTCCGCTAGAAACACTGTAGTGATAATGAGATCCACCTCAACATGCGTGTCCCGTCACGATAACCAATGCTTGTGCTTAACAATTCGTTGCACAGATATCTTCGCAGAGTTCTCTTGCCCGCCATGGCACATACATGACGGCCAAGCACGTCCAATCAAACCAATTCCAAAGACGTTCTGGTCCGCACCAATACCAACGACATCCGTAAACTTTCACCTCATCTGCAGACGTGCTATTCATTGAGTTTTTTGTAATCACTGACCATTCCAAATCCGAGTGGCTTTGACAACGAACTCCAATGAATAAAAGACTACCTTGGCAAGGGTCTGAAAAGCGACTTCCCAGCTGTTTTGGGATTTGGCTGGGGAGCGGGGCCACCTGAGTCTCTTTTGGCAAACAAAACCAAAACGTTGTTCTGCACATGGGGCGATTGTTGTGTCTTCGTGCACGCTTCAAACCTATCTCTTCCGAACCACACATTGATCGCCATCTAGTTGTTCTTGTACGTGCAATGTGCCACGGGGGCTCAGATTTTCAAGGGTGCGCCGCGTTTGTCACCTGCCATTGCAGCATTGAAGGCTGAAATCGCACCCAAGCGGCAAACACATATTCCAGCACTTGCCAAGCAACGTGTCCACCTCAATTACCAGGCCACGATATGCTCTAGGAGCGCTTTCGGTTTGGAGGTTTTTTTTCGACTTGGCCGCTAAGCTTGCAGCCAAGCCGCGATAAACATCGAGGCTAACTCCGATAGCCAAAGCATTGAGGATGATGACCATGGTGGGGATGACATGGAGCCAAGTCGCCAGACAGTCAAGCCTGCACAGCGCCGCACACTTTGCGGGTTCGAAGTGCAAAACGTGAACCATCGTGAACCCAAGAGTTGCACGACATGACACGATCATCCGGCATTCTTGCTAAAGTTTGTCGCGAATGGTACTTACAGAGCCCCGCACTGCACGCCCTCCACCAACTCCGTCGATCGAGTGGACTGCGTTGGGACCCTGCGACTTGTTGATCTGGGACCTAAGTTGCAAAAGCCGAACCTTGGAATGATTCGAGCGTAACCGTCTTCCGTTTTCCCACAAGCGCAGCGCCGGTTTCTCAGCGCAGTTGCAAAGTTTTTGTTACGTTCCTGAGCATACTCTTGCCCCCTTCGCTCCCTCGTAAGTGCAACTATTGATTAAGCAATCTTTTAGTATTCTCTTCAATCGGTGGGGGGCTGAGCCCGAAACCTTCGCGAAAAATTGACTCTTGAAATTTTGCCCGCGTTTCGTGTTTTACACCATCCACTTCGCGGCCCCAGTGCAAACAGCCCAAAGCCAAGGTATGGCATGTGGGTGGCAAGGGGCGGCTGCGCGGCAAAGTCAGGGACGATGTTGGTGAGAGGCGATTCTCCATCCACGCTGGCTGGAGGGGAAAGGAGGCTGGCAGCAAAAGAGCAGGATGCAAAGGAAAGCAACACAGGAGCGGCTCGGGCCCGGCAGCGAGCAAGTAGTCTGACCAACTGAGCGGTCTGCGGCCGTCAACATCAAGGCCAACGCGGGAGCAAAGGGGAGTCGACGGCGAGCTCAAGGCGCAACAGGGCGGACAGTGAGCAGCCTGGCAGCAAAGGGGCCGGATTGCGAGTCAACAATTTAATATTTTTGTTTGTTTTTATTTGTTTTTTGTTGTAACTAACATTCATACTCTGGCACTCAGGTCTTTTTTCATGAGCTCGCGCCCATACTGCCTTGGTTTTCCTCACCGACGGTCCGCCCTACGGATCTACAGCCGCCTCGCGGAAGTCTGACTCGCAGACACATTACAGGTGTGTATACAATCCCATCAGAAACGCCCAATGGTCACACAGTGACCACTCCACAACTCAGGGAGCCCCATTGGGGTTACCTCTTCGAACTCAGCACTGAGGAAAAAGTGGGGAGCAGGAGGGCTGAGCCCGCTGAGGCCGCTCAGGCCGCTGAGCCCGCGCTTAAGGATTGGAGGGTGAGGAGGGTGGGAAAGAAAAACTCCGGTTCCACCGGTACCCTTCGAGAGTCTTCAGTGTACCTAAGCTATTTTGGCTTGAACATAAACGGCAGCGGATGCATCAAGTTTGCGCTTCAAGCTTCAACATGCCATACAGACAGTGCAGTGCAGAGTAATCATGATATCAGTTCACCAAGCCTGGCCGAAGCACTCAATATATTTGGGTATTCATACAGCACTCCGAAGATTCCCCCTAAACAGCCTTCCTGCACTCCCTCTTGCGAACACTGGCAACGTCGATGGAGACATCCCACTCCTCAGCGATGTGTTGGCAGATTGCTCGGCTTTCCTCCCCTTGCCAGCCGCATGCCGCGACAGGGCCACCGCCGCCACACCCAACTCCCGGCCACCACCGCCCGGTGTTCGTTCCGCACCCTGTGCCACCTGTAGCTGAGACCGCACTGGAGTTGGGAAAAAGGAGCGCTGATAACAAAACAACTATTTTACTTCGAACATCCCCACCTTGCTTCTGTTGAAAAGAAAGAGCGCAAATAAGATGTTCAAACGAAAACACATTGATTCAAAAACGCTTTCATAATTTTTGCTCTCCAGCAAAGTCTCTGGGGCTGGGCACTCCAGGAGTCTCTGGAATTGGGCACACCAGGGAGTCTCAGGGAGTCTCTAGGCTTAGGCACTCCAGGGAGTTGGGCAGGGAGTTTCTGGGGCTTGGCATTTCAGGGAGTCTCTGAATTTGGGCACTCCGGGAATTTCTGGGGTTGGGCACTCCAACGTCTCCAGGGTGTTTCGGGTTGTGCAGTTGGGCACTCCAGGGAGTCTCTGGGTTGGGCACTTCAGAGAATCCCTGTGGTTTGGGCACTGCAGCGAGACAGTGGTTAGACTTTGGGCACTCCAGGCAAACTCTGGGACTGGGCACTCCAGGACTTTGCGTTGGGCATGCCAGGGAGACTTTGGGGTTGGGAAGTCTTTTGGGCACTCCAGGGAGACTCTGGGGTTGGGCACTCCAGAATTTTCTGGATTGGGCACTTCGCTGGTCGGCACTCCAGGGAGCTGCGAACAGCTTTTTGGCGGGGCACAGGGTGACACGCCACTCCTCAGTGATGTCCCTTTGCCAGCCGTCTGCCATAGCTGCTTCTGAACTCGGCGACGCACTTTGCGCTGGGCCCGCGGATAGCCAAAGCAAAAAGGGCGCAGCAAACAAAAAAAATGCATCGCTCGGGCCCTGCAGCGGGCGAGTTGTTTGACAGAGGTGGCAGGGTCGGTGCACTCTTTGGCCTTGCGTGCTTTGGTTAGTCATTTGCAATGACCTCGATGACTTGTTGTCACGTTGTCACGGTGCCAAGCCGCGCCCGTGCATCCTTGGATGGTGTCACGAGCACGGTCGAAGAGGGATGCGGCATTGCATCCAACCTAGGCAAGACCCGCCGTGCCTTTGCCGGCGGGGCCCCGCCAGCTCGGCGCGGAAATTTGGCGTGGCAACAGGCCACCGCACGAGCGAGGCGTGTTTTTTGTTTTGTCGCACCTTTTTCCCAAGTCCATAGCGGTCGAACTCAGCCTACTACGGGTGGCACAGGGTGCAGTGAGCACACCAGGCGGCGGTGGGGGTTCTGCGGGCGGTGGCCCTGTCACGGCATGCGGCTGGCAAGGGGAGGAGGGGCCGCGCAGTCTGCCAAAACATCACTGAGGAGTGGGATGTCTCCATCGACATTGCCAGTGTTCGCAAGAGTGTGTGCGAGGAGGCTGGCACAAAAGGAGCGCGTGGCTGCAAACGAGATGAGGGCAGACCACCGCGGAGGTGGCTGCGCTCCTACATCCTCGGCTCGCCCGTAGGCCACACCGACTTCGTATCCGCCTGGGCACGGCGCCGGTTGGCTGGCCCCTAGCAACGCGGCCAGCTGCGTTGGGAGGACTTGGTCTCCAGTCGGCCACTCGCTCCAGCGGCATATTGGGCCGCATGGGCAGACTCACTGCATGTTCTGTGCGCCAGTGGCCGCGCAATGTGTTTGGCTGAAGATGGCGGGGTGGATTTTTTTTCTCCACGCACCTTTTCCTCGCGTCAGTGTTCACGGTCCCTGTGCACGGAATCGGGCCGCAGTGTGTCAAGCACGCAAGGGCAACCTGGACGGCTGCTCAGCCTCGGCGAGCTCCAGGACCGATGGGAACATTTGTCGCGGCCGATAAATCAGGCGGAGGGAGCGGCGGGAAGGGGGGGAGGCTGGTCCGCGCGCGTGCCAACGCATCAGCTGCGCGAGCCCGTTGTTGCAGCAGCTCGTCGGCCAGCGTGGAGGGCCCCGGCTGCTCTGCCTCAACGACCCTAACCCCTGCCCAAGGGCCGCGACGTCGTTGCGCTGCGGGTGCCCATCGTCGCCTCGGCCTCGGCATGACCGGGTGGGGTGTGCAGGGGATGGGTGAGGCGCGCACGTGCTGCCACGACAGAAAAGGCAAACAGCAACCTGGCAGCCCTGCAGCTTCAACAGTGCTTCAACCCCCGGCACTTTTTGCACGGGTCGACGCCGACACTTGTGTAGCAGTGCTGTGCACGTTGCCTTCCGCGCCACGGCAGCTGTGGTCTGACGCCAGCGCCTGTGGCTGCAGAGGCAGTCTGCACATAACAAAGGCTGACTAGCCAAAAGGGACCTACCCTCACGGCCCAGTCCCAAGATGGCCCGGGCCAGCTGCTCTGCCTTGCCGTTGCCCTTGTTGGCGCCCTTGCCGTGTCCTTTGCCATTTGACTTTCATGCCTGCTAACTAACAAATTAACCTAGCGGCAGCCGACCCGGTCGCCAAGCGCCAGGACTGCAGCCAGGGTCGGCAGGCTGTCTTGCGGCTGCCCCGCTACCACCCTTGCCCTCCCCAGCGCCGTTGAGCATGCAACGGAATGGGCGCTCCACCACCTGCGCGCCCAGGCGACGCCAGCGCCGGGGGCGCGGCAGGCCCGCTTGCAAGCGGACCAGGCGCAGCCTCGGCGTTCCAGCGCCCCCCAACCTGTCGCGACCCCCCCCCTGTGCAAACTCGGGGTAGTGGCTCACTTACGCCGCTCGGCCGCGTGCAGCACGGCCCCGTCACGGTCTGCGGCTCCGCAGTGGGGCGTGCCATCCCTCGCCAGCAGCGAGACGAGTGTGGCGTCGCATGCAGCATAGCGCCCTCCCAACGACGAGGTCCAAGCGGCGACGGTGTTTCGGGGGTACTCCAAGCGCGGTGGTATGGGCCAGCCAGCACTTGCCCCTCCGGCCCGACAGACTCGCGTGCGACGCGCACCCAGGCGCGCTGGATGACTTTGGCACGGCGCACGAGCAGGCCCGTGCGCAAGCCAAGGCATGGTCGCCGTGCTCATCGACAAGGCAGCCAAAAACTCGGGGTGGATTGCCCGCCATCCCCTCCGCGCGGCCAGCGGAAGCGGCAGGCGGAGGCGACGACGCCTCAGTGCGATTTTTTTTTAGTGCGATCTGCATCATCCGGGGAGAGCGTCGTGTGGGGGTCACTTGGGATGGCCGTGAGCCATGCGCCGCCTTGGTTTGGGGCCCAGCTTGTGAATGCACAATAGCGCGATGAGCGGGCGAGGGTGGCTTGGTCCAAGCTGAAGCAGCTCGGGCGCTACCGCGGACAGAAGGCTGGGAAGCGCGCCCCCGCTGGCACGAGTTGGCTGGAGGCCTTCCGGCGCCCCTAACCAGGACGTAGGCCTTGGTGACTGGCCGCATGGCTGGCGTCGCGTACACCGCAACCTTTACGTTCGCGACCGCGTTTTGCTGCCATCCCTGCCAGCCAGCCAGCCAGCCAGCCAGCCAGCCAGCCAGCCAGCCACCGCTCGCGCCAGCCACCGCTCGCTACTCCGATCGCAGGCGAGGCCACACGCAGGAGCATGACGCTTATCGGATGCTATGCAGTTGCTTGTACTGTCCTACTGCGCTGCTCCTCGTGCTCCGCACCCTTTGCGCGCGCTTTCGCCACTTAGCACACGCGCCTATGCTGCTGCGCATGACACCGCAATCCTCTCCTGTCTTGATGCTCTTTCTCTTCGCGGATGCAGCCGCCGGCCTGCCACCCACAGTGGCTCTCCGTGTGCAGCTGGCATTGCGTCATGGCGGGCCTGGGTCTCCGCAGTGCGGCTCGGCACGCGATGGCGGCGTTTGGGGCATCCTGGGCGGATTCCATCAAAGCCGTCGCCCTTCGGAGCCGCTCCTTCGCGCAAGCCCTCACCGACTCCCTGCAGACGGATGCTGCGCTGCCTCCAATCCTATCGTCCCTTCGAGAGGCCCGCGCTTCGCTCCGCCCTCTCGGCTTTGACGCCGCTGCCGGGGCATCTCTGCTGGATGCCGCCGTGCCTGTTGTCGATGAGGAGGACCCCGACTTCGATCTCACTTGTGGTTGGCAGCTCCGCGTCGCAGTCTGTCGATGGCTTCCTACGCCGGGAGGCGGAGCGCGAGCTTGAAGGAGCGGCTGTCCCCTCCTGGACTCACAGTCGGGGCCATTTGCCGCCCGTGTCCTGACGGCGCGGGCGGCATCTCCAGAAACCACCCTCGCGTCCCCTCTCTTCCCAGGCTTCGCCTCCCGCTCCCCTTGATGGCCTCCGTTTCTGCAGTGGGGCAGAACGCGGACGAGGTAATTGGCACGCGGTGCAGCGCAGTAACGCAGCAGAAGCCATGCCGCTTGAAGGTCTTGAATGTGGGGATGGCCTGCAGCAGACGATCGTGGGCCTCCCGTTTCAGCGCGAGCTGGCGTTGGACATCAGACCCGAGCGGCGTGCCCGAGACATTGAGGCCTTGTTGGTCACGGGGCAGTGCCCAGCCCCCGACCCAAACTGGTTCACCCGCGCCTGCTGCGTTCTGAATACGCGTCTTGGCACGGTCTAGCTGCACGCGCGCATGGGTCCACAGGAGGGTCAAGCTCCGTGCTGGTCGCTGAACGCGGGGTTGGGGACCCGGACCTGGAAGGTGGCCGCTCCGTGGTCGGTGCCGGCGCCATCTGTTGGGGCCCGGGCAACGCATCGGCAGTTTGAGGTGCAAGCGGCGCGGGCTCAGCAGGATGGAGCTGAGTTGGTGCCGGTCCGCAGGGAAAAAGCGGACCACCGCGCCATCAGGAAGAGCAACGGAGGGCACGTCAACAGGGGCCCCCCTTTCATCAAGCACTCGCGCCAAAGCAAGCGCTTCCGCCTCACCCAGCAGGAGGGCAAGATGCGCCTCCTGCAAAGGGCCGGGGAGGTAGTATCTTTCATGGGGATCCCCTACTTCACGGAGGATGGCAGCAAGTGAGGTAACCTGCTCTGCCCGTTGGGAGCACCAGACCTCGGCAGGCAGTAGCCGCTAGTTGCGCCGGACCTTTTTTTGCGGCCGGTTCTCCTCGCTTGCGCTTGGGCTTGGGATCAGCTTCGGCCTGTGGCCGAGCGGGCGGTTTTGCAGCAGGACGAAGGCGCAGGGCGGGCGCGCCGAGGGGCGGGCGGGGGCGGTGGCACTCGTGCAGCGGGAGGTTCAGCTCCGAATCAGCAGCCTCCTGGGGCAAAGCTTGGCCAGCGGTGGTCAGCCAGTACATTCGTTCCCTTATTCGTTTCTCTCTTCGTAGTTCCAGCCCGGATGATTGGTTAACGGGGGAACAGTACTAACAATGAAGTTAAGGTTGCGTTCACTAAAAGCCTAATAAAATGTATTAAAAGGTAAATGAAGTGCACGCTTTTTAGTATATTTTATGTGGCTTTTCTCTCATCTTCTTTCTTCACCTGTAATAATATAATTCACGCGTCGCTCACTCCTTGTCATTAATATTATTACCGTGAAGAGAGTAAGAAGGCACATTAATACTTATAGTACGCGTTAAGTGAATTAAGATAGAAAAATTATTGACTCTAGGATATACCACTTCTGGAGACCCTTGAAAGATAGATACAAAATAATTTCCAAATCCTCCAAACAAGCCAGGCATTGCTAAAAAGAAGATCATAAGAAAGCCATGCAATGTAATGCTTATATTATAGAAGTTCTGGTTTTTTGGAGATATAATCCTATTTCCTGATGAATATAATTCTATTCTTATTATCTTTTCGTGCGCTACTTTCATTCTATTCGCGCACTAGTTTGCAATAGAATTACAGTACGCGTTCTCACTTCGTTCGTGCATTAATACAATTATAAGGACAAAGGACGCATGAATTGTATTACAAATGCACGCACGATGTGAATGAACGCAGCGGTTACCATAAGCTTCCAAGGCTGGCACCCTGCGGTCTGGCGTGATACCATGTATGTGTGATCCAGGAACGCAATGAGTTCCTCACCCGGCTGCAACTGGGAATGCGCCGCCTGTAGGGCAGGGTGCACACCGACAGCATACAGCCTAGGTATGAGTTGGTCACCTTTCTCACCGCCTTCCGCCTGAATTAACTCGTGCCCCCGGCCATTCACATCGTGGAGCACGCACGTGCGCTCGCAGCTCCCCGTCTCCCTGCGCCATCCACGCTATGGACCTTGGCGCGCAGTTGCAGCTCAGTTGCGAGGCGAAGTGCTCGCAAGAGAGCTTCCGCGCCAGCGCGCCAGCGCGCGTGGACAGCGCATATTGGACAGGGGCGCAGGCTGACCGGAAAGCGGCGAGCGTGCGGGACACGAGGCGGCGGAAGATATCGTTGGGCTTGGTGAGGGCGACCATCCGTCCGAGTCGAAGTCCATCAACAACCTCGCTTGGCACAAGCCCTGCCACTAGTTTGCAAGCGGCCATCACCATGAGCTCAACAAGTAGCACACGGATCCTCCGTCGGGTTTGCGTAAGAGCCGTAGAGCCGGGCCATGCATGGCCGGTGCAGTCCATATCATGCGCGCACTAGGTACTTGGCGGCGGGCTCACGGCTTCTGCAACAGGAGCTTCCAATGTTCAGCCCGCATGCCCGACAGCCCCACTGCCCTCCCTGCCTCGCTTCGCCTCGCACAAAACGGTTGACACCGCGGCTGCAGCGACGCATTGGCTGTGGGGACTCGAATTCGAAGAAGCCGGGCAGAAGCGGGGAACGCGGAGACGTCGGCCGACGTGCTGGGTCCGTGAGTGCTCGCCAAGCGTCCTCCGTTCCGGGGGAGGGCTCCGCCACGGTTGACACTTGGCCAGCACACGAAAGCTTTCCTTTGCGGACCTGCGCACAGGCCTGGTTGCAATTGTGGGCGGCAGCAGCCTCGTCTCGCCAAAACTGTTGCCTTTGGGCCGGCGGGCTTTCGGGTGGCCCGGCAGCCCGGATGAGTTGAGTCCACTCTCCCCGTTGGAAGGCCGCGACGCGGCTAGTCAAGTCGGAGCGGTTTGGGGCTCCCTGTTGCGCATCGCGCATCAGAAGCATGCATGGAACGAGCATGACAAGGTTCCATGCCCGCGTGGATCTAGCTGTGCTTGCCTCGCCGGCTGCGGAAGCTGAGCGTGCCAAGTCGCGAGAGCGGCGTCTGCCGCCAGAACTCGTGACTGCGCGCCTCCCGCTTCTTCCCTCGCGGCGTGCGGCCATGGTATGCGATGAGCCGGGCGTGCCCTGACAGTGCGACCCACGGTCGCTGAGCTCCTCATTTCACCAGGTCCGTGTGCTGCTCGTGCGTGCGTCGGCTGCGTCTCCCCCAGCGTTCATGCTATTTATTCCTGCATGACCATGGTCCCGAATCGGTCTAACTGCGGGATCTGCGGGTTACCACGCCGGGAGCGGCATCTGGCTGCCGTCAAGCACGCACTCAAGCGGCGGGGCATTTGTGGCGCCAGATGTGCCAATTGTAGTATTGTCATCTGAGCGTCACGTGTGACCGGGTGTGGGGTGCGTCGGCGATGTTCTTGTCGCAGTCGTACGCAGTACGTAGAGAAAAAAGAGGAGAGAGAGAGAGAGAGAGAGAGAGAGAGAGAGAGAGAAAGAGACAGAGAGAAAGAGACAGAGAGATAGAGAGAGAGAGAGAGACCCGGGGGTGTCCTACTGCTCTTTGCACCTGTTCACGTTGTTCGCGAATATTTTTGTCCTGTCCTTTTTTGCGTCGGCCAGAGAAAACGATCCTCAGTCGGACAAAACAAACAACGAGTCCGCGCTCTGCACCGGACTGTCGGAGAGGCAGCCAAAGCTGTGGCTCGCTGGACAGCGGCCGACAACTGCGTCCAGTGGCCGCGGCGTTTCGCAAGAGCCGGCGGAGCCGTAACCGGTGCGGGCGAACACGGTCGCGAACGAGCCCCCTACCTCCCGAACCGACAAGGTGCTGGGGACCGTTGCGTAACAGCTCCGGGTAGGTCGCCTGTTTGCAAAGCGCAGCCGCGGCGCCAGCGCGGCCCCATCTTCATCCGCCGAGCACCATTGTGGCAAGCCATCACGTGCAACGGGAGAGACCAATGTCGCGCCGTGGCTGAATATCGAACAAACCGCGGACCGGAGCCTCTGCCTGCACAGCATCATTAGAACGCACAGGGTCATGGGACACCACTGCTTGTGTGTTGCAACAACTGCATCGCGGCAGCGTTACGGACAGAAGCCTGTAGCGCACGCAACATCAACAACGTTATAACAAGAGCGGTACCTACAAGTACCAGATCTTGCATCATGCCCTGTTCTATCTCGCAGTTGCGGGAATAGCTTGGAACTTATGAAAGCTGCCGCCTAATCTTTTGGAGCGCGCCGTCCCCTTATTGAACTTTGGAGGGTTGGGGTTCCGAGCTCGGGGACCATGAGCCGTCCAAAGTCAACTTAGCCAAACTACGCCGTCCCCTTATTGAACTTAAGTCCGCCATGTGCTTCACCCAGCGAAACAAGAATTGATGGTTGCCCACGTAACACCCCACCCCCCCCCCTTTTGTAGGTCAAGCTGCTGTCCAAAGGTTGTTGGCACGAGCGGTCCACTTCAACCATCGACGTGGTGAAGATGCTGCGCGCCTGGGATGCACTGCAATGCGGGAAGGCACACCTTATGTTTCAGCTCAAGTTGTCATGCGTCATAATTTTCAGTTCGTCATTTTTTTTGCGCCTGCATATTCATAATGCTCTCGGTCACTGCTTGGCCGTGTCAGCATCATGTTTTTCCCAGCGAACGCCTCAAGGGTGGGTGCCAGCAGCCCCGTGCGCGGGCACGCCATCGCATGGTCGCCGAACGATGTGCACGTCCGAAGAAGGGCGCAAACAGGTGGAGGCGCCACTGCAAAGCGATCTGCCTTGCGGGCGGCTGTGAAAGCTGGCGAGGCCAGTCTCCGAGCACGGCTTTTTTTTTTCGTTTTTCGTCCGGAGGCAGTCAGCCCATCCCTTGGGCTGGCGCTGCGCAAGCGCGTGCGATCCGCCCGCCGCCCGGGGTTGCTCCAGGGCTGCAACGCAGGCTCGCGTGGCGTCGGGGCAGCGGGCTTGGACGACTAACGCAACGCGGTCTCCGCCCTTACATCCCAGGCAACCCTGCGCCGAGTCCAGCGCCGGAATGCCGATGCAGCCCTCCGCGAGCACTACCTGTGTCCTTACAATTGAAACCGTGGGCGCTAGAACCCCAAGAGGTGGCTGGTTGACTTCGTCCGTCTTGCCAGATGTGGTGGTCAATATTTCCAGAACTGCCTCCACATGCAGATGCATACCTCGTAATTCTTATGCCAATGTGCATCACCCACGCGGATGCATCCGACGATTAATCGAAGCATACCCAACCTCCTCATGATGACATTGGTTTTCGAAGATGGGTTTGCGTATGTTTGTGTGTTCGTCGGGAGTCACGGCGCGACGCCCTCTGCAAAACTGGCATGCCGCCTTCCCCCCCCTCACCCCCACTACCCCTCGGTACCCTTGCCGAGGCGGCATCGCGTTGGCGATAAAATTACATTCACGCCCAGGTGGTTGATCGGACATCAGACGAATAGAGGCACAGAGATTGATGTCTTCTTGCCAAATCAACACTTATCGTGCACTGAACACTGAACATGTTCTTGGGCAAGTGTCAGTCTGGGCCGTTCTAACGCCCACATCCGTCTCATCGCTGAGCTGAAGCGGTGCAACAGAAAGGTGAACTGTTTCGTCCACATTGCTGCTGGTGGCAACGCCACGGGCCTTGTCTGACAAGCTCTGACAGTTCAACCTCCTTCCTGTTGTCATAAGATGCTAAGCTGGCCGCAGCTCTGTCAATGCACGTCACGCATTCATGTGCCTGCAAGAGCACGCCTTGGCCGCTTGGGGAGGTTCGTGCATCCAAGTCAGTGCAAAAAGGCTTCGACCAAAAATGAGCAGCCAGGGCACAATCAAGCTCTGCGCAGAGCATCTCCACGTTTTCATCGAACTGGGTTTTCGCCACCCGGAGGCGATCCTGAATACAATCTTGCTATCGCACACATGCAAAATTACAAAACAGCAAGAGTCTCCAATGCTTCGCCTGCAGCTCAGATGGCGGAGGCACAAGTGGCTGAGATGGCGTCGGCATCGGGGAGACTACACTGGTATCTTACATGCAGCAGTGCTGTGCCATGCTGTGCAACTACGAACCAACCCAATGCATGGGCTGTAATGGTTGCTCGCAGCAACTTATCGCGAGGGTGGTCAAAAATGCAGGCCTGCATATCTGCGAACTGCTCCTCCCAACCGCGGTTCTTGAGGCTAATGACCAACAAATTCAAACAGCTAGACAAACAGGAGTTTGCAGAAGTAAACAACTACCGTGCAGACTTGCCTAGCACAATAGTTCACGGCACATACACGCACACTTCCATCCAGCACAAATAATTTCATTATCGTCATATTCATATCATTATACAATCATATCACCATGTCATCATTCTTCTTCGTCTCATCATCATCATTGTCATCATCCCGATCCTCATCATCGTCGTCGTCCTCCTCCTCCTGAAAAAGTGCACCTCAAGCTGAAGAAGGCGGGGTTGGTTAGGATGCCAGACGTGCTCTCATGTCGACGGAATGGACCTGCGGCAATCTGTCCCTACATCTCCACAATCGTGCATTTTGGTCGTTAGGCGCATGCAGCTGCAATCTTTGCACAGCTTGTACATTGTGAGTGACGGCAAGTCTGGTGAAAGGATAGATTGGGCACTACTAGCTGGATGCCAGTGCCAGCAACATAGTGTCTACTGAGTCTACTGCAAATCCTTTCCCAGTCGAAGGTGGAGTCAAAGAAAAAGCCCACAGCGTTTGTGAGACGCTGTGGGACAGGTGAAGCTACAGGTTCGCATCCATCTTTGGCTTCGCCAGAACCTGGCCGAATACACGGCATGACTATGACCCTGACTATGCATACTCTAGCTGCCGATACCCAAGTCAGGCCTCCTGCAGTCGTGCATCCATCATCTGCAGCCGGGAATCCAACAGATTTACCTACCGAGGCCGAGCCGAGCTTAGCAAGGAGGACATGCAAGTCTCTTGCATGAGTCATTTGTAAGAGCCACTTGCAAATCCACCTGTTGGCTCACCGCATTCAAGCCGCGGGCCTCGAGGTGACCAGAGCTACAAAAGAACAACATGGGTGGGGAAGGGAGGCGTGGGAAGGGAACGTGGCTCCGTACTTTAGTATACGACATGTTCGGCATGCTCTCCGGCCCGAAAACAGTAAAAGACTGATGCAAGCTTCTTGGCTTCTGGCGAAGCTCCGGCGTAGTTCCAATATGGACCTCAACAAACAACTTCCACAAGAGTCTGAGACATGCAGTTCGAGTTTTTCCAAATATCTTCAGGCACCGGACATGGGACGCAGCTCGGCGGACACTTGCACCATGCCGTACAGGAGCTCCTCGCTTTGGTGCCGCTTTCAATTGCCTACATGGCCTTGAGTGGTTTGCAATGTTGTGCCTAGAGTCCCAGTCCCCAACAAGAAATTCTGAGTATGAATTGCCTCGACCTCGACGATGCCAGAGTCATCGTAATCAACAAGGTTGAAGATGGCATCCAAATCCTTTTTTAAGTGGAAAAAGCACTTAAGACTGAACAGTCCCCGAGTGTCCCCCCGATCTCCGCCTTCTCCCGGAGTGGTGTGGAGTCTGCCACGCAAAGAGATAGGACCTGACAGCAGACGGCTGATGAGTGTGTCCTAGCCTTCTCCCTTCTGCGGCAATGACAGCGGGTTGCATCTCTGTCGACTTACACGAGAGTACCTCAAGAGGTCCAGGCCTTGTGCTTGCACTTCTCGAACTGCAACTTGTCGATGAAACTGGAGTCAACGCCGCTGTGGTCCTGCAAAGCTTGCCACTGCTCACGAAAACATGCTTGCGGCGCGATTGCGGTGGGACTGCGACTCGAATGCGACGCCACGAAAACATGCTTGCGGCGCGATTGCGGTGGGACTGCGACTAGAATGCGACGCCAGGGTCCTGCAGCACCCTTCGCGACATTCGAATGAAGGCCGCCCGTGCCTGTAGTGGCGCTGTTGTCTATCTGCGATGCTAATCTCCAAACATCTCCGCTCAGATTCCGCATGATTCCGCTGTATCACTGTGCCATGCCGAGCTGTCAGCCGTTTCCCTCTCAAACCGGCGTTCCTCCTCGATTGTTTCCAGCATGCCAAAGATGTTGCAGGGCGCACGAACATGCTCTCAAACCTGTCGCATTCGACTCTTCTCCACCATTCCCTCGGTGATGACACCGGTAAGGATGCTGGCCTGGAAGCGATGGCAGACAGCAAGTCAATTCTGGTCGACCTTTGTCGCTTCTTCATACTTCTCATGTTACAATGTTACCAAGCTTGCCAGGGCAGCCATCATGAAGGCACCGAAGATGACGAAGATGACGAGGAAGGTTTTGAGAGATGGGTTGCCAGAGTAGACCTCGTCGGCTTCCGCCGCAAGCCCAAGCTGCCAATTTGTCTCCGAAATGAGGCTCCCGCCGGCTGGAAGCGCTCCTCAGCCGAGCTCGAAAGCCCATGTCGAGAGCAGGACACAACCAAAAAGCGAGCAGACATCCAAGCGCTGCAAAAGCGAACCCCCCCCCCATGTCTCCCCCCCATGTCCCCCCCCCCATCCCTTCCGGCGCGCGCCATGTTCGGAAAGGCCATGAGCTCGAAGAGCGTCAGCATCGAGGAGCCGAGGGAGCCTTAGGAGCAGTTAGTGCGAACGCATATGGACATGAAATGAAGGAATAGATGAAGAGAAAAGGGGAGAAATTATGAAGATACATTAAAGAACAGGAAGAACATGAACACAAACCGCAGCGCTCCTTTCGTGACAGCATTGGAACAGGCTTCGCTCGAAAGCATTCCCTGTGTCAACTAGGGGGCACGCCGAAGTACTCTTGCTTCACCAGTGCCTTGCCAGCTGTGCACCGATGCAAAGCATCTGCAGAAGAGTGCTTGAAACCTATCTCATACATATCTTGTTGCGGCAAAGCCACTAAAGGATCACCATCAACAGGATGGCCAACAAGCCTGAGCAAACGCGGCTCGTGAACCACTGCCTTGCGGTGTTCATGGAATTCTCATGGGCAGACAGCATGGCCTTGTAAGGACGATTGCGCAGATGTACAAGATCAGAACGCATATAACACTGACCTGGAAGTCCATGAAGTCTTCAAGATTCTTCCAAGTCTTCGCTTCTGAAAGAAGCAGCTCTATCTCTCTCTAGCTCTTTTCTCAGAGCCCAACCCAGAATACCGACTGAACCGCATCAAAAAGACTGGATGCCAGTATGTGCAACCTGAGACTTTCAGCGAACGCGGGAAGATGCTGGATGACGTGGGATGTGGATTCTGAAATGTTACCTTCTGAAGGTGAGCGCGCGTCTGTCTCATGACCCGGAAGATGCGGAAGATCCGGAGTATCCGCAACAGACTAGCCGGAAATATGGATTCCACATGATTCACTACACAGCTGCGCGTGGTCCTTGCACGCTGGCCTGAACACCCGCATAAGGACAATGTACAGCTGTGGACCTGCGCATACTCAAGTGGCCGGACAGGTCCTACAATGGCCATTCATGCAAGAGGAGCAGGACTGACAATATCAAGCTAACTAAGAAGCGATTCTTGTCGAGAAGTGGCTGAGATAAGAAAAGCCACTCCTTTTTCGAGTTCTGCCTTGCTCCTCGTCTTGGCACATTTACCGAACAGGCTGAGCCACTGCCAACTGCTGCCACGCCGATTCAGTAGCAGTGTAGCCTAGCAAAATGAAGCGGCGCAATTGCGTTGCCTCGAGCTTGGTTTTGTCGAAATGCTGGTGATGTTCCTGTCTCCTCCTTGTTGTATGGTTTTAGTTTTAATTGAAGAACCTCACCGATGCCTGCTTGGTTAGTCGCTGCGTCGCTCGTGGTTGGCATGATCTTGAGACTGCTCTCGACTGCATCGACACGTACGGGAGATACGATGTAAGCACGAGAACGGCCAGTCAGTGCAACAACTTCACCCATGAGCCTGCTTGCAGGCGATTGAGCAAGCAGAGCCCGCGATCAATCACCTGGGTACATGACTGGCGCATGGCCGGCTAAGCACATGACCGGCAGCAGGAATTGACTTGGCACGCTGAGCCCAGGCACCCCCAAGAAAACCAAGACAAAGTCAAAGACCTTCAGCAGCACCGTTGTCGCGCTGTTCTCTGTGAAATTCTGTGACCAATAAGTCCGCCAAAAGCCAACAAGAAATCAACAAAAAAACGAAAAAAAAAAAACACGAATACTCTTATGCGCTCTGGGCGTGCCACGTTCCACACGCCGTCCTGGCCAACATCAGCATGACCATGTGTCTCTATTTGAAGCCAGCTTTCATCTGCTCCCTTGCAGTAGCCCTATGACGCCATCATATCACACGAGTGCCCACATCATGGCACGTGGCGTGTCAAACCTACACATATCTGAACATGTCTTCTTGTTGGAGGCCACGGCTCTCTTCGATAACAGATTCTATGATGCATCCTTCCCTCACGGCCGGGCTCTGGATTAAGAAGACACTAGCAACGCACTGTTCAACGCAAGCGCCCAACATTCTACAGCAAGACACAATCAACGCAGAAAACCATCTCTCCACAAATCTGCAACTGCGATGTGTGGACTGTTTCGTCTCTTTGTTTTGACATGGCGGGGATGCGGATCCAGTTGCACTAAAAAATCCCAGCAGGCCATAGGCGCACAGCCTGCACATGCCAACTGTCCAAATTGTTCTGGAACAGCGAATCATGACCGCCTGCCTCAGGCAAAGTTCCACTGCAAAAAGCGAGAGGAAAGCATCCTGGCAGAGAGATGCAGAGAGCACCCGAGACAGGCCAGATTTATGTTTGCGCAAATCTTCAAGCTCGCTGCACTCGGCTTCAAGTGTCCTCCAGCATTGGGAATAACCTGACACTGCGTGCATCATGTTGACAAACACAAACACACACACACACACACACACACACACACACACACACACACACACACACACACACACACACACACACACACACCTGGCAAAGAATGTAGATTCGGTTCTGTTCCGATAGCCGAGGGTGACGCCATGCGTAGTCCTCCACCTGGTCTGTCTCCAGGCCGATGACCAAAGCGTTCGCCAGGATAATGGCACCTCATAGCAGCAGGCACATGTTGCTCAAAGACTTCCAAAGCAAAAGCCAAAACGAAGCCCAAAGCCAACTTAGGCATCGGCCGATAAGCGATTGAAACACTGGTGCTTCCACCAGCGCCTGCCAAGCACTTGGAATTGGAACCGAATCGTGAAAAGGCTCCCCAGGCACCTGGAGAGGTGAAGCCGGCGCATCCTCATACCTGACATGCCATGGCTCCGATATGTTTCTCAACGTTTCTCTGCAATTCTGTCCCGAGCACGTCGGCATTCCGTCATCGCTCAGGTCAGTAGCTACCGGCCTCAGACTCGAACTATCACGCAGCTAAGCTGTCTCCCGGAACTTCGCTAAGCTCCCGGGCATGTAAGATGAGGCTTCATCTTTCAGCAGGCGCATCTTCTCCTCACGTGGAAAACGAGGCGAGCTCCGGGCTACAGGAAGGCGAAAACAAACATCAGAGAGCAAACTAAAGAGCAAGAAAGGGAAGCATAGTCGTACGACCTGGGGCGCCCACCTCCATGCCAGCGAGCTTGAATCTTTTGAGTCATGTACCAGAAGCATGCGGTCTCATGGGGTGTCGGTGCAGAGTCACTGTGCATAAACCTTCGTCTTCTCGCCAACTCTCGCAACGTGGATGTCTCACAGCTGTTGCAGGCTTACCACGATAACTGACCATGAGCCGTATTGAGCCGTACATGCGGCGTGGGAGGTCGTCACTGGGCAAGTGCGGAAGGCATGTCACAGCTTCTCCGGGGCGCACGCCCCTGGGGCACTTAGGAAAAAAGACCATCTAAAAGTCACATCTGCCCAACCCTTCTTGCCGGCACATGCAAGACGACACAATCCTGTTGTCGTTCGCTCGCTTTCCTGTAAGGTCGGCAGACACAGTAAAGAGCGACTTGATGAACGGCAACGTCGGAGCACTAAGGGCCATTGTTACATATTGCTACGCTTTTCTAGACGTGCGTCGTTTGCTCTTCTCTTTTCTTGTGCCTTTTTGCTGAGCCTTTTCTCTTCAGATGCTCACATGCCATCGGAAAACACGAGTGGCAATTGCCAGGGCGGTCATCAAGACTCCGGCCCGGCCCCTCTCAGAGTGCACAGAGGGCGCCGATTGATTCTGTAGCCTCAAAGCCTCCGCATGCTCGGAACGCGACTGTCGCGTGTGCATGCGGCGTGAAACGTGCCTGTAGGCACTTCTCGGATCCTCTCCGTCGTAGGTGGCATTCGCGGGAACCCATGGCCCCGATGCCGTGATCTGTGCAGATAACTCCAAGCTGCTGGGTGGTCACCCAGGCTCGGCCAAATTTACGCGATTCGCATTTGCTTCTGCTTGTGAGAAGCTGACTTCAAGAATTCTGAACAGGTAACCTAAAGAACACGATGTACGTGTTGTGCACGTTGCATCGCATTGGGCGGTGCACTCTCCGATCACGGAGTCAAAGCGTATTCGCGCGCCGACCCAGCCTGCCTGAAGGCAGCTTACAGAACCTGAACATCCTGAACCCGTAGTGGCTTCCAGTATCCCGTGACTGCGCTCGACACCTTTGCCGATCTAAGCTTCTGAGGCATCTAAACGGTCTGCTTTCGTGGTGCAGGCTTGCGGCGCGCAACCATCTAAAACTGCAGAACTGAACCGAACAAGCCCTCGCATGAAGCGCGGGGCTTGCCAATTCTTTGGAGATGCTGCATGACCCGAGCAGACATGGCAGAGGAGCAGTAGGGCACACTTGATTGTGCATGTTCCCGGGGTGCGGACTTAAGCAATGCTTTTCAGGTCACACAAGGCAACAGGAAGGAATGATTAATTCGCTTCCGCTGTTCAAACATATGGATCCAGAACTCTCTTAGAAAGTTGCTTTGGTCCAAACAGGCCCTCAGCTTCGAAACCTCCTACCTGGCATCTGGCAATTCTGCGTGCAAGGGCATGCAGCTCACGTCATACCATACAAGCTTGCAGCTTAAGGATCTTAAGGATCACGGCTTTCAATGTGCAGCCTCACCTGGTCAAGACCTGACCTTTGCCTGCATGGATGCAGAATGCAGGGAATCACCAAAAACTTCTGACAGCTGCAACTTAAGAGCCCGACGTCACTTGGAGAGACTCCAGGGGGAAGTCGGCCTGACATGGTCCTGACGGCTACGGCTCCCCACTGGCCCCGGTCATCCGCGTATGTCCTTTGTGCCACATCGCGCTCTCAACAAGCCCAGTCCTTAGAACCCTTCGCAAAGCGGGTACCTGGCCAGTAAGAGGCCAACTGCGTTTCAAGTTTTTGAAGTGACAAAACGGCGACAATGGCGATGTGCGCATCAATGAAGCATCTGCGGCATCGCCGGCCTTTTCCACCTTGGCGACCGACGCGAGGTAGCCTGAGTCACGACGAGAGCAGAGTTGAGCAAAGCAACCAAAGCAGCTTGTGGCTTCGAGATGCGATGAGCCCACCACAAGGTTGGCGAAAGGCCTGTCCAGGGCTGGAGTCTGTATTGCAGCTGCATCTGGACCAGCATTGGAGACTCAACTTTCAAGCTGGCTGGCATTCATCTGCAAGGGGATCATCTCGGCCATGCAAGCTCGCAAGCATTTGGACACCTCGGGCTGTTTTCAAGCGCCTGCTACCAGCACTCCGCGGGAATTTTTCCCAAAAGGCCGCGGCCGAACCAAGCCAAAGGCAAGCACGCAAAGACGGTGCAGAACCTTAGAGGATGGAGGCGGCTCCGCGAAGCCATCGTGCACAATATGGGGGCCTGTTAAACATATGCCCCCCAATTTTGTTTGCATGCTTTACAAACGCACGGCACTCCCCCCCCCCCATTCCCTTGGGGCTCCAGGCGTTCCAAGAAAGCTCCAAATGAACCCATGCCAATACCTCATCACACTGTCACTCATCCTGACTCATCCTGTCGCGGACGGCCTTAACAAGGAGCTATCAATGCTAAATCACTAGCTGAGGGCGTCTCCGAGGATGCCGTGTGTGTGATCGGAAAAACTTGCGCTGCGATGCCGTGTCATACGGCGTCACAAAATTGCGCTGCACCCAAGACCTGCCAACGCCCAACTCCAAGGCCCACTTCTTGTGCGGAGCTCATCTCGACTGCGCTTTGCATGTACTCAGGCGAGAGCGCGAAGTAGAACTCGAAGAAACCTGCAGCTCGAAGCAATTCTAGAGAGTGCCTTGCCTGTGCCCTTTGATCGCAAGCAATAGATGCACATCGATGTCTGCAAATACCTCAAGCATACTGAAAGCACGGTGAGGTCGAAGGACCCAAGGAGCCGCAGGTTGACGTGATGTTTTTCAGATACTCACCTCCTCCCGCAGGACCTCCCGCCGCGCTCCTTTTCCGGCTGTTGTTGGCAGATTTGCCCTGCAAGGCTCCCGTGAAGCTCTCAGTTTCGGGATGCTGCCTTCAAGCCTGCTGACTTGTGATGGTCCATATGGACCCATATTATGGGTCCCACAGAGCTGCAAGTAGAGTGGCCCAGGCGGTTCACAGAGTGCCAAAACGTGCGAAAACAAAAAATGACTCAGCTTGGCATTGCCTCGCACCGGCGAGTCAACGGCTCGGATGCGGGTCCATGCCTTGAAGGGTCGTTCTTCCAATACTCTTTGCATGTCTTTTCTGTGCCTAGACGGCCTGCGTGGACGCAGGCCGTGCCTACACACCTTCACGCCCTGCGCTGTTGAGGCCATGACAACTTGTAACGGCTTGTTGTGCAGCAGCACCGCTCCTTCGGGTACCTGTCAACACATTCAACACTTTCAACTCTCACTACTTTGGTCCGACATGATTGTCATGATGCGCCTGCACAGACAAAGCTGGAAAGTACGACGCTCAGTAGGATTATCATGAGGTGCACTGTGCCTGTATCAAACTGCCTGAAGTCACATCCATCGTCTCCACCTGTGACATAGCTTCACTTGCTTCACTTCCACCATTCGTGTATGCGGCACCATAAAGCTACTCTGTGTGATGCTTTCCTTCTGCGCCTTTGACGAGAGAATCAGATACACTGATGTGAGAGTGACCGTGCTAGTACTACCCTTTACTTACTGTGCTTTGCTTGTTCCTGCTTTGGTCCCGTGGTCGCTGACAACTAGCCAGCCTCTGAACACTGAGGCCTCCACAACATGATGATCGTGGTGCTGCAGCTGCACCTTCAACGTATCTGTAAAAGCACTGGAATGCATCTTCTTTTGTACTCTTGGGTGCAGCATCAAAAATGTGCATTTTTCGTGAGTTGATGGAAGCTAATGTGCATGTCATTGCCTGCGCACTGCCATCCAAGTAGAGGACAGCAACACCACCTGAGCCCCGGCCATGCGAAGGGTCCCTGCATGTCCTACGGGCCCCGAAGAGTTTGCGACGCGCTCTGCAGGCCAAGGATCTCCAGCTTGGCTCATCGGGGATGGCTCTTACCTGAGCTTAGAGCTGAGAGCATCTGCGTCTGAGATGGAGCGGCACAACTTTTTCGGGGGCCGTGGCCGCCGTGATGTTGTCAAAGTGCACATCGCCCAGGTGCCTCCCGAGATCTCCCAAAGGCAAGGGGCAAACACATGATTAATGCGAAATGTCCCTTCCAAATCTGTCTTTCCCATGTTTTCTTTGGAAGTTTGTGGTTCCCTCTTTAGCCAGCGATGCGATGCAAGGTGCCTCCGACTCACCTCCAACTGCCCGGCCACCTGCAGGCGCTTTATGCTGCCGCTTCTTCCATTGCCCCATAACTCAAAAGCTGCTCAATGACTCAATGACAGAAAGGAGAGGTGGTTGGGGGAACTCGTCTCTTCAGCACAGCCCAGCAGCCCAGGGCTCCTGCAGTGATTCCGAATCCTAAGGGGCTGACGAACTGCTGAAGTCGCACAGCAGCGCGATCTGCCCAGTAGCCACAGCCTCAGACGCCGAGCCGGCCTTCTTGGCTGCACTAGCTGATCTTCAGCACGGAACATACGAAACTTTTGGTAGACTCCAAGGAATCTCCGGGAGCGTTGCAAGATGATTTCTGACCTTTCTTGAGAAGGTCTTGGAAATGGGCGGTGTCGGCGTCTTAGTCCGTGGCAGATTAGAGCGCTTTCTTGTCGACCCGTGCATGATGTTCTTCCGAGGGAAACATGAGATAGGCAGCTGGGCCTGAGATCACTTGCTCGAAGACTTTCACCGCCTCCTGACGGCATGCTGAAATCATGCTGAAGCAAGATGAAGCCAGACGGAATGCGAAGGTCCTCATTTTGGGTAGCACCTGAAGGGACGCCTGTCGGAATGCCAATGACATATGTCAAGCTGAGCGCCATGAGGCGGAAAAAGCAGGGCTGAGAACAGCTAGGTACAGCTGCATGCTCTTGCACAAAGCTCTTGAAGCATGCCCCTCGAATAAACAAAATCCTTTTCCACCTAAACGACACCAAAACCCCATGGGGGTTTTTAGATCTCACCTGCAACGATCGCGAGGAGCACGATCGCAGCCAGGCATGGCTCCCGGCGCCTCGAGTTACCGAGCAATCTGACAAAGCATTCCATCCAGTTTTACAGGGATGCTCGGGGGGATTCTTGGGACAATGCGTTTGAGACTTGGAGACAATCCTCCCTAACTCCGGTCCTAGTCTTGCTCTACAGACCTTAGGCCTGCTCCAAAACTGTGCGAGGAAACAGCACCCCTGGATTAACAGTTTTTGGAAAAGAGGGTTCAGCCTTTCGTTCGATTTTGCTTCGGCTGCAGCCTAAAAGCTTGGACCGATTGCTTCCGAGAAAATTCTCAACCACATTGGGCAACGTACGGCTGATTGCAGCCGTGTAGTAAGGTCCCGGCATGCTTGGCCCTGTCCTCATCCAAAAGACATGACTACCTCTGAGCCACCTACATGCAGCCGGAACGGGTATGGTCGCAGACTTCAGCACGCATAGACTGCACCCCCCCGGTGACCCCACGAATGGCAGCTGGCGTTTGGTCTCCGCTAGACTGTCCCCAAACTCGCTCGGCTACATCTTGGCCTCTGCACCAGTTACTTTCTGATATGGTGCAGGGACTTTCCCCATAGCGATAATCGCTCCTGCCAAAAAAATTGAATTCTTCATATTCGCAAGCGCCACCTCATCCTCCATACAGAAGTTTGCAACGCGTCTACTCAGCATCTGCTGTGCCTTGTCGGATCTTGTCCCGAGATCTGTGCGAGATTTAGGTGGTGCATTCGCCAAACGAAATCTCATCTGCCTTCGACGCGACAAATGCCAGCAGCGCTTTTGATGCATCCTCGTCGTCTGTGTCAAGATCAAGAGCGCAAAGACGATCGACAATCATCTGACACACCGCCTGTTGCTGCTCAGTCAGCTTTGGTCCTGGAGTAGCTTGGGCTTCTGGTTCAGGATTGCCGCTCTCCAGCATGGCAAGGATGTTTGCTGCACGGCTGATGACAGATGAGTCCAAGCCGGCTTGCGCAGCGCATTCGAGACCGAAGCTCTTTTCTGAACACCCTGTTGCCATTTGGTATAAGTAGGCGATTGAGCCCACTGAAGCTGTGTCTGGCAGGATTTGGGATGTTCCTTCAGAGTCGTCAGGAGGCAATATTCGTAAGTGGCTAACTTGCAGGAACGGCTCACTCTGCGAGACCAGGTTCATGCGAAAGATCTCGGTGAAATGAGTCGTGATCAGCACTTTCGGGCCATTCGCCCACCGGCAGAAATACTCCACCGTGGCACCAAGGAGTGCCACACCATCCACCGCACGAGTTCCCTTGCCAAACTCATCGATCAAAATGAGTGAAGATGCGGTGGCATGCTTCAGGGCCAAAGAGAGCTGGCACAAGTCCAGAGTAAACGTTGAGCAGTTGCGAGTGGCGCTGTCACAACTCTGTATGCGAGAGAAGATGAAGTCACACAGGCCCAACTCAGCCTCATCTGCTGGGACAAAAGAGCCTGTGTGCGCCATGTATGTGATCAGCCCAACCTGCTTCAAATACACTGATTTCCCGGCCAAGTTTGCACCGGTCACCACTTGCACACGGTATTCGCGGTCTTCAAGGCCAATCTCTGTACTGTTCGGGACAAAACCATGGTGGGCAGTCATCATCGCCTCCACCAGCGGGTGCCGTCCCCTCACGATGTGCAAGAGACCAGGCTTTGCGCTGAACTTTGGCCGATTCCACTTGTATTGCAGCGCCGCAGAGCTGAAGGCCTGGATGACATCCACCTCGGCCAAAAGCTGCGCCGCCTTTCGCAAGCGGCCTTCGAGGCGACGTATTCGTTCCAACACCTCCCCTAAGATCTGCAGCTCCACGTCCCGAGCTTGAAGCACCAGGTCACCTGGGAAGCGTAGCATGAAGCGTAGCATGAAGCGTAGCGGCGTAGCATGCCCTGGTGGCCCTTAGCGGCCCTCGCACGTTCTACCCGGGCCCTGCCCTGGTGACATTGACCACCCAAGCTAAGCCAAGGCACCAATCTCAGTGTCCAAGCGCCGAGCCATGTCACACTTGTAGAAGAGCCTTGGCCCACCTCACAAAGTGCATTGCGGCCCAGACCCTAGAGGCCCCAGAGATCCCTCGAGACACTCCTAGAAGCAAGAACAGCCGCACCAGCGCGCCTGCAAACTGATAGCTCCAGTCCTCCGCCGGGAGGGGAATGCAACCCTTGCGCTTTAGGAAATCCATGGCGTCGGCATCCACTTCCCCGCTGGATGCCATCGGGTTGGGAAGGGAAGCATGAAAGCCCAGCCTCGGTCGCTGTGATGGGTCATGGCGTGTGAAGGCGCATGAATCTGCATGAATGCAGAAACCACAGAGACAAAATGAATGAAGCGAAAACGTAGGACTTGCCATACTGCCTTGCAAGCCAAGTCGCTGCGGGAAGTAGTGAAACAGAACAGAGTCCTGAGCAGAACAGGTTCAGAATGTCAAAATGCGGCTCATGAGCCTCCCTTCATGGCGCGACCCCCGATCCATCTCGGCAAAGAAAATTCGCCAAGCTGCCACAGCACGCTGAAGCGAGCTGCGGCCTTGACTGAGTGGCCGCAGTAGCCGCTTCTTTTCGAGGCTGGCGATGTCACTCAGATGGCTTTCGATATTGAGGTACCTTACTCGCAGTCAGAGTGGCCGAGTTATCATGGCTCCTGCAAGTCTTTTCTCTCCGCTTAAGACAAAGGGCTGCTGTCTCAGCCCATCGAGCCGCCGATCGACTCCACGCTGGACATGGACCAGGCTTCCATCAAAGTGGCCTGCACGCTAGAGGAAGAAGAAAAAAGAAAGAAAAAGACAGTGCACAAAGTTCGTCGCGCGGCGGCAGCGCGGGCCTTCTGTAAAATGCCCGTCCCAGTCCACGACTCGCTGCAAGAGGCTTTCGGCTGCCTGCACATCCTCCGCCAATCCGTCGCCTGAGCAAAGAGCTCTAGTTACACAAAAGCGGCGACCAACTTAGAACAAATCTTGTACATTGGTTGTACACAACCCACGTGAAAAAGATCGTGTAAGATCGAAGAGGAACCAGGTATGTTTGGCTGAAGCGGCCTTGCACCGAGAAGAACAAGCCTCGAGATCCCAGCTTCGATGCCTGGCACACGGTGCATGGTGATGGCACGCTGAATCACACTGCTTATCCTTGTATAGCCACCGTTCTGACCACGGGGCGGTGATGGGGAAGGAGGCCGGGGGCAGGCGAACGTCCATCGTTTAGAAAAGTCCGGGCCTCAACACAAACAACGAGAGGACCTAAGGCTGTCCGAATGCGGACCCGCAGTGGCCAATCAGACCATTGCAAAGGATGCCCTCTAAGTCGCAGGATGTCTGGCAAAACAGCGTCCCCTACGACCAGGTCCGCGGGATAGCTAGCCAAGCCGAGTCCCCTTCAGCTTGAGGCTTTCTTTGATGCTACAGTGTTTGGCAGTAGGAACCAAATTGGGGATTTTGAAGGGCAAGAACCTATTTGAACAATTCGTGGGCAGGAACCAATTTGAGGAGCTTGCGGGCAAGAACATTTGATAAATCTGTAGGCAAGGATCAAACGCAACCAACGACTTGCACAGCAAGTAGACATGACACCCATCTTGCAAGATGGTCACACACACACACGAGCACAAGGAGGCGAGATCACTGTGAACACCTTTGCCCGGCGCTGCCTGCGTGATCAACTCCAGACACGTCGACATGTGGCTCAGCGTCGCAGCCAACGCCCGCCAGTCACCGACATTGTCGAAATGGTAGCCTTGCTTTCATGCATGGGCACAGCGCAAAAATCGCAAACCTCACCGGAGCCCTTGAAAGTGGCACCTGCAACTTCTGCATCCGAGGTGCAGCGGTACCTGGAAAGGCCGCAGCGCCAACTCTTTTGCATTCTTTTGCGACTTCATGTGCACATGTAGTGTGTGTGTGTGTGTGTGTGTGCTCATATGCGTGCGAGACACAAGCGTGAGAGGATTGCTGGCACGTCTTGCACCTGTCAGGAAGAAAGCTTTGCCGGAATGGCGAAAGTTGGCCAAGCATGGCAAGCCCGACACCTGAATGTCTCTCAGCGCCCTCCCCGCACACAAGCTCTTGAGCCAGTACCTTGTTACACATGATGGATGCCTCCTTCAGCTCTCGGTGCAGTTGCCTCACCTGGAAACAGACTCGATGCATGACACAGCAAGAAGGAAAAAACTAGTGATGAGAACTTCGACAGCTAAGAGCTTCAACTGGCTAAAGGATGGATAAGGCATCGGCGAGCTCGGCGCTGCTGCCGCGCAGGAGGCCCAGGACGGACTCCACCGCATCGTGGCGGGCCTTCAGCAGCTCGACATTCCGACCTCTTCGCAATGGGGAACACGCTTATTTCGGGGAACAGAACAAAAAAAACTGAAAAAATCGAAAAAGGACTCGAAGAGCTTCCCCGCTTCGCAATGCTTCCCTCTCTGCTTCTCTTCGGCACCCTCCCTGCTCATGGCCATGGCACTTGGCTGGTGCAGCCAGCGTCGCAGCATGATCCTCCCGGATGTCGAAGAGACGAAGGGCTCCAAGAGGCCAAGGAGGGACAGGCCCTCGCGAGGCTTGCCCAAGCGCATCAGCGACTGACGGTGCTCCTGGGCTTCTGGACTGTGAATGTCGATACTGCCCTCGAATGAGCTGAATGCCCGTGAGCTAGCGGTTGTCCTACAAACAGTATAGATTGGTTTGGATTGACGCCTCTCTCCTGGACGACTTGCAAGGCCATTAGCGTCTGCACGTCCACGAATGCGGAGTCTTCAGGCGCGAAGAGCTTCACATCTTGTACACATGGCTGCCATTGGCCTTCAATCTGGCCGAGGAGCTTGCGGTTTTGCTCTAAGAACCTCAGTAGACCTCCAGCAGCCCGCACCAACTGTTCATTTCCAAGGTCCAGTGTCGCCAAGGGCGTCGTCTGTCCAGGGACCCACACATCCGACGCAGTCGTTGATGCATCTGCGGTCGTCGACGTGGATGTCTTCGATTTCGACATGCTTTGCAATGCTTGGAAGAGGGTCACCAAACGGAGCTTGGAGGCCTCCACATCAAAGTCTCCTGCCTTCTGCGTGGCTGTGGGGAAGCTGTCGCCAGACTCTTCCACAGGGCTTAGGGCGCACTGGAGGAGCTGTGGAGGTGAGCGCGATGGGACAACACACAGGCCCGAGCGAACGACGAGGTGTGAACTCTGCTGCCCATCTTCTCGCCCAGGCCCACGGCCATCATCAGACTGGCAAAGAAGTCGCTCTTTCAGCCTGAGGATCTCCGTGAATTCAGGGTCCAACACGTCGGCAGCCCAAAGCACACGTTCCGTCTCGTCCAGATCCACATATGCTAGGCCACACCTCCCTCCGCGTCCAGCACAAAAAGCGAATATCACCGAGATCTCCTGCGGAAGTCCAGGCTCCTGAATCTCCGCAAAGGCCATGCTATGTCCCTAAGCCCAGAGAAGCAGAGGAGCTGATTAAGCTGCTCTCATGCTATTGCTCACATCTTGAGCCAGGCCATAAGACAAGACAATGATCCACAACAGCTCAACATCGATATTGGTACAAGGCTGCGCCAGCGTCTGTATCGGGCTTCATTCTTCCACGGCTCATGAAGGTCGACGAGGGTCCGGGCTTCAGACCACACATGTCTGCCAACATCTGCTGAGCCGTGGGTCCGGTGGTCCCACAAAGTGCACATCGCCTGTGCGCCTGACTGCAAGTGTGCGATGTGCCGCTGCACATACAAGACTTGTACTCGGTGTACTCTCACTACGGACGTCGCTCCACTCGCTCCTTTCCCGGACGTGAGACCACAAGCCAATCGCCTTAAGCGACCGGTTTCTAAATCGCAGATTGCTTTGATCTACTTTGATGTAGGAGTCTTAGGCGGCTCAGAAGCGATCATCTGGACATAGCTTTTGTTGTCCATAACCATAGGGTTCACGGCCTAAAGCTGCAAGAATGGTGCAGTGCAGAAGCTCGGCCCACTAAGGTTCCACAAGGCCAACCCAGACCAGACCACAAAGGACCCAACATGGTGCTGCGTCAACAAACCGCAGGTCGTGAGTGCAAGCTTCTCCTGGGGCAAAGGACATCAACGGACCTTCTTTTGGCAGAACCGCATGCAATAGGCAAGCGAAAGAAGTCAGCCACAGGGTTTCGGACAGTCGTTAATATTGAGTGAACTTGCATGATAGCATAGGGGAACATGTAGTGTCGAGCGTCATGCACTGGAAGCTGGGACTGGAACAGGCCTTCAGTAAGATTCTGAGATGACAGGGAGCCCCACCTCCCAGCACATGCCCGCACCCAGCCACCCAGAGGCCGCAGCGCCCTTCTTTTGTGAGAGCTCAGTCTGCTCGGATCACAAGTCCAACGGCCCCCAAGGTGACAACAATCGATTGCCCTGTCAAACTGAGAGTTTTGACAGAGATGTGGAGCCGACAGAAAAGGAGAAGGTGAGTGCTCAGAGTGCTCAGCGTGCTTTCCCCAATGCCGACGTGGCGACTTTGGAATGAACGCCAGAGCCGGCAGTGGCCAAAAAAGTTGCGGCTGGGAGTTTGCGGAGCCTGAACGTGCAATCCAAGCAGTCCACAGGGCTCAGGGCGATCTTCTGGTGCTCTTCTAGTGCTGAAGTGCCTTTCTAGTGCCTTTCTAGTGCTCTTCTAGTGCTCTTCTAGTGCTCTGGCCATGTCGGTTGTCGCGAACGCATCAGATGCTCAACCGCTCCTCTGTGCCAGGCCCGAAGTTCTGCCAGTACCTTCAGCACAGAAGACCCGCACAGAGGTGTACCAATCAAAAAACAGAAAGTCCCTTCGAGGAGATCCATCTCCAACGTCGAGAATGGCCTAAGAACTGCTGTGAACTCCCTCTTTGCTTCAAGGCCACTCGCCAAAGACGCCGTGGGAGTCCGCAGGATTCAGTTCGCCCACCATGAAGCCAGCACCTGTGCAGTTCACCATGACACCGCTCGGTGCTCGGCGGCGCCAGATGAGAGAAAATTCGGGAATATGAGGCTTGAAATGGCTTGAGGCCCTGTGAACGTGGACATCACCAACAGGCGGAGTATGGCTGTCATTTCAGCAAAGAAGCCAGCAGCTGCAAGCGCGATGGCGTGCATATCCTGAGGGCACGTTGCATACTCAGTTTCCAACGTTAGAAAACGTGCGAGTTTGTTTGTGGGCCGTAAGCCTGGTCCATGAGAAGGACCGGAATGGCGCCGGTGTACGGCTCCTTTTCGCGGGTGAAGACCTGTACCAAGGTGAACTGTGGTGAACGATAACTGGGCACCTCAAAGCCTGCCTTCTCGTAGTACTCGTAGTTGTCTCCCTTGTTGAAGATCGGCCTAGGGGCTCGCGGATGCATTCGGGCAGATATGGGCCAAGTCGCCAAAGATCTTCGTGAACTGTAAGATCCAAGGATCAAGGATAACACAACGAGCCGAATGTTCTTGAAGGTTTCCTCCCAATTGGCAGAATACAGCCTAAAGCACACTTTGTGCACCTCAGTGCAAAATGCACTCTTTTGAGCAGTCTCTGCAGCTGCTGCTGAATTGTGCTCCACAAGGCTGCAAGGATGGTAGAAGAAGCTTCAGGCGCGTCCTCTTGCAGAACCCGTTGTAATGCCAAAGCCTGTGTCAGAGGAGCTCCACTGGAAGCTTGACATTAAAGACCCAACAAAGCTTATGATAACTTAGATTGGATCAAAAAAAGACGAGGAGCTGAGAGGTGCCGTACCGTGTTGCCAATGCCAATGGCATCCCCCGCGAAGACGCCCAGGCCCAGGCCCACCTCGACGACCACCTGGATGCCTCCGGCAGGCGTGCGAGCTCGTAGGGTTTGGGAGTTTGGGAGGGCATGGGAAGGCTGCGAAAAAGACGCGAAATTTCTTACACACGCACACGGACGGCCTAAGTCGTCTTGTGCCTTCAGGCGCAGTCTGCACATCTTCTTCCTTGGCTGCGAGCTGTTCTCTTAACATCTCCGTCAAAAAGACCAGGGATGGAGATAAGAGGCTTCATTTTCTTCCGCCAACCGTTAGATTTTAAGGACAAAGTGGCACGTATCATGCGACGCGAAGTGTTTGGCACACTACGTAGACAGTACAGGTCAGGTAGTACAACATTCAGGACAAAACGCAAGCAACTGTACCGGAATGTGACTTGAGTAAACAAGCCCAATAAGCTCACGCCACTGTACCGGAATGTTGCCTCAAAACAAGCAGGCCATGGAGAAGGCGGAACCGGGCCCAAAGCAGCCGGTCGATGCTTCGCGGTTGGCGGGCCCCTCTGGAAAAACCCGCTGACAAGCTTGCAACTTGCAATTGGCTGCCATCTCTCTGGTCTACGTGAGCGGCTTGAGGCTAGAAGCTTGGGGCTTCCCGGTACAGGCTCCGATGTTGGCGGGCCCCACTGGCAGGTCCTGCTGGCAGGCCAGGTGCCCGCTGACAAGGCACATCTCGTCCATGCAAGGCAATGTAAGGGGGGCTCGAAGCTTGTGATAAGGGCTTAAGCCGATAAAGGTTTCATTGTTGACGCGCTTTGCTGACAGGTATGGCCCGAGCCCCATTTCACTGGTGCGCATCTCGAAGGCTCGAAGCTCGGCGGCTTTCCGAAAAAAAAAAAAAAAAAAAAACAATCCTCACGGTTGGGTTTCGCACTTGGCGGCCCCCGCCAACCCTGGCGGGGCCTGCAGTGTTTGCTTGCGCCCCGTCTAATTTTTAACGTGTCGGCGGGGGGCCAGTGGCAAGCTTTGGCCCAAGCCAAAAAGGTTCGAAGCTGAACGGCTGCCCAAACAAGGTTTCACCATTGGCGCACAAGCCAAATCGCTCCGCGGACGGGGCCCGCTGACAGGCTTGGACTGCACAAGTCTCGTCTCACTGGTCTACATAAGGGGCTCGAAATTTCTAAAGGTTTTCCGGTAGAGGTTTCGCCGCTCAGTCAGCGACTGGCATAGCTTTAATGATGATTTATGCGGGTTTTGTAAAGCAATGTTCGACTCCACTTAGCAAGGTTCAAATGCCCGAGCGAACTTATGCTAAATCTTAGCATTGCAGCTTTGATTTACGAATGCAGGAAAAACTTAACTTTCGTTGTTCTGGTCGGAAATGCATCAAAACCTCTCCCGAACCTACCATTTCCACCAACGCCACAAACCATCTTCCTCGAGCACACCAAACTCAGACCACGCTGGCAAGCATCAAATCGAAGAGCGTTTTGGAGACATTGAGCTGCGCGAAGGTCCCAGAGAGCTGCGACGGACACGGTGATCACACACACATTCAAATGCCGTGCATGTAAACACCACTTCTTCGCAGCCTCGAAGTCGCGCCCATGTCGGACATACGGAACCCCTTCGTCCTGGACGCAAGCCAGATCATTTTCTGCATATACTGCAGCCTGACAAGCATGAGCAGAGAAATGTGTTTCGCAGCTCATCCAAGAGTCGTCGAAGGTGTAAACCTCTTTCCAATTCTTGATGTAATTGGTGAGGTCGACGTGATCGTGAACCCGCGACGCAAAGTCGATCCCACATACGGAAACCAGGTGAATCCGACTGGAGACCGGATCGCCCACTTCACGTGGAACCACACGCCCGTCAAACCTCATGATCACGGGGTTTTTGCTGCACCTGGCGCTGTGAGCTGTGAGGGGCAGCTGTGTACATGACTCTGTCACCATTTTGCACTTGAAGGTTCTTTGCGGCCTGATCGCAAACTTCATCTTCCAGGCTTCCTCACCAGCCTGACCGGTCACTGCCGCGAATACGCTGCTGACGGCACTGCGCCGCTATGCTACGAAGGCAAGATGCAAGATGAAAGATGCGTGGCCTCCGAAAGCCCTTCCAGTGATCGGCTCAAGAGCTGCAAGCCCTCGTCACCGGTGTAGACATCCGAAGCCTAGAGTTTGCAAGTGGCTAGAACAAACGGAATTTAGGAGAGCCCAAGCTAAGTCAGCTAAGTGGCATAGTATGCCCGAAAAGAAGACTGCCATTCGAGGATCTCAGCGACAGATGCCTTGAAGGAGCACGGGTGGCCTCGGGCGATGGAATCACAAGATCCCCCTAGATGCTTCGTGCCTTTCCGCGGAGCTGCCATCTTGGCCTTTGCCATGGTAGACGAGCTCCTCCAAGTGACAAGCCGTGGCAAGCCGTAACAGCACCATAGCGTACCCCAACCCCAATCTGCCAGACGGCTGCTCTCTGGCTCAGTCCTTGTCTGGGGGTAGGCTCTTCAGCGGCGTTGGCAGTTCAAAGGCCTTGACACCTAAGCAACTGTGGGATAGGCGAGAGCTCCGAGATGTTCATCTGTGTGGCTGCACGCACCTTGTACGAAGTAGTGCCCAGGAAGCGGCTGGATGCCCACCTGAACAGTTCTGAGGGACAAATAGCGTCTCCATGTGGAAAATGTGGCCCCAAGTTGTCGATTCTTGTCGCTTGTTGGCCTGATCCATCATGAAATCCTCCATGGCGAGCGTTTGCGGGATGCACTTGCCGCCCATGGTCCTCCATTGACATTCGAAACCGCTCTTAGTGGCCTGATCTCAATCAGGCCACGTTGACGGCCGCAGCACAGTCAGGCTCTTAACAGGTAAAGATGCCAGTTGCCCAAACAGTGCGTTTGCAAGCGTGCCCACCCAGTTGTGCGGCGCTCGTTTTGGGTCTTAATTATGCTCCAGTCCATGGGCAGGCTCAAGATTTGCCAGCAGATTTCCATCGTCCTGGCTTTCATTTGGCATTGTCGGATGTGACAAGTCACGCTCTTGCCTATGTCCCGTGTGCAGTCCATTCAACACTAGCTTCTGGTGCCAGAAAAACACGGCGTGGATGTGATTTTCCGGGTTGGCTTCGTTTCATACGTCTATTCCAAGGGAACATGCATTTCGTGGTGCTTAAAAAGCAGGCTCGGGCCTTGGTTCTACCTGTGAAGTGCAGAACTGCCATCGCTTTTCGGCCTTGGATCGCACTCCTGGGTTTGACACTGCGATGTAACGTCGTTGTGGTCTCACACTGGTTTGGGGTCTACGCTTACATGCCGTGATCACTGACATCACGATTGCAATCTGCACTCTTTCTGGGCTGTCACCTCACTTCGAACAGATGGTGTTGGTATGCAACGACATGCTTCAAGACCTACTAGTACCCGGCGACTGCACACTCCCGATCAGCCCGGCCTTTTGTCCATGGCCGGCAAGGACTGCAGCGCCTGCACAAGGTCCTTGATATCGCTCGGCAACCCAGCCTCAAACTCAAATCGGCTTTCACTCCACCGGAGGATGTGAGTGTGCATCCTCAGTGCCTGGCGCCTTCAAATAGGCGAGACCTCGTCGATGCGATGCACATCTCCGAAAGTAGGCCCTGCGCGCACGTGTGATCAAGTGCGGTCCGAGCGGCGTGGGTGGTCGGCCGGCTTCAACTGCAGGTGCGGTGGGCAGGTCTTCCGGAAGCTCGTCAGGCGGGTCCACCTTGCCCCCACAGCCCTGTGCCACTTGTGCCATAGATTGCCTGTTTGGCGCCTCGGACAAGTCCCAGTTCTTCTGCTTTAACTTTCGAAGCTCCTGAGCACTCTGAGTTGCATAAGAAGTGTTACATAAGTGTTGCAGAAATTGTCAGTGTTTCATGAGCTGTTACACGTCTCTCCAGAAAGCACTTAGGGCACTTTGCCACCACTTGACTCCTCCAGCATCCACGCGGGGTCGGTCCTAGATGGCAGAGAGAGCTCCTGTGGCGCAAGCTCATCTGTGCGTGCTCAGCATTGTGCTCAGCATTGTGCTCAGCATTGTGCTCAGCATTGTGCTCAATGCTCACGCTGCAATCGTCCCGTAGTCCTGGCCATCATCTATGTACCCCACGGCGGACAACCTGGACAGAGTTGCACACAGATGAATCGTGACATCTCTTGAACGGCATCATCTGCGAGGACAACCGCAACAGTCCGTAAGCTGTCGGCAACCAGTCACAGCCCCTGGAATTTGCCAGATTAACATTGACTTTTGCGCTGATTGAATGCCCTCACTTGCCTTGTGCTCAAGAGAGTCTTGCCTTCGAAACACGCATGGATGCCCAAATGCCACACTATACTTGCCCTGTATTGCCGCCTCCATCATAGAATCAACATGCCGCTATCAGAGCATCACAACGTGCCTGGGTGGTCTAAGCAACTCATGGTCCGACGCTTCGAGTCTTCTGGATCCTGAGACAAGGACTCAGCCCAGGACATCCAAATTAGAACATCCCACACAGCTTTTGGGTTGCACACGTGGACTCCTGCCTCCATGACATGCTCAAGAATGGACAGAATCAAGTCCAAAGCATCTTTCCTGGCACACGACTCTTCTGGAAAAAAGGGGGGTGCAAGATGGTGAAAGTCTGCAGACCCTGCACCGATCTGCACCGCACCTTTCTTTCTCCGGGACCGAAGACAGCTCTCGAAGGCCCACGAGCGCCTCTACCTGTCCAATAGCTTCCCGGCGTTTCAAAAAGCAGCTCAGCCCACGCAGTACTGGCCACTGCCATCGTCACTGTTCCAGCCGTCGCTGCACGTGCAACACCCGGGGCTTGGCGGACGTTTGCGTCGTGATTGTACTGTCGCTGTTGCTGCGACTCGTTCCACAGTGTGCTGTCCGGCCCATCGCTGTGGCCGCCAATGTGCTAGCAACAGCACAGCAGATCGAAGATGATCGAAGCATACTTTCAAAGAAGCACCGAGCAATAACATGTGCCAGAGCCTGGAAGCGCAGTCCTTTCGAGATGTCCTCTCGACAAGGAAAACAGAGGCAGAAAACATACAAGGCGAATTGTCGAACATACCATTCCAAACGAGCCCAAAGAGCTTTTCACAAGCTTTAAAAACCGAAGCTGCATGTAAACACTCACACACACACGCACACAAGCCCACGCCTTGACGGAGCGGCAGAATGCAGCCTGGAAGGAGGGAGGGCTTAGGCTCTGGCTGGCCATGGGCTGGCGGCCCGGCAGGTATGCGCAGACCATGCGAGACAGGCATGCAGCATGCCGCGACATGTTGCGACAGCAGTGCAGTAAGTTTTACATGCGTGTCCAGCGTGGCCTGGTCTGAGCCATCCGTGAAGAGCCACCGGACAAACTCACCATACTGGATCTTGCCATCGACGTTTGTGTCTGCCTGTTTGCATCAATTCCCAATGTGGCTTGACGGATCCGATATTTGTCAGCGCGGCTGAACCTCGATAAGCAGCTGGTCGATCCGCTCGTCCGTCCATGAGATCGGATCGAGCGCCTCAAGCACCCGGCCGAGCTCCTGTACAAGGCCAAAGCAGCTTCCATTTGACACGGCGATGAAGGCTGCATGCAAGGACTGCTTCGTGCAAGGACTGCTTCGTGCAGCATCTGTGTGTGTGAAGCGATGCATGGACGCCCGGCCCGTCAGATTTGTCCTTTCTTTCGATCACTCCATTTCCATTCCTGCGCAGAACACTCAGAACGACGAAAAAAAACTACAAGAAGAGGAGTCGGAAAAACGAAAAAGATGCAAGCTCAGTGAGAAAACCGGAAAGCAAGTGCAGCAAGTGAAGCCAGCACTGCCGTGCAGAGGGCACCACACCGAAAGCCGAAGATCCAAAGATCACTCAGCAAGTCAACATTCCACACACTCCACACACACACATGCGTCTCATTCCTTTTGTCAGCGTGAACCTTTTCGTTCTGCAACTGCCACAATGAGTCTTCGGGGCGATTCTAAGATTCTAGGTATGATGCCACCAAGTGCAGTGCACAGTTTCACTAAACACCACCGAACTGGTTTATGATATATGAAAAGGCAGATGTGTGGAGAACGTGTGGGCATCCCTACGAGAACTTGCTGATTCCTGCTGGACATCAAAGTGGAAGCCGTTTGCAAATGACGCCCTTCGGTACAAGATGTGGACACACACGCAGAAATAGTGACACAATAGAATGGCTGTCGGGCCTGTCCAGCTGGCGAAACAGCTCGATCAGGCGGTCGGTCGTGGCCATTCGCAGCAACAAAGTACTAGAACTGCGTGCGCTCGCATTTCTCATCTGTATCTGCTGCATGCTGCGCTCTGCGCGAGTTGCCATCATCATGCTTACACGATGCGCTTCACCGATAGCTGTTGCAAGCAATACAGGTGATGCGTCTGCACTGAACACGTGTAGGCTCAGATAGGCTCAGTTTCAGTAAGATTGCATGGGCTGATGATGATCTGCCTCCTGCTGCGAGTACCATCGGTTGGAAAATGACGAAGGCTGCTCAGCACTGCAAGACAATCTCACGATCTTCCTCGCAAGGGCAACTTTTGACGTGAGCCCTGCACAGCATGCTTCGATTAAAGTATGACGCCCTGCCCACTAAATCCATGAAGTGGCATCGTTCATCTGCGACCGATTATAAGCCCTTCTTCAGATCCTGTTCAAGGAGAAGTGAGCAGTAAGGCAGGACTGAATCCCTGACCGCAGGCCTACAAGCTCTCAGGAGTTGAGGTTCAGAGCTGCCGCCAGGACAAGCACTCCACACCTTCTTCGCCCGTGGCTGGAACGGACTCGAAGGGACTTGACCACAAGCCACAGCCTTACATGCGTACTGAATGTACTGAGTGCACACTGGATGCAAGACGCTTCGGTGAACAGCACAAAAAAAGAATTGGCCAAAGCTCTTCTGAGCTCTCAAGTCAGGGGACGCTTTTTTGGCGTGTCGTACTGAACACCTTGGACGGAGGCAGCGGGCCAACAATGGCAACAAGCGCAACAGCAACTCGTAAAAACATCATGCAGACGCACACTGTGTTCTCCTCGTTAAATAATGCTTTTGCAGCGAAGGCTCCCTGACAACTTGGCTTCTTTTCACAGCTTCTTTTGCATGCATCCAAGTTGTCGGAGCTGAGCTCCTCACAAGTTCAGTAAGCTCCCTCTGTTACGAGTTCGTGCGATTTCGAGTCGAGGCGTGTCGAGGCGTGTCGAGGCGTGTCGAGGCGTGTCGAGGTGTGTACCAAATAGCAACCCGCCTGGAAATCGGGGGCTTCAGCCTCTCAAACTCTGCTATCATCTACCATGATCTACCACTGCAGCACAGCAAAAGCGCCAGACCGTTTCGGCACCCCCACCTCCTCTACTCTACCAATCGCGATGCCAGACAAATGCACATGATGTGCCGTGCGGACAAACTCGAACGAGATTTGACCTAGCGTGTTGAATGTTGTGAGAGGCTTCTGCGTGGCTCTGCTCATGCACTGCATGCGGCATGCTTGCAGCACCACTAAGGAAGCGGCCAGAAGACTTCGCCTTCGTCAAACCTGGTGGCCGCAATGATCCGCAATGCAACGAGGCCTACGTCCGAAGTCTAAAGTGCTTTCGAAAGTGCTTTCGAACCGAAGCTCACGCTATGTGCTTCCTAGTCAAGCTGGCTTGCTCAAGAAAACTGGACGGGCACCCGTTCGAGTTGGCACATTGCTTTTGGACGAAGTTGTCCACACAATGTTCCCGCCATTTACTCGCATCTTGTTCCTGCCCGCAAACCTCAAGTTCTGACTCTTCTGACAACATTCGGATAGTGTTGGGGTCGACGCGCAGTTTTGCAAGAATGCACAATATCACAACCAAGGCACGCAGCAGCATACTGGTAAATCTTCCAAGAATACAACTTGCCAGGCTCTAGGCCAGACACCACCGCTGTAGCACTGCCTGCTTTATTCCGCAGGAAGCCCTTGGCATAGTACCTGGTGTGGGTCCATCCCCTCAGCGTACACGAGTATCCATTGCTTAACCTGTAGGCATAAGAGGCCGCCGGATTCAGATTGGTGTCACCCCGGTCCTTATTTGACATAATGTTCGTGGCCACCGAAGCATTTTACATAGCGACGAAAAGGTTAAGAAATTGGTGGGAAAGAGTCATTGAAGTTGTTGTCATCGACGGACGACAAATACCCATCTCCAGCCTGTGCCAAGCTCTCGGGACGCTCTCGCCTACGGCATCAGGAAACTGGGTTAGAAGTTTTGTGCGGCTGCCAACTGCGCCTCAGAAACCTTGCCCAAGGCAATCCCAGAAACGTGAACATGAGGCGACCTCCTGGGCATGTGTCCCACATGTGTCCGGTTCAATACACGACGCACTGTGGAGCTCCTCTGAAACTCGAAAATGATTCGTCCGTGGACATTGGCTCTATGGGCTCCAGTTTTGGTGGCATCCGTACGACGCGATGCCGAAGTCAGGCCCATGAACCTAAAGCTGTCGGGGGAGAGACCGTCATTGACACAGCAAGTGCTGCAGGGGCATCCGTTGAGTTCCGAGCTCGCCATTCACAGAAAGCCCATTCTTGCCGCTGAACTGGGACGCGTATTGATAGACTTTCCAGGAGTAGAGAGCTCCTGCTTTTCCCAATGTTTCTCACACTGTCGATGTTTGGGTTGCTACCAGGTCGATTTTGCAGAAACTGCGTGGCCTGGTTCCAAGCCAGACACCACGGCTGTTGCTTTGCCAACCACATTTCGTAGAAAGCCTCTGGCCTGATGTGAGATCCAACCGTCTTAAGCATTCACAGAACGACGCAATTTAGCTCTAATTCTGTCACGAGTGGCGTAGTCTCGGCTGTGGGTCCAGCCCTTGAGCTCACAGTTGTAGCCGTTGCTCAGTCTGTAGATGTAACCTCGACGAGCACTGCGCGAAGCGGAGCCAAAACCTCACATAATTCGCCTGGGCTTCGGCTTCCTGCCGAGAGACATCTAGAACAAGCCGGTCTCCTTCCCCCCACACTGATTTTAGTGACGCGCGCCCCCCCCCGCCCTCCTTGTGGGACCACCACCCGGATCGCTTGGAGGAGCCACAGACCGATGCTGGGGGGCTCCCGCTTGTCAGCGCCGAAAAATGCCCAATCTCTTCCCCCAATCAGGGCCTGCCCGCACGCCCACCCTCCCTGCAAACCCTGCCGGCGCCTGAAGAACCCCCCCTCAGACCTCTCCTCTCCACATACTGCACCCTGCTCTGGACCGGCCCGGCTGCCGAGGCGGCGCGCGCAAGCGTTTACAATTACGTGCCTTCACATGCCAAGAGGCCGTTGTTCCTGTCAAGATTCCGATTCCCACGCCGCCGCATGTGAAAGGAATTTTGAGTCAGTGTCGACAGCAGCTCTGTCCGTGCCTGAGCCGAGGATAATCTCAATTTGATGGCATTGAGGTTTGATGTCTGACCGTCTGCTGGACTCAAGTAGTATTCAAACAGGTATATCCATGTATTCAACTGGTTCAAGATGGTCCCCTGGGTTCAGTGTGCCTCATTGAGCTTCCTCATTGCCAGGCCGGAAAGATGAACATGGTGCGCATTTCGTGCAAAGCCAAACAGAATTTGTCCCCTGGAGTCAGCTTGGGCCATCCCCAGCATCGTCGGCCCGTCGGACTTTGTCTGCGAGGTGGCACCCTCATCCCGGCCGTTGACCCGCACACCGTTCTTGCCCGGGAACAGGGAGGCGTACTGGTAGAGTTGCCAGATCTAAGCTGCTTCCTAGTTGCACCCCTCATTGCCCTATTGAGTCACGAGAAGGTGCTTCAGGTGCTGGTGCGACCCAGTCGCATAGCTTTGGCCGGGCTGCAGACCAGTGATGATGGCCTCAGTGTCGCTTAGGGCCACATGCAGGCATGGCCGCGCAACTGCCTTGCGGGAGCGTGAAGACATGATGAAGACACTGTCCCGAGACTGAATGCCCAGGCGTCGAACTGAGGCAGTCCCTGGCTTGTTGCGCAGGAAGCCCTTTGCATAGCTCCTGCAAGAACAGTTCGGCTCCGTGCCCTGGCCCATGTTTTTTTTGTCCGCCGTCCTGGTGTGGGTCCATCCTCTCAAGGTACATGCGAAGCCGTTGCTGAGCTTGTATTTGTAGGCAGTTCTGGTATTCAGCGTCCTGGCGCTGTGGTCGACGTGCGGGCAGGGTTACTGACGGCTTACGGAAACAAATACAGATGCTATGATACCGCTATGGACGCTGGACAGGAGCAATGAGATAAGGTGATGTTGGAGAATGACCTATGCGAAAGAGCAAAGTGGACAGTGATGCTTCATCGCGTCACGTTATGCTGGAATATGATATTCAGACAACTGACAACGTAAACAATCATGGGGAAAAAACATCCGGGCACAAAATGATGCAAGCTCGCAGCGTGAATTCGGCCAGATCATATTGCAATCTTACACGAAGGGGCCAGCATTATGTAGCTTTGACCATGCCTTCAAGCATCGCTTGCATCACATTCGGGGTGCTTGGGCGGAGCGTGCCTTTGCCCACGGTCATTGAAGTTCTGCTCTGCAAGGGACGATAGCTTCTCTGGGCCAATTGCACTCCACGACCTGGCCAAGAGTGAGGGAGGTGCTCTGTGATTGTGGATCTCTGCTCCATTCTGCTCCTGCCTCGTGAGAGCATCAGCCTTGACACCACAAGAAGCCGTTTTGTAACACCGATATCCGGCATCCGTCCACACACTCCTCAGCACTGAAGCTGGCAACATGCTCGCATTAAGAAATACGGGCCTTCCGCGGCAGACATGTTGTGAGAAGTTGTAAAGTCGTGCATGAAACCCGAGGACTTAACGCAAGCGAGTCACACAAGCGTATTCTTAGGGTCTTTTCGTTGGCACCTCCTCCATGCCAAGGAAAGCCATGAGGAATACTCCGGCGAAGCGAAGCCTGCGTCTATGGCACGACACGGCATGAAAGAATGGCCGTCTCGCTCTTCCAGACTCTTCCAGACTCTTCCAGACTCAGCCTTTCCGACCGCCTGCAGGCGTGGCAAGCTCCCATGCTCGGGAGCTGTACGTCTGACCTGGTCACGGGACGCGGACCGAGCATGGGCGCAAACGACAGCTTCTCACAAAACGGGCCTTTGGTGCAGTGGCCGTGTTCCTTGAAGATCATGCTTGGCGTCACTTGGCATTTGCTCGGACCGTGGCTTTGCCAGAGCCCAGCCTGCGCAAGAGCACACTGAGCACACTGAGCACACTGAGCACCGAAAGGCACCGAAAGGCAGCGAAGCACGCACGGAGCTGTGACGAGCGCGCCTTGCTGAAGGAGGCCACTTGGCCCACCTTCGTTGCCGTTGACATTCGCCGTCCGACCTCACGATATCTCACGATCTCTCACGATCTCTCACGATCTCTCACGATGCCCTTGACGTCCACAGGGACAGAAAGACGGATACAGACTTCTGCAAGCCAGGGCTTCCAGATGCTCCGAGGTCCAAGCGAGCTGGCATACCCCAAGCTGCCAGTCCGGAAGAGAGCCCTGCGCCTTCGTGTGCTTGAAAGCATAGCCAGCACCTCACAAGCCAGAGGCTCCAAATGGCTCCAAATGGCTCCAAGAATCTCCAACAGCGGCAAGAGCGCCAGCTAAGGCTGCTGAGGTCTGGGTGCCCTACACCACGTGCGCTGGCTGCAGCTCTGCTCACAAAGACGGCGTGTCCCAAGTGACAGGACTTCCTTGAGCTTCGCATCAACGAGTGCAGCAAGCGCCAAGCATGAGCCACACGGAGTCTACAGAGTCTATAGGGTTATCTAAGCAGAGACTGGCAAATTGGGCGCATCCCAATACCTGCTTTGGCTGTCCGCTATCCATGTGCCCAGCGGCGTATGGGCCAGCTTGGTACTGCGACTCCCCGTTACCCACGTCAGTTCCCTTCGGGCCACCTGTCATGGTCAGCACAAGTGCAAGCATTGCAAGCCACCTCCAGATGCTCCAGATGCCAAATGCTCATCACACTTCTGCCTGGACCCCGTCTCCAACGCTTGTTGTCTCCGCCATACCCCGTGTGTTGACGAGGATAAATCAACCTGTCAGCGAACGCTTTCCTTCTCTTCTCTTGCACTTTGATCTGAGACGTTCCCGAGCGCACTGCTTCTGGTCTGCTGCCAAAGGGACTCGGGCAGCAGGGAAATGCACTCGGAAGCTTCAGAGACGCCGGTGCTCACACGCATGGGAGTACTCCAAAATGCCTCGGCTTTTCAATTCTATTCGGCTTCGACAGCGTGCCCTAGTGGGAAAACCTGGCCTGCTCGAAAACAAACCGGACCCTGATCTGGAAATACAGGGACCCTCTTCCCGATTCTCTGCGCGGGCCTCCTTGCATGAAAGTGCCAAGCCCCACCAACTAGCCAAGGTGCACATTTCCCATCCTTGAGTTCGAAACCTGTGCATGAGGGTCTGCGAAGGCAGTCCTCCTTGCAGATATCCAGGCTTCCAACCGACACCACAGCAGGCTCGCTGCTGATTCGCCCAATGGCCAAACCAGACAGGTGCACCTTGAACGCGCACCGTTTTGGCAGAGTCCTACCTGTCAAGAACCTTGAGATACCCTTGCTGAACGCTTTCATATGGATGTAAAGTACAGAAGTCAACAACTTCCCTGCATCTCCTTTCGCTCTCAAGGCACATGATGTGATATTCTCCTGAAGGCGAAGTGGAGCTTGCCATGCCCATCAGCTTGAGCCAGGCCCAGCTTCGTTGCTTCGGGCGACTTGGTTGCAGTGGCAAGCCCTTTGGAGTCACCTCGGAGGCCGAGTCTCTTCCAAAACTCACGGAAAGGTCAGCTATTTGAGGGAAGATGAGGCGAGAATCTCGCCGACGTACCCGGTGAACGTCTACAGTAGTTAGAGAGTGCAAGTTTCTGTGTGAGACAAGCATCCGTTCACGACGATTTCGCTCTTGCCGGCAAACTGGGCTGCATATTGATACACTTTGAAAGCATATTCTGCACCAGGCTCCAGCCCGGAAATCGTTGCTTTGCCTTCGCCGGGCTTGTTCCGCAAGAAGCCGTGTGCATACTTTCCTGAAGTTCAAAGGTTCTCAATGTGTAGTCGGTTGCACAGGCATACAATGACACTGTCAGACGCAGGTTTGCACAGTTGGCCCCTACTGTTCATTGGCGCCCTCGAAGTAGGTGGGAAGCTCCCAGCCATCTTACACTTGGGGAGGCTTGCGATACGTTGAAGTCAAGTAGCGTGTGTGGGTCCAGCCAGTCAGGTCGCACTTGTAGCCATGTCCCAGCACATAGGAATAGACCAGCCGCTCGTTCAGGCTGGAATCGCCGCGCGTGTTGAAATGATTCCTAAGGGATTCCTAGACGATGGACGCGGTGTGCTACGCTGCGAAGCATCGGCAGGAAACCTACACACACGCAGTCGAACCGTCGAGTCACTTTGCGCGCGAACCCTCTCGTGACATGATGTGACAAGCTGTTTCTGTTGCACTTGGGGGGGTTGGCCACCATAAACCAGGCCTCAACATATTCACCATACAGCAACATGCGCTCTCGACATACGCTTCTTGCCCCAAGCAGCTCTTCCAAGGATGTTAGGTGCTCGTCGGTCATCTCATCGAGGCGCTTCATGGTCAGTCCAGACAGCTGCACGTGGATTGACCTCCGGCTTCTCGGCCACACACTTGAGGTCCCTACACTGATCTCTACAGGCATTGTAAGCCCTGGACAGGCGTGTGAATGTGAAGGAGATGCGGCCCTGCATGTCCTCAGCTGCTCTAGCATCTCTAACATCACGGCCTTCGGGGCCTGCAAATGCCTACATGTCCAGTACATGTACGGGTCAGATCGAAGTTATCAAATTGCCAGGGAGGCGCTGCCTGTGTCATGCCCAACTTTGTCGGAGCGGAGTCTGTCAGCGCGCGCGATATCGTGCTGCCCTCTTTCACGCCATTCACGGCCAGCGTGTTTGTGCCCGCACCAAAGCCTCAAGTTGCTTCAAATTTGCGGCACAATGCGGCACACACGAAAGCTGTACACCCATGTCTGCCTTCACCCAAAGACACCTCCAAAAAGGCAAAGAGAAGGGAGAAAATGAGAAAACAAAAAAGTGGGCACTCCCGCGATACTCTGCGGGATTCTCTAATCCAAGGATGCCCTGCGGAATTCTCTGGGGGCACGAGGGATACTCTGGTTTCTGTGGAATTCTGTGGGGTAGGCCCGTGGGCATTCCAGGATACTCTGCACAGGATTCTCTGCTCGGGGGAGACCTGGGGACAGGGCGCGGAGAAAACAGCTGAGAGCCAAAATCCTAAATGTTCTACATCATCCAACCCCTCACGCCCCGAGGTTGGAGAGAGCCCCGAGACATGTATGTGTTGTCCCCAGCGCTGATGGCTCTTCTCTCCTTTTGCCAAGCAAGCCGCTGGCGAATTGGTAAATTCTCCAAACGTAGAAAGCGCTCGGCTCCAGGTCTTTCACAGTGGCCGTCGCCGTGCCAGCACTCGCTCGCAAGAAGCCCCGAGCGTAAGTTCGGGTGTGAGTCCAGCCAGTGAGCGAGCAAGTATACCCGGTGCTTAGCCGATAGGTGAAGGTCTTCGATTGCACCAACTGAGAGTTGCCTCCTCGAGATGCACGGCATGCACGGCATGCACGGCGCGCAGTTGAACCCCCCTTACAACCACCTTAAGAAAAAATTGCCCATCAAACTGCTCCAAGGCACGATCGTTGAAGTTATGCTCTGCCCATGAAGACAGCCGTTCAGCATCTGCCTCCACAGCTCGATCGTGCGGCTTCCGCCGATTAAAACAAACGCCTCCTTTTGGGGAGAGTAGCTCGTGATTTTCAACTCAGATTCCGTCAGAATCTCAGAAAGACAACTGATGTTCGTTTCGGAACCATCCCTGACTGTGAGCTTACTGTGGATCGCCGGCCACACCCAAGCATGTTCCTTGTTTATTCTGGTGGCCACCTCGCCTCCAACACCGTATCCGAACGAGTGTGAACGGTGTGAGCTTCAATAATACGATTCATATGCAGCACGAAAGATCGGCCTCGAAACCAATGAGCCACCTCTGCCGTCCACTTCCATCATCCTGATGCCAACCACTCGCCAATGTGGCCGACACACCATCCCGTGAAAAAGCTGAATGAAACGCTGTACCGCTGCATGCAAGCATCAGCCACTTGCAAGTCCACCACATCACCGCCTCGACTCAAGCCACACATGCGTTGAGCACACAAACACGACGCACCACAAGCACACTTCGGCCAGGGAACGTTCGGTGGTGCTGAGGAATCGCCGCTTGCCGCTCACTCCGCCAGCAATGGATATGTGGTACCAGTCTCCAGTGCCGCGGGAGATCCTCCACCTCTGACGGCCGCTGCCATCGTCCTTCCCATGCAGGTCCACCTGTCGCGTCCCCGTCAGAATCACAAGGCAAACTTAAGTCACTTAAGTCAACCCGAGTCATTAGACGGTACAATGAACCTACCTAATCGTCCTGCAAGCGGAAAACAACCCGATCCGGCGGGCCTTGTCGCCAGTGGCGCTCACACTCAAAAACACGCGGCCTGGCTGCACACCCCCAAGCGCTCGGATAGTGTACCAATCTCCACTCCCCTTGCTGATGGTCCAGCGCTGACGGCCGCTGAAGTCATCCTTCCAGGGTTGAGCTATCGGCTTTACAGCCTATTCGCGTGACTCCCGTGTTTCACCAGAGCAGCCTTCGCGAACAAGTCTACTTTGGTGCCAGCAGGCACAGTGCTCAAGAAGGACTTCTCGCTTGTAATGCCACCAGAAGCTTTCACGTGCACAAATGCCTTGCAGGGCTTTCACTTGCTCAGCCAGATGCAAACTGATGCAGCCTGATGCAAACTGATACAAGCTGGCCTTGCTCAGGCCAACTGCCGACCAAGTCCTGACACCCGTCGCTGTGTTCGGCTTGCAATCCATTGTCTTGAAGCACCTGATCAAATGATTTTCAAATTTCCAGCATTTGACCAACTGGTACAAGTGTCAATGCAATCTCCGTCTTTCTCGCTCTCATGTTGTTCTTTCTTGCTTTCTTTCTGTATGTTCTTTCTTTCATGAGGGCCGGCGCACCCCCGCTTCTGCTCCATCTCGGACTAGAAACTGCTCGCTCGCTCGCTCTCTGTCTCTCTCCCTCTCTCGGTCTGTCTCGCTCTCTGGCTCTCTGGCTCTCTCTGGCTCTCTCCGGCTCTCTCGCTCTCTCTGGGTCTCTCGTGCGCTCGCGCTCTCGCGCTCTCTCTCTCTCTTCTTCTTCTTCTTCTTCTTCTTCTTCTTCTTCTTCTTCTTCTTCTTCTTCTTCTTCTTCTTCTTCTTCTTCTTCTTCTTCTTCTTCTTCTTCTTCTTCTTCTTCTTCTTCTTCTTCTTCTTCTTCTCTTCTTCTTCTTCTTCTTCTTCTTCTTCTTCTTCTTCTTCTTCTTCTTCTTCTTCTTCTTCTTCTTCTTCTTCTTCTTCTTCTTCTTCTTCTTCTTCTTCTTCTTCTTCTTCTTCTTCTTCTTCTTCTTCTTCTTTTTCTTCCTCTTCTTCTGAAGGGCCCGAGAGCCCTCCGCGCGCACGGGCGCGCCCAGTCCGGTCAAGTTGTCCCTTCTCTCTCTCTGGGTGCTGACGAAAGGACCTGTAGCCGGCATCCGTCCACACACTCACGAAAGTGGTTTTGGGATCCCGCTGTAAGCACTTCTCCCAGGCAAGCTTCATCCATGCCTGGCGAGAGCGGCATGAACACGTACAGTTCGGCTTCTCTTGTGTTTGCATGACAATCCGACAGCCACCATAGTCACCATGCCTTGTATTGAGCTGTCTGGAAGTCTTTCTTTCCCCATCTGCTGTCCGCCAGCTCCCAAGCATTGGAGGAATACACCAGTCCTGGGCAAGAAGGGGGGGTTGACTTGAAAGAGGGTTGACAGCGGCCATCGAAGAGGCTAGTGGTTGGGGAGGTGCTGTGGGTCTGGGGGCCCCGGCCGTTGGTACAGTGACCAGAAGACCTGAAGTCCAACGCCGAGGCGACACCGCAGCGGCTCCCGGATCCGTGTCGCCGCCAGGGCCCCTCTTTGGAGAAGACCCGCCAAGCGGCCACCGCGCCTCTCAAGAAAAGAGAGAGAGAGGGAGAGAGAGAGAGAGAGACTGAGAGTGAGAGAGAGAGAGAGAGACTGAGAGAGAGAGAGAGAGAGAGAGACTGAAAGAGAAAGAGAGAGAGACAGAGAGAGAGAGAGAGACTGGGAGAGGGAGAGACTGAGGGGAGAGACTGAGGGGAGAGACTGAGGGGAGAGACTGAGGGGAGAGACTGAGGGGAGAGACTGAGGGGAGAGACTGAGGGGAGAGACTGAGCGGAGAGACTGAGGGGAGAGACTGAGGGGAGAGGGAGAGGGAGAGGGAGAGGGAGAGGGAGAGGGAGAGGGAGAGGGAGAGGGAGAGGTAGAGGGAGAGGGAGAGGGACAGAGAAGGGGGACGGAGAGAGAGAGAGAGAGAGGGAGAGAGGAGAGGGAGAGGGAGGGAGGAGGGAGAGGGAGAGGGAGGAGGGAGAGGAGAGGGAGAGGGAGAGGGGAAAAGAGGAGAGGGAGAGGGAGAGGGAGAGGGAGAGGGAGAGGGAGAGGGAGAGGGAGAGGGACAGAGAGAGGTGGAGAGAGAGGAAGAGAGAGAGGGAGAGAGAGCAGGGAGAGAGGAAGAGAGAGAGGAAGAGACAGGAAGAGGAAGAAAGAGAGAGATACGAAGGTAAAGGGAGAAAACATACAAAACGGCGAGAAGGGCAAGCAAGAATTGACTGAAATTCATCCTTCCAGACACTTGGAGACGTGCCTGTCATTGGTGCCTCGCAGCTGCTGGAAGTCACACACTTGGACATGCCCTTCGTGTTCTGAAGGAACTGGTAGTAACCTCTGGAACGGAGGCTGTGGGATGATGTGCGCGAAAAATGCGCGTCCGCTACGGGCATACATGAGCTGCAACTTCGCAGCGATGGCTCTTGGCCACAGCTTGCATTTGACATTCCTGGCTGCGCACAGAAGGGACGAAAGCGACAATGTCGAACGACTGGCCATAATATTGCCCTATGCAATTAAACTGGATCTCAACATCTGCGGAGTGTCCGACTGGTCTGCAACTTCGGTCAGGGTCTCAGGCGTCTCTTCCAAGCACTTGGCATGCGTGCTGCCGAACTGCTCCCACAGCTCAACTTCCATGTAGACCTCTCAAAACAATCCAAAGGGAGGCCTCGCAATTCTTGGATTCCGTCTTCAAGGGACTGTTTGACTTTTTGGGGCGCCTTCCAAGTGGTCCCCGAAAAGGTCGGCACAAACTCGCCCTTGTTCCTGACTTTGGACTTTGGCTTCGTGCCGTATTGTATGGAGACGCCTGCGGAGCAGTCGCTTCCTGGCAAAGCTTTGTCACTTGGCGGCCGGTTGCTGAAGAGGAGGTAGTAGGCTCCACCGCTATCCTGCGACTCCTTCAGAGTTAGCGCCGCAAACTTCATGCCTTGTACCTCGGAGGAGTGGCAAAGACATTTCCACGGAGCACTTGAAGGCGACACTAAGCACGAAAAGGCCACGAAACGCACAAAGAAACGGGCGCTTCTGGAAGGGCTCTGATTTCCGGTTGCGCCATGTTCTGCCAGAAGGCTTTGCGACCGTAGGCCCCCTTGCGATTGTTCTCCCAGACCTCTTCGATGGTGGAGGCCGCTTTCTTCGGGTACTGCTCCGGCCACACGAAGCCTTCGGGAACCTTCAAGCCTTCAGCGCCCACGCAGGTCGGCAGCCAAGGGCTGGTCAAGAGGTACATGCCTCGCAGGAACTCGGACCTCCCTCTTGATGCCTTCACGACGCTCTTCATGCTCTTGTACTCTTGTCTGAGCAAGGCTCTCTCATAGTCTCTCACACGATTCTCAAAGGCCTGAGAAGTTGTCGATGACGTGCTTGCCCGAATCAAGGAACTTCCAGTAAATCCGCACCTGCGCGAATAGCTTCGCGAAATTCCAACAAGCGAGCCGACCAGGTAAAAGGGAACGAAACCCAGCATGGGCGCCTTCCCCGCGTAGGGGCTGCCGAGATAGCTTCCGACGTCTCCCGTGTCGGTCCACTCGGTCAAGGGCACTTTTGCCCAGTTGGCCACCCGAAACCTGGAGAAAGAAAGGGAACTAAGGGAGCTGTAAGCATTAGATTTAGGGCATGTTCAATGTTTATCCTGTGCCCTCTGCAGGGGCTCTCACAAGTACACCAGCGCGGGCTCTGACAAGATGAGCTCATTGGAGTTGCCAGTGTTCACATCCCGCGTCCTTGCTTCGTGCATCTGAACGGTCTTCAATCTAGCATTCCAATTGAGCATGTGGTGAGTCAGGATATGCCAAGCAACCCCTGCATAGGAAAATGGGCGGAGAGATAGCTTGGCAACTTCTGATAATAGACCTTTGAAGCGGCAGTTTTGGTCAGTGTTGGTCTCTCGCAACTGACTTTTCTGGAGAACGGGCCTTTCCACCCGACCACTGTCTCCCGCTGATGGTCCTTTTGGAGGCAGGTCTTGTCATTTTGCTAGAAGAGATGCTGGTTCATCTTGCTCCACTTCTTCCGATTCGGTCCAAGTGGCAAGCGGTCGCGCGAGCTCTGATGACGCCAGGTGAGGTCCCGCCCCCGCCACTGTGATCCACGGCCGGTCCAGCCCTGCAGTGTTCTCTCCGTTGGGCGCCCAAAAAAAGCGTGTCTCGTGTACGCATCACCATACACCGTCCCTCCGCGCCTCGCAGCAGGCATAGACCTACCAAAAAAGAGGACAAGAGGGAGGAAACGTGAGGTAACCAAGTCAAAGGGACTGACTCCATCTGACTCCCGGAGAGGGACTGCGGGGGCTCGGGGACGGAACATGCGGGGGGAACTGCCTCGCGCAGGTCGGCGCGCTCGTCGCTCAAGGGCCAGGACACTGCATCGAGCAGATGATCCTCGGTCAGCTTCTTGCAGGTCGGATGGCGCAGTGTTGCCTAAGCTGGCCGGGGATGGCAGGGGAGGGATATGGAGAGATGCCCCGAACTAAGACACTTATGTGGAGAGATGTAGAGGACATCTGTGTTGCAGCTGCGCCACGCCAACTTGCACATAATTTGGGCGAGTCATGTCATCTTCCAAGACCGGGCACCATGCGTCCGACACGGACTGAAGGCCTCCACGGGGGCGAACATGTTGCAAGGAATTCACGACCAGATAGATGCAGCCACTCCGGGGTAAACGTAAAGAGGCCTCCAAGCGGCCGTTGGCCCTTCTTTTGGCACAGCTCCGAATACCTGAGCCAGATTGAGCAAGCATTAGCCGGAGCGCACCGGAGTGCACCAGTGGGGTTTTTCCAGGTGAGGCTTCCACGTGCACAGACGCTTTCCATGCGCTTCACACTTCTCCTGCTCGCTCAGGTCACCAAACCATTGCAGGAAATCTACGGGGAACTTGCAGTGGACCCTGCCTGCAGCTTGTGCCAGCCAAGCGCCTGCTTGTTCACAAACCAATCCACCCCCTGGCAGATTCCAAAGCAAGAAGGCTTCTGCAAAAGCTTGGCCAAGCAAGAAACGCCAGGCCTCAGCACAGGGGCGCGGTCCGCCAAGCTTCAGGCAAGAAGAGCTGCAGCAGTAGTCCTTCTTATCCGCACCGCCTCTGGGGACTTCAAAAACAATCAGCAATCCAAATGCTTCAAATGCTTCAAATGCTTCAAATGCCAGAGATTGCGTTGCGATTCGTGATTTGTGTGATGGGGCCGTGGCATGTCTGGTGAGCACACATCGTGGGAGAGTTTGCCGGGCATTGGGCACGTTGACCATGACCTCCTTTCATACAGCTCCAGTCCTTAGAGAATCACACGAAATCGACACACACTCGTCACGCAATCGTCACGCACAGTGCAGAAGCTGCCCTCAGAGAGCGGCCTTCACGTAAGTCCCATCTTCACAAAGAACTTGGGAGAGCGCACCGAAGTGTGGCGCCAGAAATGGACACGTCGCTGCCTGCGGGCTTCCAACTATCAGCAAGCCTTCGTGTACTAGAGGAGAATTACCCACGGCACAGGCACCTGCTCTGCCCGATTTTCGACAACGTAGACGGCACCGGTGTCAGAATTGCGAACCTGGACATGCATGGCTGCGGCAACTCTGGCCTTTGCATGTGACAATGCTTGCAAGATGCGCAACGAAAAGTAAATTCCTTGCTGGCTTTGCAAATCAAGATTCTGTGCCATATGGTTTTGTCCAGAGATTGGCACATCCCCAGGACTGGAGCGAAGAGCCCATCATGTAGAAAGACTCCAGATGTTTCTCGTTCTTTCTTTGCTCTTGACCTTGGCACATCTGTTGCACAAGCCAGCCAGTAAGACGCAAGCCAGGAACAAGCGTTGGTGACTCAGGGCACCGCATAGATTCTTACCACACTGTGAACAAGTGCGCACATGGTGCAAGGTATCCTGAGCGGGACCAGCAGTAGTTCTCAACTTCTGTTTCAGCTCCGGCCCACAACTCACATGGGACTGCATGCTCCTGCGCAGAGGGCGGGCCTTGTCGAAGCAATGTGCCGAGATGAACCCAGTATTTTTTCCACCTTTGCTGTTTTGATCGTCATCACCTTGCTGCGAGCCGCCCGCAACATTGCAACGAAATTATTGAGTTCAACCATATTCCAGCACACTTTCAACCACACGACTGGCAAAAACGTTCCATCCAGCATGCTGTGATTCTGAGCATCTAAGATCGACACTCCGGGCCAGCATGCCGAAACAGCCACTCTTGCTCCAAACAACCTCCATGAGGATCACACGGTTCAATGTTGCCAAAGGCAGTATCGGAGACCTTTCTATGTCCGTGCTGCCTGCTTGCACTCGCTTTCCATCTCGCATAGCTCCTTGCAAGCGCAAGTGAACATGGATGGGCCGAAGTGGGTAACCGATGATCATCGATGCATGCAAGTCACGAAGCAAGTCTTCCACGCAAGCCTTGCACCGTACTTGTGCTTGCCTGGGGCGATGCAGCATGATGCAGCATGATGCAGCATGAAGCAGCATTTGTGCAGCAATGCCAGCTCATACCTGTTCAAGACCAACAGGTATCGGTGAAAGCTCTTTACTTCACTAGCCACAGATCCGAAGCACCCTATGCCTTCTGCATTTGGCTTGTGCATTTGACTGTGTTTACTGAAATTTACCTCCTGTGGCAGGTGATCACTACTAAGACGCGGCAAGGGGCCCTCTTGCTTTTTTGGCGAACCCAATTTTGATAAAAATTGGGTTGACTTGACCTTCTGCTAACCAGGGGTACATGGAGGCCTCAACGTCTGAACTTGGCTTGACAACGCCAAACAGAAGGAAGCGCTCCTACTTCTGAGGGCCGCGCAGAAGCAGACTAAACCACGCTGGGAGACTGCAAGCTCAATTGGCTTGAAAACTTTAGAGACTTCAAAGAGTTCGGGTTGCAACAATGTGTTGCATATTCTTATCGTCCATATCACATACACAGATATACATGTAACATGTACAGCATCCTATTATTTCTTGAAAACTATGCACTATAGTATATACAATGTCCAATATGTTCGCATTGATTGGCTGTCTTCCGAGGTCGCCGCCCAGGGAGATCTGAACCTTTTTGCGCCGGCTTCGTGCGAGTTCAGTTCTGTTCCGTTGCACGTGCTCTCATCACTCCGTCTATTGGACAGCTATCAACATTCTCAACTGAGTCTGCAATCGTGCAGGCTCTTGCAGCACAAGCGGCATGTTCTCCCAGCCATGTCATTCTCCACTTCGGGAATACAGTGCATCGCCGTTCCTGTAGAAGCTTGCAGCACGCACTGGCCGCTAGAACTCACCTTCCTCTGCTGTCTCAAGCTCAGGAGGCTCAACGCGCCTTTTTGACGAAACACATCGCATCTTTCCACTGCTTCCCTGACATCGGAACTGGCTGACTGCAGCAACTCGACGCAAAGACCACGAAGATCCACCTCTTCTGGCACCTGAACTGCCCTTTGAAACAGGCTGGTTGATGAAGAGGAAGCAGTTCCTCCTGTTCCAGCCATTGGCATACCTGAAAGGCGTCGAAGGCCAACATCCGGGTCCGGAATCTCAGCCAGTCTCAGCCAGGCACCATTCGAACCCTCTGCAACCAGCCGAAAGGTCGCCTGCAAAAAAAGAAATAGCATCCGCATATATCCGCATGCATGCACATCATATCGCTCGACACTTGAAGCGAGTATGCAAAGACCCATTATTGATGCTGAAGGCACATGCCGCTTCGCAGCCCTCGAGATTCTTTGTCACCCGTCCAGCATCCTGCGAGTGGTCCGCACATGTCCGCACTCCTGCCGAAAGCCTACCTCAGCCAACACGCTTCCTGGGGCGCATCTTTACCATTGTCAAGGACACAGAAGTTCCGGAAGCTTCTGTAGTTGGCCTCGCAAGCGAAACAAAAATGCTCGAGCAGCAATGCAGAAAGAAGCCTGGCCTTTGCAGGGTGGATTCCTCCGCTCCTCGACCACAGATGCTTTGCGCGCTCACAGTGTCAGCAACCCAGCGAATGGAATGAAGCTGGGGTGCTGTATGGCTGTGTTCACCGCTCGCGCTTGAAGAATGCCAAAGCCTGACTTCAACGACAATTGCCCTGATCCACCGTTGCATGCTCACAGCACGCTTATTGCGTGCACGGAGAGGAAGCTCAGTCTCGGACCGTATTTGGTGCCACCGGCGCAAAATATCCTCGCGCTATCGCAGTGCGCCTTGTACGATCCGTGGCCAACTCTCACTGGCTTCCCGTCGAAAAACCACTCCTTGGATGCCACGACCATCACAAGTGACGGCTCTCCAGCCCCAGCTAAAGTTAGCAGGCCAAGACGCGTTGCGCTTGAACGTGATCTTGACAATGTCGCGCCCACGTATTCCTGCGCATGAAAAATTTGCATGCGTGACACGAGAAGCCAAAGCCCGGTGGAAATTGTAGGCAGAGATGCCTGCACGTCTCATCAGCGGGCACCAGTACTTGCCCAATCTACACGGCACCTGCCACTGCCGATGCTCAGAGCATGAAATCCACGTATGCAAAGATATGCAAAATGTCTTCTAAGTGCTCACCATGTCGGGATGCAAGCCGCCGTTCCTGAGAACGGTGAGAACTGTAGCTCATGTGGCGGAACTGTCCATGTCGTGCAATACGTGCAACGCTTTACTGATATCGATGCTTCCAAGTTTCTGAAGAGCTTCTTTCAATGCCCGCGCCTGTTGGATACCGAGACCTCTGGCTGCAGAATATACAGAACATGGGCTCAGAAACAAAGGCGCCCAAACTGCCCAAACTCCACTCTGAGCTTCCGGCCGAAGGTCTTTCGACCTGCACAAAAAACCTTCCGGCTGTCACATGTCCTCTTGAAGGATCCGTAGCCGACTCCCGTACTCTTGTCTTTGAAGTACCACACCTAAGCAGGGAAAAAACTGGAGCACGTGTGAGTGTGTCACGGAACTCACGGAGCGGAGCATTCTGGTGCAACAACTTTGGCAGAGCTGCTCCATTCCGGACACTCAGCCTTCCCTGGTCGTTGCGAACTAGGCCTCGCACCATCAAGCTGTCAGAGCAACAATCCAAGACTGCGCAAAGGGCTTCGGAAGTTTCGTACAGTAGCTTCGCCAGAACACCCCAGATGTGCCGGACTGTTCCGCAGATTCAGAATAGTAGCGAACAACACTAAAAGATCTCTCCTATCACCGATTCCAGAGTCGCACTGACTTCGTCATCAAAGCACAAAAGTTGGAGATGCTAAGGCAAAGGGAGGGGGGGCGCCGGGCAAAACCATCACATTGGACAGAAGCGCTCTTCGCTAAACTCCCACAAACCAGAACAGGAGGGATCCAAAGCCGACAAAGCCGAGACAAAAACTGGCCTGCCCTCTGCAGTTGGGCGCACCAGTACTTGCTCAAGGTGCACTGCACCTCGCAAGCCATTGTAGTATGAATACACGGCAGCAAATGAATGCAAAGTACATACGCAAAAGCATTGTACATACACACGTACATGTACATATACATATGCACATGACATATACATATACATACACACATAGTCCAGATACGCAAAAAACATATATACATGTACAGATACATATACAAGTACATATACATATACTTCTACATATACATGTACATCCCATGTACCCATATGCCCCATATACCCATATACACATATATCCATATATCCATATCTCCATATCCATCCTACCAGTACAGACAGAGACATGGAGTGTGTAGATGAGATACATGCGCTTATGCATGCGCATGTGTGCAGTATCTATCATAGAACGGGGCGGGCACCAAGCCTTGGTGGGATGGACACCTCCGTTCCTGACAAAGTCATGACTTGACAGCCCTCAATCGCATTGCAAGTGCTCAAGATGACGAAGTGATGCTCAGGATGATGTCAGCAAAGGGTCTCGACGGCTTTCTTCACTTCTCGTGCTTGTTGAATTCCCATTCCTAAGTTTAAGTGTGCAAGTAGAAAAGCCTTGAACGCCCCTGTCAGAACCACTGGGAGTGCACGCGTCTGAGGCCTCGTCCATACTTCCTCCCACCAGCACAGACGAACTTCTGCGGGCATTTCTCTTTGTAGGAGCCGAATCCGACTTTGGTGCCTTTGCCCCGGAAGTACCATTCCTCACAAAAAGCCAAAGTGACTGCCAGTGATGTCGACGTGCCACAGGCGTGAAAGCTAGGAGCATGTACTCGGCCACACACTCTTCCAGCACCACATGCTTCTCACACATGCCTCCCCTGCAGCCAGGATGCGCCATCTTTCGTGCGGATGGACCCACGGTCCTTCTTCGCGATGCCTCTTTGCGCACCGTCACGGTGGGGCGACACAATTGACACGCGGCAAGACGAGAGAAACAGCAACACACACACACACACACACACACCGGCACGCACACAGACACCGTCGTGTCTTCTTCTTCTTCTTCTTCTTCTTCTTCTTCTTCTTCTTCTTCTTCTTCTTCTTCTTCTTCTTCTTCTTCTTCTTCTTCTTCTTCTTCTTCTTCTTCTTCTTCTTCTTCTTCTTCTTCTTCTTCGCCACGCTTAGGCGGACCGTCGTGTCTTCCTTCCTTCCACAGCACTTAACCCCCGCGACCGTCGTGTCTCTCCCTCTCTCTCTCTCTAGGGGCTTTTCCGCCTGCGGCTTCCAGGACTTTGCACCAGTACTTCCCGAGCGGGCAGTCGGCCTCGCGAATGCAATAATAGCGACCTCTTTTCGTGTTTTTTCTCCTGGGGGGGGCAGGTTGCCAGGGCTTCCGAAGGGTTTTCGGGGCTGTCCATCCGAATGCTGTGGCAGCGGTAGACATTGTGGCGTGTGCGCACATCGAAAGCCTTCTCCGGGTGCACGCCGTGGTTCCTCAGTGCCAGGAAAGAGGGGCTCGAGCACGATCCGGATGTCCGCAGTGACACGGGAGCGACATACAGTGACGGTCCAAGCTTCTGAATCGCCTCTTTGACCGCCTGGGCTTGCTTGATTCCAGAACCTGGGTGTATCTGGGTGCGGATGCAGCTGAGCTCCACTGAGAGAGCTCTTCGCATCTCTTCAAGGCAATGACCATACTTGGCCTGCCCAGCGCAGAAGTAGATCTTCTGGTCGCAGTCTTTGTCGTGATTTCCTTTTCCGACTTTCGTCCCTTCAGCGTTGTACAGCCATTCCTCGCCATGTTCCAGAGGGGCGCGCTGCCGGCTTTGGGTTACGCTGAAATTTTCATTGGGCAAATTCATGCTCATTAAGTCCGCGGCATTGCCCTTGAAAGAGATCTTTGCTTGGTCAGCTATGGCCACACCTGCAGGTCCGTGCTTGAATCGGCCTTGAGGGCAGTCCCGCCTGCAAAGCTCGTTGCCTGCTTTTTCGAACTGCTCACACCAGTACTTTCCAAGCAGGCATTTCGGAGTCTCCTCGTCAGAATTATTCGGATGTATTCGGGAATGAGGAAGGTGGAGCACATGCGAACTTTAAGTACCCTTCGACGATAGCATCCAGGAAACTCTCCCGCGACGGTTTACACAGTTTGCACCACGACAGATTCTCCTGTTTTGCGCTTCGCTTGGGCTGGCTCCGTCGACGGCCGGGCACTGGCGGCCTACGGCACGACAAAATCGACAGGTTGGCTTGCGTGCACCAGATCTCCTCAAACTTCAAACCCTGAAGTGCATCTGAAGTACTTCGCACTGTGAAATGGTGAGTCTGGCTCTGCCTGCAGAGCAAAAAGCAAGAGAAGGCTGCAAAAACAAAAAATCATACGCACTCACACGATGAGGCAATCTCTGGCGGTGGCCTCCGCCTGTGTCCGACCTTCTTCGCGCTCACGTTCGGCCCAGCCTTGATTTTGAGCTTCTTCAATACCAAAGGACATGCTGCACATTGTTTCACATTGCATCTGTTTGCATCTGTTTGCATCTGTTTGCATTCCGGACACGACCCCACCATCCTGACTCGCCGATATCTCTCAAATCCTCACGGATGCAGAGCTTCGCTGGTATCCGTCTCACAAGAACTTCGACGAAAGACTTGCGAGATTTGTGATGCCATGCAGTATTTTCGGGCCATGCATACCTTCAAAGCTTGATGAAGCCATATGCTGCGCGAGCGGCGTCATCGTCGACGGAGTTGAGAAAGCCCTCAATCACCGCATCTCTGTCCAGAAGTCCTTCTCAGTTTCATCCAACTTCAGCACGCAGGCGAAAGTTCTGTTTTTGGATTTGAATATCTTCAGCTCCTCCGTCGGAATTGGAAGTCGAATTCTGCACCTGTCGCTCATGTAGCAGGATGCCTTCAATGAACGAAGCCGAGTTGCAGCCCGTTGGCCGGCCTGCTCATCTTCCTCATCCACACCTTCAACGCTGATTAGAGAGTCAGGCTCTGAGAGGCCATCCTCCGAAAAGTAGCAGTCCTCGCAGAGACAAGGAGCGGCAATAACACATGTTTCGTTTACTCGACACATGACGGCCGGGCTCGTTGAAACCCGAGAAGTGTTGGGGGCCACTCCCACGCCCGGATTTGTTTCGTCTGAGACATGCAGGCGCCGGTTCCCGGGGCCTAAAGTCCAGGGCATATCACGAGTCGGTGCTACAGGCAGGTTCGGGCCCGCATCTGCGAGCGTATAGGGCGCTCCCACAAGGTTTCGGCGCTTGGTGCGTTCTGCCATCTGTCATGACATCCTGACACACGTGTTGGCGAAGTGTCGTCGCCTTGTCCTTCCTGAGGCCAGCATTACAAACTCTGGGGTCTGACAAGAGGCTCTCCCCTTCTCCAAGGGGCGTGGCATCGGAACCCCAGCATCAAAGACCGCACATACTTCATCATTATTCATACCAACATACATACATACATACATACATACATACATACATACATACATACATACATACATACGAAGCTGAGACAACAAGCAGCGTTTGCCGGAGGGCGTACCTCGGCCGTGGAGTTCAGGGGCTCGATGCTGTCGGTCTGATCATCTTCGCTATAGTCCAAGATCTCAGCCTGGCAGCATCTTTCAGAATAGGACACAAGCGACTCCAGCTCTGGGGTGCTTCGATTCCGCAAGGCTGCAAGGACCCTGGCCCATGGCTCTATAAGAGTGGGAGGGCTTCTGCAGGACGCATAGGAACGAAAAGAGCAGGAGCTCTACGAAATACACTTCGCAAAACCCATGCTTTGCGAATTGTTGCGAAGCCAGGACCAGCGGACAAAAAAAATGAACTGCTGAAGCGGTACAGCTCTGCCAAACCGACGTCTTAAACAATTACCGAGGTGTCTGTGTGGAACTCTTCCTGAAAGTGGACAAGGCCAATCGTGCTAACAGTCGATTACGCAGGTTGAATCGCTTCCGGCCATTGCCATAGCTCCCTGATGCCTCCGAGTAGTTGACGGGATCAGGCTGTGTGTCCAACTCGTCCCAGCCCTGCACGTTCAGGGAGACGATTAGGTAAGAAACTCTGGAGTCTGCAAGAGCTCGCAAAGAGCTGTCGCCTCATCAGTGGCGTTATGCCTTGCAAGCTTTCGGAAGCGTCACTTGCCGCAGTTGCCGGAAAGCTACTGAGCTTCCGACACCTCGCTCACCGTTTGCTCAAGTATGCTCATGTCTGCAGCGGACTCCTCGTCCACCAGGATAAGTCAAAAAATTTTGTGTGTGCAGACTGTCCACAGCTTTCGACCTGATTTGCCCTGACATCTGCGACCGGCCTGAGTGGCATCTGTGTCGGTGTCGTTGGAGTTGGCGGAGTTGGCGGAGTTGGCGGAGTTGGCGGAGTTGGTTGGGGGAATTGTGAGAGCATCTGGACTGGCTCCTTGCACCTTCTCACATCTCACAGTTTGCCCACAATGTCTCTGCATGTCTCTGCCACACTTCCGAGGAACCATCGAATACTAAGCTGACGAGACTTGACTTGACTGTGGGCCCCGAAAACCAAGTGCGCGGCCACTCTTGTCGCCCCGGCTGCATCGACAAATGCGCTGAGACCTGGTCACGAGGAGATGTCACATGTGCGTAAGTTGCAAGCACTCAAGCCACTCAACAAGAACGCCGCCGTTCCCTGTCGAACCTGCATCCAAAGTTGCCCCGCGCGCGTTTTCGCGACGGACGAACTGTAGACGAGGCTGGTCCTGCAGTTGGAACACCTTTTTGTCTTCTGACGCACCAGTCAAACAGAGAAAAAGCGGGGAACATGATTTGAAAAATTTGGGGCGAAATCTGTCCCTTCTATTCCAGGCATTGGCCACCAAAGCGGAAGAGAGTAGTAGAGCCAACCTTGCACGCGACATCAGACCGGACACGGAGAGCACATGCAAGACAAGGGCAAGCAAGCTGCAAGGTTCGGCCAAGGGGCAATCTTAGAATCATGCCATGAAAGCCGGGCAGGTTCAACTCCAACAGGCTCTCCCGTCAAGTATGTAGCCTTTGGATGGGGGAGATTCAACTGCAGCCTTGCTTGAGATGTTGGCAACTCACCAGCCTATCCGAACAGAACTCTGTCTTGAGGCACACGATTTAAGCTCCGCCGAGCGGCTGCTGAAGATTGAAAACAGACCTAGGCATCTCAAATATCCAAGAACGCAGGCTAAGCTTTCCAAAGGAACTGGGCCCAAAGTCCAAGAATGCCCTGAGACCGTGGCAACACCTGAATGAGCAAGGCAGTTCCTGAGGCCCAGCACAAACACACAGCAACACTAGCTTTGTTCATAGAACAGCATCTTACCACGCCTCAGTGCACAAGACTAGTCTGGACATATACACTTCTTGCTGCGAGGTGCGACCTGAACAGCAGCCACAGCACTTCGAGAGGCCATGGCTTCTGAGCCGAAATGCCTCCGTTTGAAAGTCCAATGAGTCCAATGAGCCCAATCCAGTTGAGAGAAGTTTGAGCTCTGGAGACATCACACATCATGAGACGCTCCTACTATTCTGCTCTATGCATGGCTGCGCCCATCTTCGGAGCAATCCGCCGCTCGCTCAGGTAGCAGCTACAAAGGCCAGCAGCTCTTCGAATTGTCGAAGGGCAGGCAATGACGTTTCGCGGGCAATCCCTTCTCCACACCTACTTTGAAGCAAGAACTGTCAACCGCTGATCTTCCGCTCCATGAAAAGTCTGCCTGCACTGCTGTTTTGCAGCAAGCGCCACGAAAATTCAGAAAAACACGATAACAAAATTTTAGTCCAAAGAGATATGCTGTCAGGAACGCCGGCATCATGCCATCCCAGCTTTGAGAGGATCCTTTGAGACATCCGGTCATCTCACCTTCGCGGCTGCCTGCCAGGTCACGGCTCAGAAAACCGAACAGGAACCACGCTTAGAAGGCCCTGCTTTCAAATCCGGGCGCCAACTTGGCGTTTGACATGAATGCACCTTGGCCGCAATCCTTCGCTCGTTGGCGTCGAGGATTGCCTTCTGCGACGTCAATGCTACATACTCCCCTACTCCCCTGACCGGCATGCTGGCATGGATGCCCGGGATGGGCGTCCTTTCGCATCACGATGCGCTTGGGCGTTACCTCCAGCTTCTCATCCTCGACAATGTAACTCAAGGCCTGCAAAGGGCGATGCAAACATTGCAGGCAAGCTTGGCAGTGCACTCACACACACACACCATGACACCATCCCACACCTCCTCCAGTCGCTTCTCGATCGGCGGGGCGAATCCAGCGGCAGACTGATATCCATCATGCTTCCTACAAAAGCGCGCTGACTCTCCACATCTCTCCACACCCATGCTTCTGCTGCGTCGGCTGAGGATGTTCAGGCAGGCGGTCCTGGCAATGTTGGTGTCGATGTCGTTCATGCCGTTGTTCTCGCCAAAAATCATTCCTCAAAAAGGGGAAGGAGATAACCCATCCAAACAGGACTTCTTGCGACCCCGGCCTGGGTACACCTCCATGCCTTCGTTAATGAACAGCTTGCCCATACGTGCTGCCTGCCAGCTTTGTCTCTCAACGTAGATGCTGTAGATGCGTGATCAATTGATCAAGGCAGTCAGCCTTGCCAAGATCCACGTTGGTGGCAATTCCAGCTGTGTTGGCAATAAGGACACCACTCCTTGCGCAAGTACAAGTTGCAAACACAAGCAGAATTCACGGCTGCGCTTTTTAGCTGTGCAAATCATCCAACAGCCCTCTTAAATAATTTAGCACCTGAATTGCGTACAAACGAGACAGAACGACGCTCAGCGACACAGCAGTCAAAGAGTCAACGAGTCCTGTCCCGGGGAGCCGGCGGCCCTTGAGGCCGCATCTCCTTCAAAGGGGGTCAATGCCCTCTTACACGTCTTCCTGTTTAAAATCCTCTTAGTTTGGCAGCAGCGCAATACGGCACTGACATGGTCTCCTTGAAGTCAGACACGACTGTTCCTGTGCCTCCTGTGACTTCCTTCAGCCAGCCTCACTTTGCCAACTTTGCCAATGTATGCTTGAATTCGAGGGATCGGTTCCGAAGGGGTTGCTGGCAAGGTTGGTGCCCATTGCCCCGCCTGTCGATTCCTAGATTTTGACAGAGAAAGCTTTGGCTTCCTCTTGCATTGACAGTGGGTAGCCTGCCATTGCTATGGTTAAGCTGCGTCATACTGGTTTGCATTTGAAAGCTCTTCCGAATGCTCTTAATTTCGTAGGGAGATCGGGGTCACTTCTTCCTTCTTTGTCTGGCGGTTCCACCCAAAGAGTGCGCTCTAAGCCGGAACAGTCGGCTAGGGCGTCCAGGAACCCATGTTTCCAGAAGCCACTGTTTGTCCAACAGACATGAACCCGCTAGCCTGTTATCCTTCTTTCCTCGGCTGTGGCTGGGTTCTGGTGGCAAGGAATCAAGACGATTGATTGCCGCAACTTCTCAGGTTGGCAGCTGCAAGACAACGCAAGTGAGTTTCATGAAGGTTCTTTGAGAAGCTGGCTTGGCTGAGATTCGCTTTGTTGTGCCTCCATCTTGTCTTTACTGCGAGGTGTGGAATGGAATTGGGCTGGTCTTTGGATGCTGTTTCCTTTGCATGGCTGGACATGGAGTCATGGAGACGTACATGCATTGAAGTGTTCTCGATGTCGAGTTCGACAAATCCAATCATGTGACGTCTGCTGCAGAGCAACTGCGGAGGCCGAGCAGTGAAGACGTCGCGGCCTCTCGTTGAAAACTGCTGGGGAGACAGCGCAGGCATGGTATGCGCAGGCCTTGTTGCACACTGCGGGCCTCCAGTCTGATCGTCTGTCGCTCCCCGACTGTGTTCATGTCAAGCACCTTCGCGCCTCGCCCCGACATGCCTGAGAGTCCGGAATGTGCTCACAAAGTTACACAGAAATGGCTCGGGATCCCCTGCTTCGAGCTGCGTTCCATCACCAAGCTTCCGTGGGACATGTCCACCTGCTGAAGGAACAATAGTTCAACATTTGCTTCGAACACGCCTCCACGGAAAGAGAGAGACAGAGAGAGAGAGAGAGAGACAGACAGAGTTGAGAGAGAGAGAGAGACAGAGAGAGAGACAGAGAGAGAGAGAGACAGAGAGAGAGACAGAGAGAGAGAGAGAGGGAGAGAGAGAGAGAGACAGAGAGAGAGAGAGAGACAGAGAGAGAGACAGAGACAGATAGAGTTGAGAGAGAGAGAGAAAGACAGACAGAGCGACAGACAGAGAGAGACAGACAGAGAGAGACAGACAGAGAGAGACAGACAGAGAGAGACAGACAGAGAGAGGCAGACAAAGAGACAGCAGAGAGAGACAGACAGAGAAGAGAGGGAATGAGACAACGCAAGGCGTGGAGAGAAGCATAGACCGTGGGAGAGAGAGGCCAAAAGCCCCTGTCTTGGACCCTGTTCCTTGCCCACTGCCCTCGTCGCTTCCGCTCGCGGTCGGCTTTCCTTAAATCCCTCTCTTTCGATCGAAGAGAGCTTCTTTGTATTCTTCGTCTCTCGCCTCTCGCCCTGGCCGCTATTTGAGCACCAAAGACAGGCCGCAGCCGAAGCCAAGAGCCCCCAAGGGCATTTTTGTAGATTTACGGGCCGGGCCAAGCGGTTCGACGCGCAGCGTCTGCGACAATAACACTTGTTGTTGTGAGGTTTCGCAATGCAGCCTCTATCTGGACATCCTCCCAGGGTTCCATAACTGTGCCATCTTCACCTTGCCAGCATTTCTCGCAGCCAGCATGTTTCCAAAGCTTTCAGGATATTAGGGACATTGCTGGCGACAAAACATCAAAACCTCCGGGCGTCTTAGATGCTGACCAGGCGCCCTGTTGCTTAACAACGCTTGGAGGAGAGAGCGACATCTCATAGCCTTCTCGCCGCATTTCCTCAATGAGGATCCCTAGCTGCATCTCTCCACGACCACGAATCTCAAAGTAGTCGCGATTGGGAGATTGCTGGATTTCCTGAGCAGGCATGAGCCCTGCAAACTCCATGCATTCGGTCAAGGAGGTGCTTCGGGCTGAGCTGCTTTCCAAGTGTCGATGGCGGGATTCGTGAGTGCCTCCTTCTCAAGGCGCTCGCCCATTGCATTCAGAGTGATGTACTTGCCATCTTTGCCCGCCAAGGGCGAGTCGTTCACGGCGGCACGCACAGCGATGACCGGAGGGTCGATCGGCTGGCACTCAACAGGGGGAACTTTGGTGTGGCTCACCAGGGTCTGGGTCCAGCGTGGAGTGAAGCCCGTCACGCTCACGGAGACGATGTCACCGGCCTTGGCCATCTTCACAGGCTCCCGGCTCACACCCTGCACCACCGTGATCTCCTTAGAGTGCTCAGCGATCGCTTTCGAGAAATAATGCCGTGAAGATGCTTCCAAAAAGCTTTGTCCGACACCTGAAGAAAAATGTCGCATGCGGCATCCTGCGGCCATGCTTCCCTCACTTTGCCAGATCCCACAACTTCCCCGTCCAAATTCTTGCCTCACGCTTGTGCAAACAAGCATACAACGGCGTAGCAACAACACCTCTAACCTCGAAATGCCTCGAATCATTTCAAGCCCCCCACCCAAACCTCTCAAGCTAGGTGGGCACGCCTTTCCACCCCGATGGGGGCTTTCCCGCGACCCCTCAATGACGATCCGAAAAACACGAGATCGAATGATGGCGCACCGAGGTCACTGGCAACTGCTTAGGCATTGCTCATTGGACTCAGGTTGCCGGTGGCACGGGCGTGCGCGATTGCGGCCCGACATGCACGACGTACGGTGGAATAACAAAGAGCCGCGCTGCAGTGCTCTACACTGCCCTGCAATGCTTACAATGGTGGGGCGCTGCAAACATCCATAGACGGCCATAGAGTTTGGAGCCGCTCCCGACATCATGTGATGCCGGCCCCTGCAAGGGGAATTATCTCGGCGTAGGGATGTAGATTCTCAGGTATACTCAAGCACCGGATACCATTCAAGTAGTGCTTAGATACTCCTCCCAGGACCCTGAACTTCCAGTCCGCGACGTCATAGCATGATCTTTGGATTTCCTTGCTGCGCGTCTTGGCGCGGTGAGGGCCGTGCTATAACTTTCCCTGACCCTAGTAGTACTTCTGTCAATACTGATGTCAAGAGTCCATGGACCCTCCTCCGCCCATCCCGCTTGCAAGCTGTTCTGTCAATGCCGGATCAGAGGTCGCTCATCTCATGGCACCCGTCACCGTGCTCAGGCAAACTATCACAAGCTAGCGACCCAACATGTCAGGATAAGTCAAGATACAGCTGATCTTGTCGCCCTTATGGATCTGACCGCTGTGCACCTTTCCCGTGACGGTAGGCCCCAGTGCCGGAAGCCTGCGCAGGGTGCAGGCTCTAGGGAAGTGCTTTGTAGCACGCGACCAGCTGTGAAGTGGAATCGCCTGTCAAGTTGGGACACCAGCATGGAGAATCCTTTGCACTTTTCATCAAATTCCAGGATGGCTGGATCCTCAGCGAGCCCATATTTTCGACATGTTCGCTCACTGTTAGCCCATCATCGTGTTTGAGTTGACATGACATTATGACGTTTGGAGAGCACTGGCAATTTTCTGAACAAACTGGATCTCGGGAGGAGCTTCTGACAATGAGATCTGGTAGGATGACTTAAGCAAGGCCAGCAAGTCTTAACACAAGCCCTCCACAAGCGCATCAAAAACACGACGCAGCAATCACATCAAAGCTAGTCCGTCGCATGAACAGTGTCACTTGTGGAAACATCTTGAACTTGGTAAACGAACAGTTGGTGCTCTCGCATAAACCAGTACTGGAAATCCCTGAAAATACCAATGCCACCCCTCATTCATTTGCTAAGCAAGGCTCCACTGTGCCAGGCTTGGGCGGCGGCACAACGTCTCGAATCGTTTCATACAGGACCATCATGTCAGTCGGGCGATTCTCCGATCGTGCTTCTTCCAGAGATGTAGCACAAAAGCCAGCTTTGCCAGATGCATAAAGTGTTGGGTACTCCAACCTGACTCAAAATAGAAACACTTGATGCTGTCTGCGAGTCTTCTAGAGTCTTGGAGCCCACGACCTGGTACAAACGGAGACGCCATGCCGCATATGCCGCCCAGCGGCTGTTCGTCTGTCGAAGCCATGTTGGCAAAGACATCAAAGATGTCATTCTCCACTTCACCCATCTCTCGCGTCATCGGCCGATCGACTTTGTTGATGACAACCAGTGGCTTCATGTCCTTGTGCTTCAGCGCTTTCTGGAGAACAAACTTTGTCTGGGTTTTTGGACCCTCCACAATGTCTACAAGGAGGACGACGCCGTCCACCATGGAGAGAACTCGCTCCACCTCTCCGCCAAAGTCAGCATGGCCGGGGGTGTCCACGATGTTGAATACATATCCATTCCTGGGGCACGTGGCTTCACTGATTGAGGGTGCTCGCAGCTGGGTCAGACCACATGGAAGACTAAGCAGACCTTTCCATTTTCGACCACTCCGGAAACATTCAGAGAATTGTACTTACAGGTGAAAACGAAGGGCAGGGGAGACAAACGTCACCTAACCCAATGCCTTGCCAAACGCAAGAAAAAGGCGCCATGAAATCCTCGTTGCCTTTGACAGGATGGTGATCCCTCTCTCCTGCTCGAGGTCTTTGCTGTCCATCATTCGCTCAGTGACTTTCAAGCCCATCCCACTCTGCTTCATGAGCTGATCGACCAAAGTCGTCTTTCCTTGAAACTCGGCAGACACTCTGCTCGGGCCTAATTATGGCCTAAGGGCCTCAGAGCGATGGCTCAACCACAAGCAACACAAAGGCGAACCAAAACCAAAACCCGGTCGGATGCTGTCTCTCCAGACACGTCTCCATGATCAACGTGCGCAATGATGGCAACATTACGAAGTCTATCCAGAGCCACCTCCTTCCAGACGAGAAAGTCATAACGGGAGCTCGAACAAACGACAGCTTCATGGACATGGGATCTTCATCGGCTTAGAAACTCACTTCTTGCGGAAGTGCCGTGTACTCCTGCCATGGAGCCAACTTTACCGCGACCCAAATCGAGCATCGGCTATCTACGCATGTCCAGGTCCGCTCGCTCAAAAACCATCCTCCGGAAGAGTCGCTGCCGTTCGCACGGCGTAAGCAGGCTTCGGAGACAAAATCGGCCTGCAAGGCACTTGTCAATCATTCGCACAACCGACATAGCAATGCTGCTTTTCTGCACTCACTCTCAGTGCCTGTACAAGGATGGCCAGATGCATCGTCCAGCAATTGCAGATACCCGATGCAAGGGCCAGCGCCGCATCCCCCGAGCCAAGTATACAAAGACTGTGGTCGTTGTTGGCCTTTTACGGCTGAACAGCAGCAATGGCGTTTCGTGTCAACTCTTGCATTCAACAAGTTGCCATGATGCTCTGACTCTGACACTACGGGTTTCAGCAATTTGGGAAGCTACATCACGGTACTGCCTCAGCACTGTCATGTCCAAGCTAAGAGTTGTGCTAAAGCTGCGAACGGCAATTTGCAGGTGCAGAAACATGCAAAAGCAATGCGAGAGTTGCAAAGTGTAAGTTCCTCCGGTTCAGGCGCTTCGCAGTTTGAGATGCTCCTCCCATGAATTGGACGGGCCACTTTTTGGATGCCTGCCTTGCTGATCTTCCTGTGCCGCCTGTGCCGTCTCGAAGCTGCTGCAAGAAGAGCCATCGAGCTTCCTGGACTTTGTGACGAAAAACCCAGACTTCCAAGACCTGTGACCCACCGTGGCATATCGTTTTTTGGCATCGCTCTGGCCTGCAGCGCCGCAGGCAACTTCCTGATGCCTCCTTCTCCGGATGCACAACAGTCGGCCGCCATCGCGACCGTCCCAGCATCCAGCCCTCCCGTCTGTATTTCACTGAGTCCACAGAAGTACACGGACTCACGGACAGAGACGCCTCGAATGTGCCAAGCCAGATGGAGGGCCACCTACCCACAATTGCATCGATCATCAAGCTTCGAAGCAAAGTGTAACTATAGCAAAGTATCGCAATTTGCTCAACACCGCAAGGTCGCCTCCCAGCGCCAGGCGTGCGCCGCGGCGGCGACGGCCGCACTGGCCGCGGGCAGTGTGAGCGCAAGTCCTGGAGAGCCGGAAAGAGCCCATGAAAGCCTTCTTGCCGCAAGAATCTGTTCATGTTCGCGCATTCGCGCATCCTCGTCGTTCTCCGTCCGCATAAAGCCCCACTGCCCAGCGCCACTGCTGCCCTTCCACACACGCACTGATCGCCTACGCGAAGAAGAGAGAAAGGCGGCAAGTCGGCAAGGCCAAGCAGGCCTGTCTAGCACCAAAAGGGATACGGATACTCCCCACTCGCGATGCTCCCAACATCTCCCAACAACTTCAAGATCTTCAATTGCAGTTGCAGGCTGGAGGCTGCCGCATAGCTGACCACATCTGGCGGTGGGCCGTGCTGATGCAGTCCATCCAGAACCCACAATGCCTGGCTGTTCAGGAGTGCATAGGCAACTCCAAACGAAAACTCTCAACACAAGTTGGCCGAGGCGGTGACTTGCTGCCACTGACGGCCCTTTTCACAGGCCTGACTCTCACAGTCCGCCAAAGCTTTGTGATCGGCAAGCTGTGGGAGTCTCATATTAGGTCCGCACACTGATCACTGCATTGCAAAGGATCAGGTCTGGCTGAATCTCCTCTGCTGCAAAACCCCCATAATATGATCGTCATGATATCTCACCACATTCATCTTCATGGCGCTTCTACCGAATGGAGTCCTCGCGAGCTGAACAAGGCCATCCCAGTTCCTGAAGGCCGAGAAATGTTGAGAAGTTGAGTGCAAGTTTCAGACAGTTAACGCCGGAGTTGACGGAAACCTCGCAATTTTGCAAACAGGCGTCACTCAGAGATGTGAGCGCACGTTGCCACTGAAGCCCCTTCTCAAATGCGCCTCATTCGCAGAAACAGCTGTTCTAAGCTGGCAGCGGTCAAAATTGCCATCCATGCAGCACCAGTTGTCACCAGTGCTCGCCAGGCAGCTGATCAGGGAGCTGAAAGAAATCAAGTCTGGTTTCAGCCTCAAGCGGAAAGAATCTCACAGAACCCTACCCATGCTACCCGAATTTTGTCATCAAAACTTGCAGCGGAGGAGCCGGAACTCCTTCTGCATGTCGAAGAGAGACAGCGCCTCTCGGCGATGCTTGCGAAACAATGATGCCAGCACCCTGAACAGAATGACCAAGCGGGAAATGTTCCCACAAGCTTTCAAAAAGACGTAGTGACATAGGGAAAGTGGGAAACCAGATTTTGAGTCCGGCAAAGCCTTCATTCATTGGTTTTCGACTCCAAAGTTCCAGAAGGGAGACAATCCGCCCAAGAACTGCACAAACACCTCTGCGTCACGTCCCACAGAAAAAAGAAACTTGACAGGTACCTTTCCTGAGAACGCTCTAACTGCTGCAATGCGTCCTTCAAGAAATGGCATGTTTTCTGGGATGATAAAAGCGTGATCGACTTGTTCTTCTCAACTAGCTTGGCAACGGTTTGCCTGAAGTGGGGAGGCAGGGGAGCCAGAGGGTAAGAGGGGACATGTAAATCTGCAAGACGACGACAAGCCAAAACTTAGATGACCTTGAGCTTGAAACCCGATACCAGCACCTCAGACCCCCAGAACCCTACTTGCCGCAAAAGCCCGTTTCAAACTCATCCCAAACTCCGCGGTCTTGAGGGCATGGCCACATCCCAGCAGAAGCCACGTGCGCAAGCACTAATCGCGGCATTGCAGCTTGTGATCGTGGGAGTGCCAACACTCCTTCCGTATGCCGCACAAAGCCTCACAACAAACAAGTCGAAGGACGTGAGCGGTGTCCTCAACGCCATAAATATTTGAAGTGCCTGAGCTGGGACAGTACTAAACAGCAATATGAGCAGTGGGCAACACATCTTTTAACCTGACGGTGTGACAACAAAAGAGAGTGCGAGCCTGCTCCCACATGTCGGCCTTCTCGCATGCACTGATAGCAGCATTGTGAGAAATCGTGTCAGGCCTTGGCTCGACAAGGCTTAACAGTGCGAGACGCATGCCTCATGTGCCAGGGAACAAGATGTCCAAACGTGGCATATGCTGCAGAAGCCATATGCCCAGCTGCCATGGATGACTGGCAAAGCAGGTCGACACACGTGTACAGCTTCAACCATACCATTTCGCCAAACTTAGGGATCATGTCAGGCAGTGCATGCCTGCAAACGTCGTTCCCAGCGCATGCCTCGAAAGCAGTACATGACCTATGCGCTCAACAGCACCAACCACACACAATCATTTTGGGGGGGGGGTCCCGGCATGTGAGCGATCACGAGACATATGCGGGAGAGACAAAGAACACGCAAACACATTCAGTACGGACCACCCTGTTCTGTTGCAATCGGCAAGAACTGGCAGCCTTCTCGCATGCAGAACTCATGGCATTGAAGAAGATGAGGCTGGGAAGGATGCCTCGCCTTTCAACGATGGCGAAAAGTTGCGAGAGTGTCCGTCGTCAATGCAAAAACTGAAATGAAGTTTCCTTTCATCCGCTATCATCCCCTTTGCCTCTGAAGTTCGACCATCAAGCCCAGAGCGCCGAGCCAATTTCCCGCCTTCTCGCAAGCAGTCGCCTGGCAGACGATACTTGCAGCCTGAAACAACTTTGTGGCCTTGTACGCGTGCATGCGTGCGCCCGTCAGACACTGAACAGACTGAACAACCATGCGGCGGCACTATCGCCCCAAAGCTGTATGCGTTTGGCTCCAGGTCGCCTTGCCAAGCATGAACAAAACATAATCGAACCAGAATTGCCCACAAGCAGAACGCCATCCGGTGTGAACCTTGACTGTTCGCTTTTTCAGCTTCCTGCTTCTCGTGGATTAATTCCACGAACAACTGCACTTCAGGCGAAGATTGTGTCTTCAAATATGCATCCACAAACCCAAGACGATATGAGCTGACTCGATGACAAGATCAAAACTGGTTCAGAAACAGCAACAGCCCGATAGGTGACCCAGCAAGCCCACAAGCCTCGTCGCAAAGCCTTGACACACAGTGCACTTGTTTTGCCCCATGATGATTTCCCAGAAGCCTGGGGCCAGCAAGAACCGAGGCCCGGTCACACAATGCCCGAATGGCATCCTCCCAGCTGCTGCCTTTCTCGCCTAACACATAACAAGCGCTCGCGAAGAATCACAGGGCCGCTGACGAAAGTTTAGCCGCTGAAAGACTTCTGCCAACCACCGCCAAAACCGACAGCGGGGGGGGGGGGGGGGGTTGGCGGTTTTTGCTCGATTGGTGTGGTGACTTCTTTTGTTCGCCATCATACTGCGCTCTTAAAGCGTCTTCAGGTCTGAAGTTGGCAGCACTTCATAGAAAGCGGCCCTCCAAGCTGCCAGCAAGCTGTTACGATGGCCGTGGCACTGACCACGCTGGGCCTCTTTGCGAGCACAGCTGCACGTCTTTGTCAGTGAGGGTGAAATACTGTGTGACTGGGCGCGTGGCTTAATAGCTTCGCTGGAGCTTGCATCGGCTGCTTGCAAAGCTTGCGGCCACGCTGATGCCCTGCCATACGATTCCAACCATCCCTGACAAGCCTGTCATGAAAGGACACCCGCACGGAACCTGCTGCAACAGCTTATCGCGATGCCATATGTGTAGATGTTCGGCCTTGATTATACGCGGACGACACGTCAAAACTGGCGGGAATGCTGAACATTGCTGCACGCATGTCTGGGTGCAACACTGCAAACCTGGCAAATTGAAATTTCGTTCACAAAAGCGCGTTTGACTCGTTCTGCTGCTCCCAGGCCTTCAGAACGTACCTGACTCATACAAAAAATGCAATTAACAACAGGCATTGTAATGTGTGAGTGTCATCGTGATGATGATTTTGGGGCGCAAATGTTGAGGCAAGGTACATCGCGAAGTCCTTGGAGTGCTCCTTCCCAGTGGGAGAACTTCCCAAGATCTGCCAATCGTCGTGTCGCCCTACACAGCCGAGCAACATATTTCGACAAGCACCCGAATCACGGCTCAGTTCACAGACCTCTTTAATTCGCGCTCATTCTGCTGCGCCCGCCAGGCAGACATGCAATGGATAGCGCTGTCATGATGCAAGCCAGAACCACAACTGCCAGCATGGGAAGCTCATTGAACATATTGTGCCCTTGATCCTTTTTATGGAACCAACTGACCATCATGATGTTCTCTGCATGACGATTTCAGGCAAAACACGAATTGTCTTAATATTTGTGAGCGTGCATCTGTACCAAGCCATAACGAAAAAGCCATGAAGCTGTTTAACTTAAAATGTTCACCGCAAGCATGTCACATAACCCACCAAAACCAAAAAAATTTAGCAACGATTGTTGCAGTTGAAATTTGCCTGCACACGCTTTGGAGCTGGGGGAGCTTCGGTCGTGTTCAGCACTATGTTTTTGGGGAAAAAGTTATGACGATTCATGCGATCATTGCATTCATTCTCATTAGTTGCTAAATTGTTTTAGTCTCATAAAACCCAAAGCCACGTACTGCGACCCCTCCTGAGATCAAAATTCTTCTGAATCCCCTTGAGATTCTTCTGAACCGCGGGGGCCATCTTCCTCAAGGCATCTGCGAAGGCTTGAACCAGCAACCATCTGACGCAAAAACATTGGCACGAAGGAGAGACGTTTTTCCTCATGCATCCAGCCACCAGTAGCGACCACGCCTTCCATGCTAAGGCAGTAGAACCTGGAAAATGTAAACCCGAAAAACAAAGAATTGATTCGTGTTAGAACATCATAATATGAACTAATCCGCCCCCCTTCAGTTTCAAACTTTCCCAATGCTTATTCGTTTTCTGATGCTTCTCAAAGTTAAATTTGCGAACATCACAATCACAAACATCAGCGTGAACCGCCATAGAATTATATAATTGCTTTTTTGCCCTGTGCCTCTTTCGGGAATCCTTATTATTCTGCTCTATTCGGTTATCCTTATTCATTTCCAAGTTTTAACTTCACATTTTCAACGCACCGCCTGCACGACACATAACATTTCTCCGACAAGTAGAGTCAGTTTTTCTAGGCGAACTCATTTACACACACTCTACATATCTCCGCGTCCGTTTCAAAAAACTCACCTGCTCGTCTCCGCTTACATCTCATACAACGTTCTGAACTCGCCATACCTAGTACGACTAGCTTCTCTTGAAGACGAACCCTAAATACCTTACCAACCATCCTAACAGTCTTAACAATTATCCTATCGCCCCCGGAAACGAAAGTCCTCAAAGGTTTAACGACTTTGTAGGGTTTGGCACCTATTTTGTGAAATGCTGTACTATTCAGAATGCTTTATGCTCAAGGCTTTGGGCCTAGAAAGCAAACGGAAAACTGCATGGTATTGACATGTACAGGAGTGGGTTTCAACACTTCCCTTTGCAACACCGCCAAGGTATTGCGACAAACAAAACCTGTGCATGTCCATCCCTTCCCGGAGGAGGTACGAAGGAAAGGCTGTAGCTTGGCTGGCTTCAGAGAGCACGAGAGCTCTTTTTTTTCATTTTTAAAACAAAACAACCCAAGACGCAGACCACCACGAACAAGACCAGACAATTCATCTTTCTGACTGGCAGCACCTACAACCTTGCAAGCAACTTGCAAGCAAGCAACCCTGAGTGACAGTGTCAGCTTGAGAAACTGCCTGTGCAGGCCATACTGAATCCCATTAAAGAGCTCACTAACCTTGCAGATGGAAGAGCCCTTGGTGAGAAGGTCAGGATTGTTTGCATGGCAAGCAGAGACTGTACTCAACCCTCAAGATCTTACCTGAGTTAACAAATCCTCAATCTGGCCTCCGCCAGAACGACAGTGCAAGTTCTGGGACGCAGAGATTTTTGCAGAGTGTTCAACCTGCTCACCCGTCTATCCAGAAAAGACTTGCTGGGTGCTTGCCAGGCACAATTGGCACACATGGACGCGACTGACGCGACCGCACTTGCCTTGACACTTTCATCTGTGCTGCTGATGTAGTAAAGAGGCGCCCGCTTGAAAAAAAAACCACAGCAGCTCTTCGAACTGGAGTCCAGATTTTAGGCCATTTCTGGGCCCACTTGCGCCATATTTCGTGGGCAGAACCAGTTCGCTTGACACAGCCAGTTGTTGTGGCAAAACAACTCTTGCGTTCGGAGTGATCTTTGTCACACTGTCGTGTGTCTTGCTAAATCAGCTACTGCACAGCAGGAGGTTTGCAGCAGACGTGTGCGTCGACTCAAGCTTTTGGAAAAGGCAAGTTGGCAAAAGGCTTCAGAGGATGCTTGCAGATGTGCTTGGCGTTCAAATCCCTTGGCCGTTTTGTGGGTCTGACAGCTACTTTGAGAGCCAAACTGTGCAGGCCAGCAAGTGTAAAAGAAGTTGTGACCAAAGAAGCAACCGCAACGCAGAAGGCCCTTATTGCAGCAACTTGACACGGCCAGCAAGGTGAGACACTTAGAAGCCCGACCATTCACGTCTGCCCGTCACCTGAAACTGCTCAACGCGTCCGTAGAGACAGTTTCCATACCAGCGCAGGTCCGTAGCAAAGCGTAACTTAGTACGGGTCGACAAGAAAGTTGCAAGACACTGAAAAAAAAAGGCACGAATGCGCACAAATGCACAATGCACACAGAGTGCCAGACCCTCCTGGCGAGGGAGGGGGCCGGTACACAATGCTGCTGCACTTTGATGAAGCTGTCCGCCGCAAAATTTACCCGACTCCATTATGGTAAGCTGTTGAATTCTGCAAACACCCCGTTATTGCACATGTGCTCGCAATCAAAGGCCTGCACAACTTTGTTTTATCTTCTGACTTTATAGCGTTAGCCCACATCGGAAGCACCGACTGAGAGTGTTGAATGTTGCTGGTGTTGTTTTGGTGCACAGTCAGGCCTGAAACTTCTGATGGGTCTCTGTAACCTGGAAGCAGCAGGGAGCGAAATCGCGATCCCGGCCAAGTCCTTCTGTTGATGTACCTCAATGGTCTCTTCAGGTCCCTTCCGTCTTGAATTGGACCTTCCTCTTCTTGTATGCTGAAATTGCCTTTCAGGTTCCTTCTGCTTACTTTGCTTCAAATTGTGCCTTTAAGGCCTGCAGCCTTAAGTAAAGGGCGGGGTGGGTTGGAGTGACGAAAGAGAGTTGTTGGGGTTGACCCATGGCTCACATGCTCTACAGAGGGTGTCCGATCACTTTTGCTCTTCGAAGAATGGATAATCGTAAATGTGTGGGGGCATAGAACCCTTCAAGGTTTTCAGGTTTATTTATGAAGTTGCTGCAAGCGAATTGTAGGAGGCTTAAGGGGCTGTTTCCAGCCAGGGGGCTGTTTCCACCAAGGGGCTGTTTCAGCCAGGGGCTGTTTCCAGCCAGAGGCCCAGCCAGGAACTGTTTCCAGCCAGGGGCTGCTTCCAGCCAGGGGAGG